TTCAGTTGTTCTTCTTTCTTCTTTTTCTCTACGTTTAACTCATTGAGTTTCTTTGTGTGTCTGTCATATTCTAGTTTCTTTTCGTTTTCACCTATTTGCTTCTGTATGTCTATGTTTGACTTTTTGACATCTGCTATTTGATTTTTGAGTGAACTCAAATTCATTTGACTTTGAGGGTTATAGGCTGTTCCGTCTGCAGCTCCACCATAGCCTGCCATTTTCGCTAAAAGTGCCGCTCTTAAACCTCCACTCTGTGCACCAGTAACTCGGTTTAAAAGCATAGGATTGCTTGACATTTGTTGCAACATAGTGGGGTCATTCAGCATTTGTTGTTGCAACTGGTTTTGTGGTGTCAGTCTTACTATTGGATGTTTCAATGCTCTCTTCCTCTTACGTATATTCTTACGTAGCTTACGTGGCATTTTAAGTGAAGTTAAAAAGCGGTTTTATACTAAACATCTTCGGGGCTAGAGGGCACGAAGTGCCTGGAAGCCCCAATGCCTTTTTTTTTTTTTTTTTTCTTTTATTAAGGAATATATTGATTTGGAATATTCCAAAATAATTTTAAAGTTTTTGTATTGCCATATGAAAAAAAAAAGGTAGTGGGGCTTCCAGGGGCTACGCCCCTTCTAGCCCCTAAGAAATTTTTGAGAGTCGTCACTTTTCTGTCACTTTTCAGGAAAAAACATTTTTATTATATATATAAAATGAATTTTACAAAACCACCGTTACCCTTCTTTGGAAATAAGAGTAGATGTAAAGATATTCTATTGAGAGAACTTAAGAAACTACCGAATGGTCTAACATTTGTAGATTTGTTCGGTGGAAGTTTCTATATATCTCATTTGTGCCATACCGTATTCCCAAACTCAAAGATTATATGCAATGACTTCGACAACTATATGAACCGTCTCAAACATATACCAGACACAAACAAAATATTGAGTGAGTTGAAAGAAAAGATACCTATAGGCAAGATGGAACGTATACCATTAGATAAGAAAAATACTGTCAGAGAGGTTTTGAAAAAAGCAGAGTATATTGACTGGGATAGTATATCTTCTAGACTATTATATAGTGGTGCTATAAGAGTTCATGACATTGAAACACTTATGTCAAAAGTTTTATATCTTAACTATACAAAGGTTTTCAAAGAGAACATAGAAAAATATACTGAGGGTATAGAGTTTGTGAGATGTCGTTGGACAGAGTTGTATGAAAAATATAAAAACAAGGAAAATGTTTTCTTTATAGTAGACCCGCCGTTCTATAACACATGCGATTTTCAATACCAAGTAGACTGGACTTTGAGAGACTCTTTAGAAACTTTAGACGTTTTACATAACCATCCATGCTTTTACTTTACATCCGATAAAAGTGGTTTGGAAAGTGTCATGAGATGGTTAGAGGACATACATGACTATGAGTTTAGATATGACAAGATAGAATATGAGAGAGGTCCTATAAACCGGGAAAAGTGTCACAACAAAGAAATTTTATTGGTAAGTAAATGTGGTTTGAAATAGGACTACTTGTTTTAGGTTTTTTCCATTGTGTCATTTACTTATTTGACGTGGCAGAAAGATATAGAGAATATGAAGATGAACCAATGCCAGCAAATGTTCAGCATATGTACTCGTAAGAGATATTTTTATCTAATATTAAATGGACGCACAGAACTTAGCGAATGCACAGCAACCTGGACAACCAAACCCAGAGAATATTCCAAATGAAGTTAGAATACAAACTGCAATGGCAAACTATGGTCAAGTGCCAACAGATGTACAAATGCAAACTGCCATGTCAAATGACGCTGCGTTAGGTTTGCCACCATGGTATGCAAATATGAGATGGAAAGAGTTTTATACAAACCCTGAAGTGGGATATAAACAACTCTATGCAGATGACGCGAACACAGGAGTTGACCCGGAATATTTTTCTACCAGAGGAGAAATAGAATGTATGAGCTCCAGTTAAAAAATGCTATGGAACTCAGAAGGAAACGTAAGAGACTAGGCGGACATTAGATTTTTACATATAGTAAAATGGGTTTCTTTGGAAGAATAGGAAACTTCTTTCGAAATGTTGGAAGAGGTATATGGAATGGAATAAAATCTGTCGGAAGAGGAATTTGGAACGGAGTCAAAAATATTGGTAAAAGAGTAGGTCAGTTCGTTGGTATTATACCTAAAGACCCTGAACCAGAAGAACAAGCTCCTGTTATACAACAGCCTGAACCTGCACCACAGTCTAGTTGGCAACCAAATCCAACACCTCAACCGTATTAAAAATTATATTTTTACCGTTCGATAGTAGTTGTATATGAAACTAAGTTCTAAGTAAAACGCGTGGTATAATGGAACTATTCTCTTTCTTCCATCTGTTGTAAACCATACTTGAAAGTCTGAAATACTTCCACTCGGTGGTTCATATAGCTTTGTAGCTTTTTCGTAAAAGTCATTTGCCAAGCATAAAAAAGAGTTTTGTGCACCAGAAAATGAAGCATGAACGATAATAGCATCTGAGTCGAAAACATTTTCATATGTTCCATTAGGTTTTCGACTTCATAAAAGTTCGGGTGTACTGGATATTCTGCAGGCTGATTTAACATCCTCAAAATCTATACCATGCCAAGTTGTTATATTTTGTAGAAATATAAACGTTGTCTCCAAGGTCTTCTATTCTATTGATTTTAACAGTTGCATTTTTCCTGTCATATAAAATATCGAGATGGTACTCTCCTTCGTCAATGTTGTACTGTTTTGCATATTCGAGATAGATATCGTTTATTTTTTCTTGAAAAGCTTGAAGAGTTGTTTCTAAGTTTACAAGCAAACTAACTTGTAAAAGTTTTCCCTGTTCAAATTTCTCATACGTACGTTTTTCTTTGTTATAGTATCGAATTTCAAAAGCGACCGTAAATGGGAAACCATGTATGGCTTCTGAAATGAACTTCATTCTACGAAAGCCAATAGCTTTTGTGACGGATGGGTCTCTTAACCATCTTAGTGGGTAGTCAAAACGATAGCCTTCATGCTTTACGGTCTCTGTCTCAAACTTTTGACCTACATTCGTAAAAAGTTCATCTAATGGTTTAGTTGTAGCAACTCTTGAATTTTCTTTTTCTATTGAAAGCATTTTTTATCTAGAATAAAAATGTCGAAAGAAACAGCGTCTATGAGAGAAATACAACACAACCGACAACTCATTGTGCAAGCTCTAAATAAGAACACAACAAACTTTTCAAACTATTCTAAGATATCTGAGTCATTGAAAGAAGGAAACTTAAAACTGACATTAAACCCTTTAACAGACGAGTTTCTGTTTCAAGACAATAAGAACCATACTGTCTGTGTAAATCCAACAAAAGGAACTTTAAACGAGAAGCCTATAAAAGAACTTCTTTTGAAAGCAGATGTTGACAACAAAGCTGACAAAGAGTATGTAGATGCAACAAAAGACTATATTCTCGCATGGACAGAAAGAACATACCCACAAAAACACCATACACATAACATCTATGACGTAGATGAACTTCAAGAAAAGTTAGATGGCAAAGCTGACAAGACTCATATACATTCTATATCTGATATTACAAACTTACAAGAAACCTTAAACAGGAAAAGTGACGTTGGACATACACATACATCTTCTGAAATAACAGACTTAAACGTTAGCCTTGAAAAGAAAGCAGATAAGAACCATACACACGATTTCTTCGCAACTGTTGGTATAGAAAATATTGAAGGAACGGTTGAAGAAACTGGTGGGGATGTATTAAATTGGAAACTCTAACTTTCCACAAGGTTTAACATCGGATGAAGACATAACAACGATGAAATACACTAGATGTAGAAATGTCTATGTCATGGAGGATGAAAACAATGTTATTCACTGCTCAAGATTTATATGATAAAAAGCTGACAAAACAGAGCTTCAAACGTTAAAGACAGAAATACTTCAAACAGTATATCCTATAGGTTCTATTTATACGTCAATGAACTCTACCAGACCAGAAGTAGTACTTGGTTTTGGAACTTGGACTCAAATAGTCGACAGGTTTTTGTATTGTGCAAACTCTTCAAAGGAAACAGGTGGAAGTAAAACGATTTCAGGTGCAAATTTACCTGCGCACAGTCACTACGTAAGTTTAACTACATCTCGAGAAGGTGGGCATAAGCATAGATATTGGGATTGGACAGGAATGACAAAAGGTAAAGGATATGATGTTAAAGACAACGTTCAGTTTGCTATAAATTGTTACTGAGTAACTGAGGAGGAGGAACCATACACATTTCGTTTCAGGGTATACGCAAACAACGGGACAAAGTAAAGACTACATGCCACCTTACATGACAGTTTACGCATGGTATAGAATTGCTTAGTCGTCATTTTCAACTTCTTTAGCATATTCGTCAGGAGTTGTCTTATATTTGTTAGGAACTGTCTTTGAAAGTATACCACCTTGAACTTTGACAAGTTTGAAACGAGGTCTGACAATAGTAGTTTTATCTTCTGCTTGCAGTCTGTACATTTTGCCATGTTTGCCTAAAACTTCATAATATTCTCTTGTATACTTTCTTCTATTTTTACGAACACGAATGTGAGTACCTGTCGGGTTCCATTGTTGTCATAGTCAATAGTATTTTCATATGGGTCGCGTTTAGGTATTTCTATTTTACTTTGTCACCTTTCTGAAGTTTGAAGCCTGGCATTCTTTCTTGTTTGTCTTCTTGACTAAATTGTTTAAATATATAGTCTTTCTCTAAGTCGGGGTTGTTTTTCATTTCTTCAGGGAGTGGTTTCCCAAACCTTTTTGTTTACGGCTATTGTAAATATTAAAACTTGTCTCATCTTTGCCATGGAGAAGTGTCTATACTTGTCGTCATATGACATTTCATTTGCTTCACCACCTTGTGGTTGGTTTAAGTCTCTTAACATTTTTATACAACCGTCAATGACACCAAGAGCAGAATGGTTTTGGTCGACAATGAAATATTGGTTTACATTTTTTGAACGCAGATAGTTTTTAATATCGTCTGATTTGAAAGAACTTTCATAGTCAGATGTCAGTTTTGTTGGATGGTATTTGTCAACGAATATTGTCAAAGCAGTTTTCACATCTAAAATATTTTTGGACCATAATGGTATGGCTTCACAGTATCTTGTGTTTTGACCAACAAATATTAGCCAGTATGGTGGTCCATCTTCTCTATACCTCGGAATGTTTTCCAAGATATCCATAAACCAAGCATTTGGTGTTGAACTAAAGATTTTTACCATGAGTGCTTTCTTTGTTGCCTTAGAAACATACGGGTCCTTGTTTGAATTCGTCATTTTTAACCCATAAGAAATGGGTTTATTTGGCGCATTAGCAGGAGTCGCATCTAGATTTTTACCCGCAGTGGGAACAATAGCCAGAGGTGCATTTGGAATTGGAAGGAAGATTTTGAGTACATTAGGTATACTGAAAGAGAAAGCACAACCTATTATACAAACTGTACAGAAAGGTTGGGAGGTAGCACGAGATGCAACAAATCTTATTCCAAATCCTGAAACAAGAGGAAAAGTTCAAGGCTGGATGGACAATGTAGGAAGACAAGCAGGAAACTACTATAACAAAGCAAATGACTACTATAACCAAGCAGGGCACTATATGGACCAAGGTGAAAGATTCTTTAACAGAGGATATAACCATGCACAACAGTGGGTAAACAACAACCAACCTCAACCGCCTCAAACGTGGGGAATGTAAATTTTTTTACTGAGATGAAATGAACAATACAGCTTTGAGACAAATGGGTTCAAGATGGATTTGTCGGCTTCCAGCAGTTACACCACCACGTGTTTGTCAAGTTCTTCCTATACCTCAGGAAGTTTTAGACCGACTTAAAAAACCTCAACAACCAGTTGAAAACAAACCAAACTAAAATTTTTTACTGAGATGAAATGACCGAAGAAGTTGAAACGGTAGATTTGACACCACAAACAAAAAGTTCAGAACCATTGTCAAAACCTGTCAAAGAACTTACAGATGAAGAGAAAAATTCAATAATAGAAAGTGCCAGGTCTGGAAATACAAACCCTAACTACAAAGTCACTTTTCATAAAAATGGAACGGCTAGTATCTCAAAAAAGAAACAGACTCTCACAAATAAAATATTGAAGTCTGAAGGAGCTTTCGAGACAACAGATGGAAAAGTTTACTTCACTGACCAACAGTTCATTATAGAACATCTCATTGACTTAGAGTCGAAATATTCTAAACTTTACAACAAACACAAAAAGTTGAAAGGAAAACAAAAACAAATGGCATATGACATTTATGAAGATGTTGACGACACAACTGTTCCAGCAAGTGAGGTAAAGTCAGATGAACCGAAAAGTGACGAAAAACCAATAGAAGAAGAAAAACCAAAAACTGAAGATAAACCAAAACCAAAGTTTAGTTTCCAAACTAAACCAAGTCAACCTTCATTAGCTGGTATGGGTTGGCGTCAAAGACTTATGGCAGCAGGTGGTTATGTAAAGTAAAGGAAAAACATTTTTTTTTATTTTTATAAAAATGCCCCCATATAGAATGGATAGAAAATCTGCTAGAATAAAAGCAGAGTTGCAAAGATATGGTTGGAGAGTTTCGAAGAAGTTTAAATATAGGAAGGGAAGACCCATAAAAGTCTATGACAAATTGTCTGGTCTTCGCTACGAAATGGACTTGGAAACAGCACGTGCAAATTATCCAAACAGACTAGAGAGGTTAGAAGAAGAACGTCTTATGGACATGCCTTTCGATGTTAGTGAACCTCAAGTTGAAGGACACGACGGCTTTGCCAGGTTCTACTGGAAACATGACGAACAATTGCATCCTTTGAGAAGGAAAAAAGGAAAAGGTGAAGACGCACATGCTCCCATGGAAAGAACAAGATATGCATATGAAAAGTACCGTGAAGTTAGAAGTCAAATTACATCTGGTCGAACCTTTACAGTAAACTTTGACGAAGGAAAGAACAAAGAAGGCTTCATGGGTGTACTTGCTGCAATTCAAGACGGAAATAAGAAAGGACACAATCTCAGATTGACCGTAAAAGATTTGGATGGTCACATTTACTATGCACATGGCAATGTCACAACAGCCGCACAACTCCTTGACGCTTTCAAGACTACAAAGAGAGAACAAATGGTTGATTCCGACTCAGACATTTTGAATGCAATTGAAGGAATTGCAAGCGTCAAGTTCGAATGGTACCAACCTAACCCTCAAGCAGTCAGACAACATGCTGGATACTTCCCGTTCAGAAATAAGTCTGGCATTGACTTGACAAGGTATGGAATTTACAATTCAATTGAAACAATTGTCAATGAACCTTGTATTCTTACATGTCTCAGGAACTCTGGTCTTGTTACAGATGAGAAAATGAAGTATCTTGAGTCATGTGTGAAGACAAGGTACATTCGCAGAGGTCAATTGGCAAAAGTTGCACCGTTGGCAAATGTCAATATCCGAGTCAACATTCCGACTGAGAAAGGTTCTTCACATGACGACTATGTTGTTGACAAAGACTTACCATGGTTGAAGATTGTACTTGTCCACAACCACTTCATGTTGAACGAAAGTCTTACAAACCCATTGTTCGGAAAAGGCAAGTGCAACATTGTCAGAGCTGTTAACATTCTTTTCGAGAAAGGCTTGTTGGAACCAATTCCAGATGACAAGCTGACAGAAACTTTTGTACCAAAAGACGAAACAAACTTTTCATTGTTAGCAAGACCAAAAGTTGTTCCAGACAAAGTTATAGCACAAAAGAAGTACACAGTTCCACGAGGAGTTGGATTGTTCGGATACCAACCTGAACCAGAAGAACTTCCAATGAGGTTGCAAGAACTTCAAGATGCTATAAACAAACTTCCATTGAGACATCCAATTGACGTCAAATTGTATTGGAGAGCTTCTAAGTTAGGTCAGAAGGTTTTATATGAAACAGGTTGCTTCGACGATGTTTATGAGATAACAGGAGAAGTTTCTCAGAAGATAAGAGACTCACTTGAATTTCCACAAACTGGACCGATTGGATGCGACAAGTTCGACTCAGATGAAAAAATATACTATGTCGACCTTAACGCTGCGTACATGAGGTTTGTCCAATATATTCCGACTGGAATTCCAAACGAAGATGGTGAGTTCCCGGGAAGGAACTATACAGTTGGAAAAGTCATACAAAACTGTATGATATTAGGAAAGCTTCAAACCCCAAACTTGCAATGACACTCAAATTGCTTATGAATTCGACATGGGGGTATTCCATTAAGAAACCTCAAAAGATGAAGAGTAAACACTATGAGAAGGTCGACAACTTTGTTGAAAGGTTTTCTCCTTTTGTTTTGAAATACGAGTTCACCGAAGGTCAAAATGGCTTAGTAACCACAGTAAAACCTATTGTCGAACATTGGTCTTACCCTCAGTTCGCAAAGGCAGTCCTTGACAACTACAACAAATTCTTCTCCGAAGTCAAATCCAAAGTGAAGGTTTACTATGAGAACATTGACGCACTCATGACGAACGAAGAAGGATACAACAAACTCATTGAAATGGGAATGGTCGGTGAAAAGATGGGCTGTTTTAAGCTAGATAAGGTATTTTCCGAAGTTCATGTCCTCTCCAAGCGTAAGTACTGGGGCATACTTGAAGACGGCACAGAAATAAAACATTGCATGAAATAAAACATTGCATGAAATAAAACATTGCATGAAATAAAAACGTTTTTAAAACAGTATATTTTTACATATATTAAATGCTTCAGGTTGAAAAACAAAGAACAAAAGTAGCAGATACAAAACCGTTAGACTATATCTTTACAAATGCTGGTAGGAATATTTCAGATGAAGAAATTTCATCCGGAGCTTACAGGTTTGACTATCCAATTCGTTGGCTTCAAAGTCCTTCAGATGCAAAGGCAATAGGATTTAGAAGAGTTTTGTTTTCAAATAGAACTAACGCGTTTATGTTCGCAGTATATTTTCATGGGCAGTATAAAGGTTCTGATGGTCTAATAGAAAAATTTGACGAAATGAAAATCTTTACAATTCGTTCAGACGAAAGTCTTGAAAAAACTCTAAATGACTTTCAAACTCAAATAAACAAATACTACTGGGAATTTCAAGAAAAATACGACTCTTTACTAAATGGAACATACTATCTGAAACTAGAATATGACAAGATGAACTCCACCGTTTCATTTCAAAAGATTGAAATTAACCCTCCAAGAGATACAGAGTTTTTATATTGGGGAGTAGACAAACGTTCTTGGGCACAATTTCTTCGGTTACTAAACCAGAACGAACCATTACCACCAGATGGTCCATTTAAATTTATACTTCCACCAGCAGATTTGACAGTTTATAGAAACGTGTTTGACCCTCAAAATGTCATGTGTCATGCAAGTTTCAGTTCAAGCAACAACAGTTTTCTATGTATCGGTAAGGACTTTTATGACTTTGCTTCTAAATTCTACGAACCACCTAGTAACAGTTTCTCTGACTTTCAAGTTTGGTTCACAACAAACGGTGTGCAGCATATAATACCATTGTACTATGACTTTTATCTCGAATTGTCTTTCATATACAACTACGGAAAAGTGCTGAAAAAGTATTGAAAAATGAGTTTTGGTTGAAAAAAGAGGTGGAGCCAAAAGTGGCTCAACCTCAAAACAAGCATTTTGTGAAGAATATACCAACCGCCGGAATTCCGGCGGTTGCTTTTTATACAAAATTCAACAGGTGAATTTTCATGAATTTCCTTAAGATAGAAAAAAAGTGAGTTAAAATGAGATGTTTACTGAACTGGTTGGATGTCGCCTTCTGAGGTTATGTAGAACGGCTGACCCGAGAAGTGGAACAAGACTTGTACTTTTTCAGAACAATGTCCGACGGTTAAGCCACAAACGAATGTCCGACGTCCCACCAAAAAATATATTTTAGGTGAAGTGGTGAGATCTCACCTCTTTTCTCACCTCTTTTCTCACCCGTTGAATTTTCATGAATTTTCCCGAAATAAAAAAGAAAGTTAGTTTTTTAAAAAAAATATTTTTTATTTTTATTGTAAGAACTGAAATGACAGTCGAAGCAAAAACGTTCACGAACAAATCTAATGGCGAAACATTCACAAAAGGCACTTACAACGGTATTGAAGTCTTACGTAGAGACAAGGATGGTTATATAAATGTAACAAATATGTGTCAGCAGTTTAGGAAAGACTTTAGAAAGTTGTTGGAAAATAAGTCCTGGGAAGAGTATTTTAAGGCATTTTGTGAAGAATATACCAACCCGCGGAATTCCGGCGGTTGCTTTTTATACAAAGTTCATGCAGGAATTCCTGATGAAATCAAACAGGTTAGAGGAACGTATGTAGACCCAAGACTTGTAAACTATATAGCAATGTGGGCTTCTCCAAAATATTGTATAGCAGTTGGAAAAATTCTGGACTCCATAGACAAGAAAGTTCATGAGAAATTAGATGAAGAAGAACTTGAAGATACAGTAGAGAATGCAAAACCTTTGTTCGAACAAGAAGTTAGAAAAATGTGCGAAAAACAAATAGAACATGAACGTGAGATATGTTCTGGTTATAGAGATTCTCCATACGAACTAGACCAATGGGAACAAGAAGATTTAAAGAGAGAATTTAGAGAATATGAACTCGCTAAAATTTCATTAGAAGCTGCAGAAAAGAAGTTAAAAGTTTGGGGTCGTTTTGTACAAAAATATTGTGAGTAAATGAACCATTTCTTTTTATTGAATTCAGCAAAAATATATTTTAGGGTAGATGGTTTTTAGGTGTCACCAGGTCACCAGGTCACTCGGTCACTCGGTCATTTTAACTTCTCTGAAAAAGTGTGACAACATGACATTTTGACAACAACACAGGAAATAAACTTCATCGTATATGTTTTGTCAAGACTTCATCGTATATGTTTTGTCAAGACTTCTTCGTATATGTTTTGTCAAGACTTTCATCGTATATGTTTTGTCAAGACTTCATCGTATTCTTTCACCCGTTGAATTTTGTATAAAAAGCAACCCGCGGAATTCCGCGGGTTGGTATATTCTTCACAAAATGCTTGTTTTGAGGTCGAGCCACTTTTGGCTCCACCTGTTTTTTCAACCAAAACTCATTTTTTTCGGCAAAAATATATTTTATGTTAGCATGTTAGATCTAACACGTTTTCTAACCACTTTTCTAACCTCATTTCTACCATCGTAGAAAACACACAAAACTCTTGAGTTTTATACAGAATTCGGCAAAAATATATTTTATGTTAGCATGTTAGATCTAACACGTTTTCTAACCACTTTTCTAACATCGTAGAAAACTCTCGAAATTCATGAGTTTTGACACTTTCACAAAAAACATAAAAAATAAAGTTAGTTTTTTTAAAAAAAATATTTTTTATTTTTATTGTAAGAACATGTTAGCAACAACAGCACCAAACTCGTTAGTCATGAACCCAACTTCAATGTTAGTAGAGATGAAAAGCTTCATTCCTTCTTCATATACTTTCGAAACAGAAATCCAGAAGATAAAGCAGGAACTTCTCCAAGGAGATTTAGACTGCACTGCGAAAGATGAAACAAATGAAGAATATCTTTATGAAATGCAGGATATTATTGACCATCTACCTAAACTTCCTGAAATACAACAACAAAAGCTCACTATTCCTGAATTCGATGAAATTGAAGTCAAAGCAACTGACTCAGTAGAAACCAAGAAGTTCATACGTAAGGTAAACTATGAGTTTCTTGGATTTCATTGCAACCACAAAGTCATGGACAAAGACTGCGATATGGTATATAAAAATGTTTCTGACATATATAAATCTGGGGAGTTTAAGACCTACGACAACTTTGTTTCGTTAGTTGCAAAATGTGTATGGCAGATAAGAGATAAAGATAAAAGAGGTAAAGTATGGAACGAACAGATAAAACCAGCAGCCTTTGAGTTAAAGAAAACCATTGACGCCTTAGTTGTTCTAGCAGGTCAAATTTCAATGTACAATGCTAAAATGAACCCACAATGTTCAAAATGTAAAGCAGCAATGAGGAAATATAACTACTCCGTCAAAGAGATAGAACGTATGAGAAACGACTATGCTGACTTAAAGAAAGAAGCAGAGAAACCAGCAGAAGATAAAATGGACATGTTGACATTTCTGAACAAAAACTATCCAACTGCTGACGATTTCCTTCTATCTGACGTCAAGAAGAAATATAAAGAAACATTCGGCATTGTTAAAACTTTTGATATCCTTCGTGAAGAAATAGAAGCTACAAAACTGTTTAAAGTCATGAACCATCGCAACATATACCATGTAAAACGCTTGTAAATAGTTATGTTAGAAAAGTGGTTAGAAAACGTGTTAGATCTAACATGCTAACATAAAATATATTTTTATTGAGTAAAATGACCAAATTTCATTATATAACTGTATTTTTTTGACGAAGTGAACTTTGACACTTCGTAAAAAAACTCTATGAAATCATATCTTTTATACAAAATTCAAGAGGTGAGAAAAGAGGTTAGAAAACGTGTTAGATCTAACATGCTAACATAAAATATATTTTTGTCTGATTTACGCTCATTTACGAAGAAGAACTTGACAAAACATTGACGAAGAAGTTTATTTCCTGTGTTGTTGTCAAAATGTCATGTTGTCACACTTTTTCAGAGAAGTTAAAATGACCGAGTGACCGAGTGACCGAGTGACCGAGTGACCGAGTGACCTGGTTCCACCTAAAATATATTTTTGCTGAAAAAAATGACCAAATTTCATGATATAACTGTATTTTTTTGACGAAGAGAACTTTGACACTTCGTAAAAAAACTCTATGAAATCGTGAAAAAATGACCAAATTTCATTATATAACTGTATTTTTTTGACGAAGAGAACTTTGACACTTCGTAAAAAAAATCTCTGAAATCGTGAAAAAATGACCAAATTTCATGATATAACTGTATTTTTTTGACGAAGAGAACTTTGACACTTCGTAAAAAAACTCTATGAAATCGTGAAAAAATGACCAAATTTCATTATATAACTGTATTTTTTTGACGAAGAGAACTTTGACACTTCGTAAAAAAAATCTCTGAAATCGTGAAAAAATGACCAAATTTCATGATATAACTGTATTTTTTTGACGAAGAGAACTTTGACACTTCGTAAAAAAAATCCCTGAAATCATATCTTTTATACAAGATAGAAAAAATAAAATAAAGCTAGTTTTTTATAAAATATTTTTTTTATTTTGTATGTAAAGACAGAAAATGTTAAAGGTTGAGTTTGAAACAGTTAAAAAGATAGACAATGACACCAAAGTGGTTAGAATAGGTGATTTAAACGTAAGATACTCAAAGAAATACAACAAATATTCTTTGTCAGACATTCTAACACTATCTGAAAAGAAAACATCCCACGACTGGGTTAGAAATGCTTCAACTCAGAAAATTTTGACAAGAAATCCTGAGCTTATGATATCGGTAAGATTCTATGGAACAAGAGCATATCTCATCGACAAAAGTCTTATACCAATAGTTTTGTTCTGGATTGACCCAGTTGTTGGATATAATTTCATAACATATGGTTCATTCGATACGGAACGTTGCAGTGAAGGCTTACTTTACATCGTTCAGAAACCGAAGGACTTCAATACAAAGAGATATAAGATAGGAAGAACATTTAATATAACTCAAAGATATGACAGTATAGTCAATAGAGTCAAGGTTGTGTTCGTTAACGATATGAGAGCTGCAGAAACAGAACTACTTGAAAAGTTTGAGAAAATGTATGGTGCTCCCACGAAAGGTAAAGAAACGTTTGAAGTAGATGAGATCGACAAAGCTGTAAAATTATTTGACGAAGTTGCTGAAAAATACATGTAAAGCGTTTATTTTTGGTCTTTTATACAAGATAGAAAATAACGCTAGTTTTTTAAAAAATATTTTTTTTATTTTGTATGTAAAGACAGATATGACAACAACAGAGAACACAACAACTGCTATCGTTCATGAAGCCATAAGTGAAGAATACGAGTGGGTTCAGTTTAACAAACAGTTACGTCTCATTCGTTCAGTCAAAGATGACATGTACCAAATGCAAAGTATTTTGACAGCATGTTTTGCTCCAGATACTAAACACGCAGACGACTGGTTCAAAAACCAAAGCACACAAGAACTTTTGAGTGAAATTTCTCTAGACCGAGAATTCTCGGTCTTGCATAAAACACATGAAAATCGTAAAAATTTGCCAATAAATTTAAGAGGATATTATGTACATAGACTTCTTGTAAATGCTGTTGCAATGTGGGCTTCGCCTCGTTATGCTTGGTATATTTACAGACTTCTTGACGAAATTCATAGACAAGAACGTGAAGAGATGGAAAAGAAACTTCAAGCAAAAGATGAAGTCATTGAATCCAAAGACAAAAACATACAGAAAAGAAGACCACGTTCGGTACCAAAAGGAAAGGAAAAGAACTATAAGTATATGATTTACACTGAAGAGATGGAAAATGAAGAAGACAGAGATATGGTTATGTTGCATTTAGTCAGAAGAAACAACAAAAGCTTTTACGACCTTGCTAAGATTTACAAATCTGACAGAAATTGGTTCTATCGCGAAAACTTACCGATTTCAATGACACCAAATGAAGATGTTAAACAAATAGTTCAAGATACGTTACCTCAAACACACTATGATATGAAAGGTTGTACAATACTTACATTCAAAGAAGATTTGCCATTGTTAAAGGAAAAGATAACAGAGTATTTCGATAACTTCAAAGAGGAAGAGTAAATGAACCATTTATTTTTGGTCTTGACTTCAGATGGCTCAGGTAGCTCTAGATGGTAAATTGTCTTGTCAAATCCTTCTGGCATTCCGAGTCCTTCCTTCCAACAGGAAAAAAATTTCCTTCCGACATTCCGAGTCCTTCCTTCCAACAGGAAAAAAATTTCCTTCCAACAGGAAAAAAATTTCCTTCCGACAGGAAAAATTTTTCCTGTTGTTCGTCCGTAAACCATTCAAATTTTCGAAAATTGAGAACTTTTTGGTCGAACTTCAGAAAAAGTTTTTCCTTCCAACAGGAAAAGTTTTTCCTTCCGACAGGAAAAATTTTTCTTTCCGACAGGAAAAGTTCTTCCATCCGACAGGACACAAACGAATGTCCGACGTACCACCAACCGAGTCCATTCCAAAGCCAGAAGAACTGAAAGCTGCAGAACCACAACAGACTAAGACTAAAACACTTACATTTTTACGCTTGACTTTTTACAATTTGAACTTTGTTTGCGTAGATATGAATTCTGAAAGAAGTATGAGGGTCTTGTATGACTTTGTACTTCTCCCATAGTTCATGTCTGTCAAACTTACCTGCCATGGACTCTTTCATAAGTTCCATGAAATCGTCTTCGGACAATCCGGGGAAAAGTACAATGTCAGTAAGTATTCTCTTTACATCCTTACTTAAACTCTTGGCTGTCTGTACACAAATGACAACTGAGATGTTAAAGTGTCTGAGCTTCTTAAGAATTCGACACATGTCTTGTTCTCTGTTCTTTAACAAAGGATGAGAGGCGAAATCATCTAAGATAAGAAGACACCTATGAGGGTAAGTCTTCCAATCGTAAGATTGCAATTTCTTCGAAATGTATTCTATCTCTTTCTGTTTGTTTCTGAAGTGTTTCTTCTCTAATATTCTCTGCATTTCCTCATTTGGGTCTTTAAACTTCGAATTGACATACTCATTTATAGCATTGTACTTCAAAACTCTTCTTTGGTACTTCTTTATCCAATCTAACAACTCAGAGTCTTTTATACATACTAACTTAGACTTTTTTATAATATCTTTGAACGAATTGACGGTTTGGTCAAATTGACCAGAAGTACTACAAATGACTACTAACTCATAGAATGGGTTCTTCTCATCTAGTTCTTGTTGTTGTGCAGCCATTTTAAGATAAGTGAAAGTCTTACCCGACCCAGGTGGTGCAATTAGACCTGTTATACCATTCTGAGCAAATAGGAACTTGTCATGTATGGGTTTTATCTGAGCATTTTCTAACTTCCTCTTGTTCTTGTTTAAAACATTCTCAAATTTTTTGTCAATGTCAGCAAACTTTTTTCTAACATATTTTTAGAAAAATTAAAATTTTATCTTTTAGAAAATGTCTAGCGATTTCGCTATCTATATTCGAGACAAGCTTTTCGACAGCAAAACATCTGTCGACCATAAAATCTTACATAGTGTAAACAAGAAAGGGGAATTTGTTCTAAAGTTCTGTTTCTGGGAATATGACAAGAACCATAAAACATTAAGCAGAGCAGTCTTAAAATTTGTCAATGACAGACTTGTTGACAGAGATGACGCCTCTTGGAGAGATGAAGTCCAACAAAACTTCTTAGAATGCAAAGAAGACACATGCGCTGTTCTTGAAAATGAAATAGAAAACAGAATAGAAGAGCTATTAAATGACAAAGCACTTTTACAAAAATATGGTTCTGAGAAGTTTGACATAACTCCACCAGAAAAGAAGAAGAGAGAAAAGAAAGAAAAGAAAGTAGAAGAAGAGAAGAAAGAACCTGAACCAGTTCCAGAGAAAAAGAAATTTGACATGTAAAAATAAAATTTTATTTTTAGAACATTTCTGGGTCAATGTCAATGTTCTCTTTCTTTAGGAGCAAACACCGGCTTAGACTCTAAAATCTTTTTACCCAATTTACCTTGAACTTCAACTATCTTAGACTCATAATATTCATAGTCGTCTGCTTTCTTTGGTTCATAAGGTATAACAAGTTTGTATGCTTTGCCTTCTTTAAGGTTTGAAAACCTTCTGTCAAAACTTTCTTTGACTGTTAACAAACCTTCTATGTCTAAGTCTTCAAATTTCGCACCATTTTTAGTCACAATAGCAAACTTAACTGGTTCGATGTTCCAAACTTTGTCAAATGTAGACTTTTCAAAATGGTAGAAGTAAACATTCAAATATGTGAATGGGTCTAGTTCTTCTTTAAGTCCTGACATGTACTTGTTGACTGAGATGAATTTTGTCATCTTTTTCTATCGGATAAAAAAATATTTTTTTTTAAAATTTACTCAGAAAAATTTTTCTTTGTATATACACCATTCTGAACATCTAAAAGACTTTTGACATTTGCCAAGAATGTTCGTTTAGACGCTGTCATATAACCATACTCTTGACAATATTGTTTATACGAATCGTACAATGACCTTTCATCTAAACACTCAAAGTCAGTTTCATCTATGAACAGTTCATATACACTCTTGTTTGCTTCTAACAATGTTTGTCTCTCTTCGTATGTGGAATTTGTCTTGGATTGAACTTTGAAATATCTAATGTCATGAAATATGAGAACAAGTGTTGTAAAAGTCAGATGTCAAAGTTTCTGCTAAGTCGTCAAAATATTCTGTATCTTGCATATGAGAATCTGACGTTCTGACAACTACATATCTTCTGTCAGAACTTTCTAACTTCATCGGAACGGCGTTGTTTGAAACCATGACGAAGTTTGCAACATTTTCACAAACTCTTTGGTCTTTATATTTTCTTTCAACAACTCCAACTTTGTCTGTTATAAGACTCTTCAAAGCATCTGAGTTCAAAACTTTTGTTGTATCTATACTTTGAAGTTCGTTACATACTATAAGTTTCATATTCTCTATTGAAGAGTTAAATTTACCGCAGATGTTTTCTAAGTTTGTCATATTCGGGTTCGAATAGCCCTCTAACAGTTTGCATAAGATATCTGTAAAGAAAGTGTTCTTACCTGTTCCTTGTTTTCCAATTACAATGAGAGCAGTTTCATTTTAGCACTTGGATGTTGTAAGATGTTTGCAAACCAACATAAGATATACTCATAGACTCTTTCGTTTCCATTGCATATAATTTCTTTGACATGGTCTAACCAAGCTTCTATAACATTTTCTTTCCATTCTACTTGTTCGTATTTATATCCAGTGAAGATAGAGAAGTTTGGAGAAGGTGTATAGAACTTTATACCACGAACTGAAAAATCTTCAAGTTTGACAAAAGATATCCCAAGCATCTAACATCTTCATACCAACTTGTACGACTTTTATTTTCTTAAGTTTCTGTTTACATTCTTGTTCTGAAACTATTGTCGCTTTAGGTTTGTTAAAGACTACATCCCATTCTTTCATAACATAACATTCTGGGGCAGAGTCGACGTAAATGACTAAACGTTTCAAATTCTCGACTGCTTTGTTATAGTCTCTAAATGGACACATATTTCTGAACGCTTGGAAGTCATAAAAATCTGAAACGTCTATTCTGTACATTTTTATAAAAATAAAAAAAAAATATTTTTTTTTATTCTTGAGCTTGTTGTTGCATTTGTTCCATTTGTTGCATTTGTTGTTCTTGAGCTATTTGTTGTTGAAGTTGTTCTTGTAGTACAATACTTTCACCAGTTGCATCTTCCAATTCGAAACTTTCTGCCGTCATTGACAAATACATAGGACATAAAAGTTTTACAGGAACAAAGTTTGCGTCAACTAAGGTTAAGTTTATGTTTGCCAAAGTGTTTGAGTTTACTAAAGCTGAAAACTCTGCATTCGAATGAACAATAGGCAAACCAGCAGAGAAAGTGTTGTTTATACGCATGAGTATCTTTTGGTCATAGTAGTTTCTGTTGACATTCGAATAGCACTTTGAACCTAAGTTTGAAACAATATATAAAATAGGTGTACTTAAAGTCAATGGAACAGACATTCCTTGTATGACACCTTTTCCTGTTATAGGAAATTGTTGGTAGTAAAAACCAGATATAAGTTTTGTATTATAGCTCATATCGTTTATAGTAAACTCAGTCGGACATCCAAACATAATGAAACCTGCTCTAGTTGCAGCACATGTTACATCCGTCCTTAAAGTATTAAATAAGTCAACAAAACCTGTTGGTGGTATATCTGAGTAAGTATCTTCAAAGGAGTATTTTTTACCATTCACAACAACAAAGTCTTCTGGTGTCAAAAGAGCAAAACAGGCTTTAGTCGTCATCGTGTTTAAAGTTAGTTTACAATATCGTCCTTGAGGACTTTGTAAGTTTGTTGTTATAGAATTATATGACTCAGGGTTTTTAGTCGTAATAGTATAAACCACTATGTCTTCTGCCATTTACATATATTTAAAAGTTTTTCTGAAAGTGGAGAAGAACTTCATCTAAACTTTCACATGGCGTTTCTTGAAGTTCTCTGTCTAAGAAGTTCAAATATTTTTGTAAAGACATAGAACTTTCCTTTGTCTACACGAACAAACAAAACAGGGTCTTTCATATCGTTCAAAAGTGTGTAAAGTCCTTTACATGAAATAAAGTCTATATTGTTTTTCTTCAAACATCTTTCAAGAAGTTTTGACATTTTTACTTAGCAAACAAACTTTAATGAAATGTTGTGGTCGTCAAATATTTTTATGACGTCTGGGAAACTATATTTTAAGTTCAACGTTTCACCTCCTTTCATAACGTATATCTTGTCAATGACATTGTATGAAACACCACAGCAAGCAATGTCGGGTTCTATTTCTTTGATGTTTATATCGTCTGCCTCTGTCAAAAGTTTCAATAGTTCTTTCAAAACTTCATGAGGTGCAATGACATATGAGTTCACTTTTACAGGGTTGTGTTCGACCAAGTTTAACATTATACCCAAAGCTTGACAAATCTTCTCCTGAGTTTTAAGTTTGTCTTTAAGTTGTTGGTAGTCGTTTCGAATATCTGCAACAGAACTTAAGTCTCTGCTAACTTCAGGGTATGTTGGTTGTTCTTTTACAGGAACTATTGTTATACCATTTTCGTCTTCGTATGGTTTCCCCACTTCAACATCTCTGTCTTTGACATTGACAACAACACTTTGACTGTTTGTTTGAGTTGGTGAATTTAACTTCACATCTGCCACCGCCATTAAACCTTTTGAAACACTTACGCTTCTATTTTTCGGAAATGACATTTTACTTAGAATAAAAGATGGACGTATTTGAGTATCTCTTCGAATTGAAGCAGAACAAAGTTTACACACACAAACAATACAAGTTCATTGATAGAATAGTTCTTTATACAAACAATGGAAAATGTTATAGAATAGCAATATTTGCTGAACCAAAATATTTTCATAAAGCAAAGAAAGTTGGTATAACTGAAATGGTGAAAGTTCTTGACGTTGACAAAAATATAACAACAAAACTGACCGATATTTCTAAAGGAAGGTTTATAATACAATACTATGTCAAAACTGGCGTACTGTCAATATTTGACGGAGAGAAGTCAGTTCAAGAACAACTTACTGACCTGCTGCCAAAATCTGCTCGATGGAAGCTGTCGTTATGCCAATCTGAGGAGCCCCAGCAGGTTTCATCGAACGAATCTTCAAAAGAGCATCTTCCGTGAAAAGTGCTATTGGTTTTGTAAACTTCTTTGCTCTCAATTCATCTGGACCGTCTCTGTCACCAGTATATTGTATTTGAACTGTACCAACAGTTGAAATACCACCCATAAAGTCTTCTGAGTCAGCAAATGGAATGCCAAGCCAAAAGTTTGAACGGTCTCTATTTGTATATTGAGTTTTTTGACCTCCTGCATGGGTCCATACTTTCACATATGGCATAATAGAACTTTGCATTTCAGGGTTAATGGTTGTTGTGAAGTTGTTGTTAAAGTTCATAGCATCTAATGTCAAGTTGTATGACCTCATATCCTCAACTGTAGAATATTCTTCTCTTGGATAGTATTTGCCATCTATGTTTATATGATATTTAATACCGGGGTTGTAGAAACAAGAATAGTCATTTATAGTTCGTCTGAACAGTACAACATAGTATCTGCATGTTTCATTGCAGTTGTTAAAGCAATATCTGTTCTTGCACCTGGGTCAGCACTTTGGTTTCCAACTTCACCTGCAAAGTCTTTGACAGATATTTGGTGTATAGGGAACATAAGTGGAACTGCAATATATTGGCAGCTAAAGCATTTGAAATATCTGGGTCCAACATATAGACTGCAAGTCTGCTTTCTATTCTCTTGCATTCAAATTTTTCGCATGTGAACTTAACTGGGTCCCAAGCAGTTCCAGCAGCATTGAAATAATAGTTTACTTCAGTGTTGAGGTTTGAGAAACCAAAGTCTAAGTCAACTTTGTCTTTGCAAAATTCGGCGAATGACGTTTGATTTGCTCCCTTTACGTCTGTAAGAGTGAATGGGTCTTGTGTTGGTGCAATGACTAAGTTATTTTTGCTTGGAGTAAGTTCGATAGAAATTTTTCCTGCCCAGTTTGGCAAGTATCTTAAAAACCTGAAGATGAGGAAAGATGACAAAGGAACTCTAAGTTTCAATTTTACTTTGGTTACTGCTGCTGCAGTTTGTCCAGAAAGGTTAACATAAACTCCTGGAACGTTAGGGTCAAGTCTTCTTATTTTCTCAATAGTTGCATACTGGTCTGTTTGTTCTCTAGCTTGTGGTTGTACTGAGTTTCTCAAAGCGAACCATTCATAGTTTGCCCATGTTACTGTTTGAACTAAGTCAGAGTTAGAATATATCTTATATCCCATGAAAACTTCTGGAGCATATTGGTATCCGACATAGAAAATTCCATTGCAACCTTTCTTGTCAGACAACTTGGCAGAAGGTTTTATTTCAATGTCTTGTTCCACGTATAAGAAAGAGTTGTCAATAGAAATAATATGAAACCTGTCGCAAGCAATATCTACTGTTGTTGAAGAACTTCTCCAAACTCACCTACGTTTCCATAAGAAACAGCAGTTGTATATTCGTAAGTTCCAGGAACTATTTCTGACCTTCTAATGGCATTGTCGCATTCGTTATACCATTCGGAAACATTTCCATTCATAGCATCCAAAACTGTTGGCGTTATATTCTGAGCGGCGTACATTTCATATGGGTAAAAATATAGAATAGTTGGATTTATATGTCATAATAGAACCCACTCCGACCAAGCTTTACTTTCTTCCTGACTGAGTTTTTAACTCTTCTTTTTCCTTCATTGCCACTACTTTCACTAGATGAAGTTACTTCTTCACTACTTTCACTTTGTTCTACTCTTCTCTTCTTCTTTGGTGTCGCTTTTGGTAACTTGCCCTCTGCTTCAAGTTGTTGCATCTTTGCCTCATGTTCACCTAGTATGTTGTAAATTTCCCATGTCCTTTTTGCCTTTGGGCTCTGGTCGCCCATCTCAGGTAACCTATATCCTAGAAAGAGTTTGTCATAGTTTGTATTTGAGTCTTCGCTTATTGTTTGCATGACTCTTTTCTGAGTTTCCGGTTCAAGCTCTTCAAACAGAGCTTGTCCATATGGAATAAGCTCGTTTCCAAATATATGTTTTTGTAGCCATTCTGGTTTTCTTTCCATGTTACCAATTATATCTTTTGTGAATGGGAAAGCTTTTACCCAATCTTTCAGTCTTGCGTCGTTTATTTCTGTAGTTGGTTTTATTTTGTCAAGGAACATGTTTTTCAATACTAACATTTCATTTGGTACTGTCCATTTGAGTTTTCTTAAATATTCATCCTTCTCAGTTCATCGTCTGCAAAGTAAGTTTTTATGACATTTTGTAAACTTTCGTTTGCAAGGTCATGTACAATAGGTTCTCTTCCTTCGCTCTCCCTAACTTTCTTTCTAAACTCTTCACCAAATATACCATCTCTATGGTTCTGTGTAGTTCTTTGAGATAAATGTTCTAGAACGTCAGGTGTTATATTTCCATCAGCCATGTTCATTTCATACTGGTCCAAAATATCTGCATGTTTCATATCTTTCAATGGCATTAAAGCCGCGCTTAAAATACCAGCTATATCTCGTTCACCATTCACTTCCATTGCGTCTACAACTTCTTGGAATTGAGGTTGTAAGTTTATGAACCACCTATCCGGGTTAGCTTTATGACCCCATCTCATTGTAGTTCCATAGTCTGCAGAAACAAAAGTAGGTTTGTTTCCATCTTGGTTAGGTTCTGAATGAACTTTAAACAATGTTTCATTTCTATATGTTTTCTTGAAATTTAACCTTTTATCTTCACCGAGTTCATCCAAAGATTGAACGTTAAATGCTCGTAAGTAAAAAGGGTTGTTGTATTTGTGTACATTTTCTTTCAGTACTTCCATTCTATGCTGAATATTTTCATCTGGTGTTGGAGTCTTTTGTATGTCGGCGAACATTTTTCGATATTCTTCTACTATGTCAGCCGAATTTTTTTTAGACTCTTGGAAAGATTCCATATTCACCTCATACTCTTGTTGAGGGTCAAGATTTTTCGGCTGTTCCAAATCTTCATCTAGTTCTGTGAGGTTAGTTTCCAAAGGAGGGACTTGTTCGTTTCCTTCAGGCTCTTCTAGCTGTTGTTGCTGAACTATTTCTTCCATGTCTGGTTGTATCTGAACTTCTTCCTGTGGAGTTTCTTGTACCTCATCTGCTGGCATTTCATATATTCCGAGACCGTTTTCAACAAATTCCCTATCTAAGTCATCCGGACTCATAACCCTTTCTTCTTTCGTTCCGTCTCTATTTTTTACGCGTTTCATGAAGAGAGTTGAATCGTTATTTAGCTCTGACACCAAATATCTCGGAGTAAATTCGTTCATGTCATTTGGATGATATGCTATTAAATCATATCCCTTAGCGAGCTTGTATTTTCCAGGTTTGAAATTATATCCCATTTGGTGCTGAACCATAAAGCTAAATAGGTTCGGGTCAGTATTTCCATCCTTGAACTTTCTAATAGCTTCTTTATATCTGTCACTAAAGTCAATAGTATCGGGGTAACCATAGTCTTCTTTAAGCATTTTTAAGAATTCTTGGTTTCCTTGTTCTCTACTTCTTTTATGTCCTTGCTCTGTTTGTGGTTGTTGTGCTGGTTGTGGAGGTGGTTGTTGTGCAGGGTTTTGAACTGTTGGTTGTTGTGCTGGTTGTGGAGGTGGTTGTTGTGCAGGGTTTTGAACTGTTGGTTGCTGTGCTGGTTGTGGAGGTGGTTGTTGTGCTGGTTGTTGTGTTGGTTGTTGTGTTGGTTTTGGTGCATGTCTATGTCTGTGTCCATGTGACGATGTAAATGTTTTAGGTAGTCCTGGTGCAGGTGCTTCTCTTGGAGGGTTTGGTGGTATATAAGTTCCACTAGCTAGTATATAAGTTCCACCAGCTGGTATATAAGTTCCACCAGCTGGCACATATGTTCCATCTGCAGCGTAATGTCCTACCTGACTTTTCGTTTTTAAGAAAGCATTTACTAGGTCTGTTTTGGTCTGTTGTAACTCTTTTTCTTGACTTTTCACAACAGTTGCTCTAACGGCGTCATAGGCACTTTGAACTGCCTGTCTCGTTGCTGCATCTGTTATTTTCGTCATATTTTGTGCTACTTCTTTTAACTCTTTGTCGAAACCTTCAGACTTCAGTTTCTTTCCAGATGAGAAGTCGTTCACTAGTTTCACCTTACTATGAAGAGCTTCGAAGGCGTTCTTAAAGTCAGCATTTGTTAAAGCTTCATTTGAACTGTCTTCATCCGCTTGTATTTTTGTCCTTATTGACCCTATGAGTTGGGCTGCTTTAGCGTTGGCTTGGGCATCTAACCAGTCATTGTTAGCTTTTATATATTCTGCGCTTTTCATTGCCTTTTGCATGGCTGCGTCGTTATTTTTACTTTCTTGTGCTAAGTTTTCATACTGTACGGTTTGGTTTTGCAACTGTAAAAGTTTTTCTGCCTTTACATTTGCTTCAACTTCTTTTTTATACTCATCGCTATCCATATATGTCTTCAGGGCTTTTTGTTTTATCTCTTCATCTTTCAGTACTTTATATCGAGTAGTATGGTTTTTCAAATTTATGACATCTTGTTCCATTTTTGCTACTTCTGCTGCTTTTTCTGACACTTTTTTCGCATATTCCTCTGTACTTAGTTCTTTCAGTTGTTCTTCTTTCTTCTTTTTCTCTACGTTTAACTCATTGAGTTTCTTTGTGTGTCTGTCATATTCTAGTTTCTTTTCGTTTTCACCTATTTGCTTCTGTATGTCTATGTTTGACTTTTTGACATCTGCTATTTGATTTTTGAGTGAACTCAAATTCATTTGACTTTGAGGGTTATAGGCTGTTCCGTCTGCAGCTCCACCATAGCCTGCCATTTTCGCTAAAAGTGCCGCTCTTAAACCTCCACTCTGTGCACCAACAACTCGGTTTAAAAGCATAGGATTGCTTGACATTTGTTGCAACATAGTGGGGTCATTCAGCATTTGTTGTTGCAACTGTTGTTGTGGTGTTAGTTTTACTATTGGATGTTTCAATGCTCTCTTCCTCTTACGTATATTCTTACGTAGCTTACGTGGCATTTTAAGTGAAGTTAAAAAGCGGTTTTATACTAAACATCTTCGGGGCTAGAGGGCACGAAGTGCCTGGAAGCCCCACTGCCTTTTTTTTTTTTTTTTTTATGATTATGAATATAAGTTGTTTGTCCAGATTTATTTCATAAAAAATGAATTTAATAAATATATTTTGAATATTAACAATAATTTAGTGTAGAAATGATTTCAGAATCAAATGTATTTTAGTAATTTTCACCCAATTTAAAATATAAAATAAAAATATTAGAAAATATGTAAAGAAAGCCATATAAAACGCATATAGAACTGAAAGGAAATATGTTTCTTTAACGAGAATTTACCTGGTAGTTTATTGAGGGCAAATGAGGAGTTTTGATCGACGACAAAAGTTGGATTGAAAAATTGAAACTGGCATTCAAAAAGAAAAATTGGGACTAAAAATTGGGAAGAAATTTTTGTATAAATGTACTTAAATTATGCAAGCAATCGGAAATGAAATAATCTATCAAGAAGTGATTTTTTGTCTTTTGAACATAAATGTGGCTTGTGCAAAAAAAATCGTAAAGAAATTTAAGGAATGGTTTTCTAACATATTTTACTGATAAAACCAATTTTCTTTTTTGAATGTGTGTAATTTTGAGAACTTATTGGCAAATCATTCGTTTCTAATGTGCAGTAATCTATATATGGATAATATTTTCCAAAAATAACCCATAAACTTTTTGTAATTAGATTTTTGTAATTAACCATTTTTCCATGAAATTGTCTTAAAATCAAGAGTTAAATTATCCTGTGCAGATATTTTTAGTCTTGTTTTTTCATTCACAAAAATGGGATTTACAAATAATTATTGCTTTATATATGAGCATTAGCTATACGGAAAATAAATTATAGAGGTTAAAACATTTCAAGATTAAAACGGAAATCTTAGTGAGAATGAAATCATTAATATGAATAAATGATTAAAAAGAAAACAAATGTATGAGAGTTATTTAATTCTGAATGTTCAGAATTCACTTTACTTTGAAGAAATTTCAATGATTATTTTTTGAGTCTAAAAAGTGATTTTTAAGAAAATTGTGATTTCATTACGCACTTTTAAACGTGAATCCTTCTCAATGAACGGGAGCGATCAACATCGGGACGGACCCCCGACCATAGAGCAAAATACACTCCGTAAACGATTTTCTGAGCAAGAAGACGCCTTGCTTAAAAGTCTCGTTGAGGACGAAGGTATTAAAAATTGGGAAGAAATATCAAAAAGAATGCCATCACGGACATCAAGGCAATGTAGAGACCGTTACAATAATTATTTGTTTAAAGAAATTATAAATAAACCTTGGACTCCAGAAGAAGACAGAATAATTTTGGAAAAGTATATGATACTTGGTCCACATTGGGTAAAAATATCAGAGTACCTCGATGCAAGAAGTGGCAACAATGTCAAGAATAGATGGCACAAATATTTAAGTAAATTAAAAAATATTAATCAAGAAAAGCCGCAAGTCATCATGAATCCACCTCCAGTACAAGTTCATCCAGAGCCATCAATGTCTATTCAACCACAATATCAACCTCAACCCGTTTATGATTATTATCAACATCACCCTAAAATACCATCAATAACAGAACTTCCGATGGCTCAAGTGCCACAGACAATCTCAAACATCCCATTTTCAATAGATATCTTTCTAAATCAAACGTCGCACCTATAATTTTTTTATAATATAGCTTCGATGATAATTTAGTATTGGAATCGAAGTATGTGCGTACTTATATATTGTTTTGTTAGTATTATTGTTAGAAATAAAGTTTACATTATTGAAATCTCAAACAATCTAAATTCGTCACAGTGTTTCGCGCCAATTATAACGATTGAATATTATTACAGTACTCATCAGGCCAAGAGTAATTTTGTCATTAATGATTGAAAATTTGAAGTATTATTCCTGTCAATTGATCTTGAAAATTGCAAAATATAAGATTTTATATTATGGAATCGAAATATGATGTTTGTGATTATAGTTGGTTTAATATGCAAATAACCACACTATTATAAGGATGTAAAAAAATCATGAAAAAATTGTCTTTTTACAATTTGATAATTCGTGTGAAAATATTGGAGATTTTCAATTTTTATTCCCAATTTCGTAAAAATAATATCCGAACCTTATTGTTTATCCTTAGCGAATGAAAAGTGACAATGTTGATTGATGTCATCCGATAAAGTAAAAGTTGATAAAAAAACGGTACCTTATTCTGAAGACATCACTACATTAAATCATTTTCATGAAGTTAAGAAGATCGGTGGTGATAGTGAATTATTTGGGTTCCAAGACCAAACTAGCCGTTTTTGGCAGCCGATTAATTATTTAAATTTTAATGAAGATGAGATATTTGATCCACGCGCCCCAGAAGTGAATCCTATCATTGATTTCTATAAAAAATGTGACAGACCGAAAAGGAAGAAGTCAATTCCTAATAGTATAAAAGTTATTAAGCCGTGAGTAGCTTTGGATCGTATTTTTCCAACTAATTCTTGATTTGCTTTGTTGTTCTATAAATAGGAAATTTATTCTTTGTTTGTTAGAGTTAATATCTAAAATCATATTTTTAATTAATTACTTTTTATATGCGTTTGAAGCAATTGATATAGTAAGCAATTTAAGAATATAAAAATGAATTTTGCTCATTAGATCGCTTTTGATTTATTCCTTTTCCTGGGCGATTTCATGAATATGATCTTCATAATAATCAATAATTTGCTGTGGATACTTAGAAATAGCCTCTCTTCTTGGTATCTCAGAAATTTCATCGCTTCCTCTATAAACAACAGAGTAAACGATATCGCCGTTATGTTTCTTTGCTCCAACAACAGACTCGATACGACGCTGTTTTTCTGGGGGAGCTGTTTGGATTGAGAATCTATTTTTTCTGAATTTTTTGATGGCTTCTTTAGCGTTGCCTAAATTCGAAATTGGTTCCCAAGTTGCTTCCTCTCTTGAATAGCCTTTCCAAAGAACTAGATATAATGTTTTAGATCCGCTCTTACGTTCATCAATAATTTCCTGAACCTCGTAAACTTCTCCACCGCTGGCGTCTGAATCAGATGACATTAAATGTTGTCACTTTTTCATACATTTCTCACTATCGGTTTTTATTTTTATTACTTGGTAATTGAAATTTAGTTGGGAAAGTTATTCAAGATTTTGTTGTAAACAGAAATTCATCAAAAGTGACACCTCAGAAAAGCTAAAATATTGAATTTTTGGAACTTTTGATAGAGCACGTTTTTAAATATTAATTAAAGTAAATGTATATTTTGTAAAGATTCTTTTTAATAAAAAAATAAAATTTTGAAGAAGAACACAAAATCTTCTGAAAAATAATATCACATAAACTCATATTATTTTCTAATATATAACTATTTTATATAAAAATCAAATTCAATGATCTTAAAAGCGAAGGATAAACCTCAAAATTTACGAATATAATGAGTGGGAATATAATGCTTATCTATCATAAAACCATATGAAATATCAATTTTTGCTTTACGCCTAATTTTTGACGACAATTAGCAAAAAATGTTAAATGTTAACACTCAGTCCATTTGAATATGAAAAATAAAATTGACTTTGATTAAATGTTTTTATTTATCATGCAATTCTTCTTGCGACCAAAGATTTGAATAAAAGTTCAAAAAATAAGATAGCTTAAAAATAATATACGGTAGTGTTTACTAATAGATGAATAGTATATAAATTCTATTAGAATGGATTTGATCCAAAAAAAATATAAAATTTGATCATAAATAAAATCGTTTTAAATTACTTCTTCATTTAAATTATAACAATTATTTTTGGTTTTATATTTTTTTGGATCAAATCCATTCTAATAGAATTTATATACTATTCATCTATTAGTAAACACTACCGTATATTATTTTTTAAGCTATCTTATTTTTTGAACTTTTATTCAAATCTTTGGTCGCAAGAAGAATTGCATGATAAATAAAAACATTTAATCAAAGTCAATTTTATTTTTCATATTCAAATGGACTGAGTGTTAACATTTAACATTTTTTGCTAATTGTCGTCAAAAATTAGGCGTAAAGCAAAAATTGATATTTCATATGGTTTTATGATAGATAAGCATTATATTCCCACTCATTATATTCGTAAATTTTGAGGTTTATCCTTCGCTTTTAAGATCATTGAATTTGATTTTTATATAAAATAGTTATATATTAGAAAATAATATGAGTTTATGTGATATTATTTTTCAGAAGATTTCATTCTATATGCCTATGAAAAGTACTCTCAAAACTAACTTTTTCCTAATTATGATTAAATCTAGAATATTGTATTATGCTTAGTATTATTTCATTTTTCTCATTCAATTTAGAATTTACAAATGTCAAAAAATTGAGAGCTGTCACTTTTGATGAATTTCTGTTTATTACAATTTTAACTAGGGTTGTTAGATTCCCGACGATAGGTGTCTTGGAAGATTTGCCTGGTGTCATCATAGTGTCTTTAAATCAAAAATTTTATTTTGGAGTTAGTTTTATTGATTTTTCAATAAAAAACATTTCTAAAACAAGAAAATAAAACGATAAAATATTTATATTTTATATAAGGATCTTATATATTTAAAATAAATATCATTTTATTTTTTTTATTGGTGTCTGTCAAACCATAATACACTATTCAAAAATTCAATGTGTCTTGCGGTTTCAAAAGACACCTTCAAATCGAACGATAGCACAGACACTATTGAATTTTACCCATTGTATTTAGTTTTTACCCTTTTTATTTTTAAGAATTAATGACTGAAACAGCCGTTTTGCTATGACCTCAATCACTTTTATTTATTATTTTAAATATTATTTAATTTTATTATTTGAATAGGTCAACTTATATTTTAGAAGCTCAATTTGAGACCACTTAATACATTGAAATATCATAAATATTGAAATATTAAAAAGTGTATTTCAAAATATTGAAATTATAAAAATTTATAATACTGAAATTGAGACAAATTAATAAATTCAATGTGTTTTTTTTTGAAATAACTCTCAAATATTATTTTTTGTTTATTTAATGATGAATAAATATGATTGCTTTAGTCAATCATAAAAACTAATTTAAGTTTAAAATAATGAAAGGATAATTTGATCGTTTTTTAAAATACAATTATTTTTGATGATTTGCAAGAATCTTTGAAAAGAATATAATATAGGTTCTATTTTTGTAAAATTTATCCAAATCATGTATTACATAAATTACGATTAAAACGATGAAAGAACCAAAAAGTGTGTTTTGTGTTTTGTTGTTGCGTGTTGGATGCGGGATCCTGTTATTTCAGAAATCGACAAAAAATTGGAAATTTAATTTCCGAAATCGAAATTATATTAATGTTTTTAATATTCTTATATCAAAAGGATTAAAGTTCATTAAGAGAAAAACAATTCTTCTTCTTCAATCTATTGGCGCATTTATTTCTACACGCCAATAAGGAAGGGAAAATTATAAGACACCATGGTGTCTTCAAAACGCTAATTTTTGATATTTTTAACAACCCTAATTTTAACTTAATATTGCCTTTTTTGATTGTTAAAAATGAGATCTAATGAAAAAATGGATTAACATTGTCCTTGCATGATCACTTACTAATATACCTCCATATATGACAGTTGCTCAAGCTTATGATCGCCTAAATTCAAACTACATTAAAAAATTGTAAAAAAATGCAGAAGATCTTTAATATTATGAAATAAATTCAACTACATATAGAGAAAAACTTATGTTTGTGTCATTTGGTTAGCTTAATGATCGGTTTGGAAGCAAATAAATGAAATATTTTACCATTTATTAAAATGAAATGGATATTTCCATATGAATAACACACAAACTTTTTCATTTTATCTGGTTCGATAAAAAATAAATCAGAGAAATAAATAAAAAAATAATAAAATTTAAAAATTTACATCTATTTAACGCTATCTCTGATTTCATCAAAGAAAGGATGCTTCATTGCCTGCTCAGCTGTAGGGCGAAGGTTATGGTCGATTGTAAGCATCTTAGTCAAAAGATCCAATGCTTGAGGAGTACATATATCTCTGTTTGATTCATTAATTAATCCAGCCCACATTGTTCCCTTTAATTCGGAAAGACGGGCCTTGAGAGATGAACTGAGCTTTAAATCGTATTTTTCTGCGTAATCAAGCATTGCTTGGCCACCGAGATATACGCACATTCTTTCGATCTGCTCGTTGCTATCGCGTCCTTTGAAAAATGGAAGCTTGTGGAAGAGAAGACCAGCGAGAGTGCAACCAAGGCACCAAATATCAAGGCTTGGTGTGTATTTAAGATATGAAAGGAGGAGTTCCGGACCCTTGTAATATTTTGTTGCAACTCTGACTTGGTATTCTGAATCTGGAGTGTAGAATTCAGCAAGACCCCAGTCAATTAAACTAACTTCTTTGGTTGTCTGATTCCACATGATATTTCCTGGTTTTACATCACGATGCATGATGCCATTTTTATGGGCAAATGCAAGAGCTCGCAAAACGCCGTAAATGTATAAAGCAATATCACGTGTAGTCATCTTTCCGAATAATGTTTTAACATCGTTATTTTCAGCATAATTTAATATTAATGATATGTATTTGGAATCTGGGTCTTTGACTACATCAAGTAGTTGTGAAATATTTGGTCCATTACGAAGAACATTAAGAATTGCAATTTCACGATTGATTTTCATAATGCGAACCGGCTTAAGTACTTTAACGACAATTGGTTTGCCTGAATCGATAATATGTCCTGAGAAAACGTTGGAATACTTACCACGGCCAATCCTGTTGTTAACAGAATAGTCATCAATATTTCCTAGTGGATAATTAAGCTCATCTCCCTCTGATTCTTGATACTTCTGTGCCGATGTTTTCTTCATTGTCGATTAATTTTTTTTTTTCGCGCCCCCGCTAAAAAAATCTTACTATGTCAAAATTAAAAGCAAGTACCACAATCATTACATGCATGCGCTGTATTGGATAATTCTATTTACAATTAGAAGATTAAATCATTAATAAAGTTTATCAATTTCTAAATCAAGCTTAATCTGAACATTACCCTCTTAATATGGTAGTACATTCAATGGTATCTTCAAACTCAAATTTTCGAGAGTAATTGACAACTTCATTCTCTGAATTGAAGAAATTTGATGAAGTACTAATTAGAAAAAGAAAATATATGAATTTTTGGTCAATACAGAATATGAGATTAAGATGTACCATCTAACTTCTAGGGTTCAGGATTAGGATAGAAAACTAAAGTACTCACAAAATCTAGATTGAGAGGCGGTCAATGACTTTTGAGGGGAAATTAACGCATGGAATTTAATATTATTTAGGTTGATATTCTTGCTTATTATTTCAGAAAAAATCTTAAAAATTTCAATATGAAAATTGAAAGCAATTCAAAAAAATTGCTAACATGTAAATTTTAATATCCTATGCATAATTTCATATTTTGAACATTTTTTATTTTTGTTTAAAACTTAAAATTTTGCGAATTTAATATAATTTATAAAATATAATACGTATATATATCTAAAATACACTAAATTTAATTGTTAATTGACGTTTTTGGGAATGAATTTTATCAAAACATGCCTGAATCCGAAAATTTGAAAGAACGAATTACACAATCATATATGTAGAATTCAAAATACAAACTTAAAGATTGTATACGTTTAAAATTATTCAGATTGTGTTTGATTTCCACTCATTCTGTTTCTTTTGAACTCTAACACTAACATTTCATGATGATTACATGATCCATTTATACATGGTTGAATTGTTCCAGATTCTACCAGAAAATCAATCCAAATTTCTCAATGCATTCATGTTGATTGGACAAAATTTAAAATTTATCAGCCTGTTTCCAGAGAAACTCATATATTCCCTAATGAAATGTAATTTTTGCTACATTTATTTCAATCAAATTTCAAAAAATTGACTGCAGAGCTTGAAAAGGTGATGAATCATGTTGTTATTAGATGTACATATTAGATTTACTATTTCCAAAAAAAATGCTCAAATTTGAATAGTTTTTAGAAAATTTGGAATTACACTCCTTACATTATATATAATTAAATGTTTAAATTTTATTCATTTTTCCCTTTTAATTTTATAACGTGCTCTATCAAAACTAACCTCTCAATTGAAGGCCACAAAATCTAAGTAGTGAGGGTACACAAATTTTGTATGGAGTACGGTTCAATTTTTGAGAGCCTCACTACTTAGATTTTGTGACTACCTTATATTAGATATGGTGAATGAATCTATCTAAATATGGATAACTAAACAAATTATTGATAAAATAAAGTTATTTGCTTAAATATATAGAATCAAAACACGTACAAATTAAATGTTTGTTTAAAAAATTGATTTTATGTAAATTATATATGAAAAAGGATTTTATTCTGCCCACTTGAGCGCAATTTACTGCTGAGCTTCGTTCTTCTTGGAGATCTTCAGCTTGCCGAGGAACTTGGAGCGCTCCTCCTTTGTCTGGAAGCGGCCGTGTCCGAACTTGGAAGCTGTATCGATCCACTTGAGGTTGATTTCTTCTGTGGCGATACGGCGTGTGTTGATGTTGATTGTCTTGCGGAGTGTGATGGCGCGCTTGACTGTGCCGACAACGGAGCCCTTGATCATGAGGAAGTCATCCTTGACAAGACCGTAGTGTGGGAAGCCACCCATTGGGTTGATGGACTTCTTTGTGAGATCGAAGGATGTAGAACCACCCTCGTTGATCTTGCCCTCAACTTCGGCAGCACCGATTCTGTAGATGCGCTTGTTCATCTCTGTACGGTGGTGGCAACCGCGCTGACCGTAACGAGCGACTGACCAAAGAACACGAGCTGGGTTCCATGGGCCGATGCAAGCAACTTTCCTGCGGCCACGGTGGGTCTTCTTCTGAAGACGCTTTGTGCCGTAACGGTGGATAACACCTTCCCAACCGAAACCTTTGCCAACACCGATTGTGTCGATCTGTTCGCCCTCTGTGAAGACATCGGCGACCTTGATCTCCTTTTCGAGGATGGACTTGGCGTAGTTGAGCTTAGCAGCAACATCGCCACCGTTGATCTGGATTTCGATCATGTGAGCCTTCTTCTGGCCAAGGTGGTTGCCCTTGAGGACCTTCTTGGCGCCCTGCTCGTTAGCATCAACACCGCGTGTTGTTGTCTTGGCGGACTGTGTGTGAGCGATGACACGGATGACTGTAGCCTCCTTCTGGAGTTTTTCGAGTTGCTTCTCGCGCTTCTCAGCAGCCTTGCCGTTGGAAAGGCAGGAGAAAGCCTTGCGAGCCTTGGACTGGTACCAGTTCTTGTAGTAGTTACGCTTGACTTCTTCGTTGACGTAGGAAGCCCAGACTGTTGTGACTGGCTTGAGGCCTTCAACTGTTGGCTTGTAGCCGATGATACCAACAACGAACATTGGTGGTGTCTCGAGGATTGTGACTGGTTCGCAAGCCTCCTTCTTGTGGAGACGAGAGTTTGGACGGACAACATCACGGAGAACGTGTGTCATACCAGCCTTGTAGCCGATGAAAGCGCAAAGATGTGGCTTCTGGGAAGCATCATCCTTTGGCCATGAGCGTACGCGGCCACGGACGGCATGAGAACGGCCACGTGGAAGGAAGCCGAGGGAACCACGGCGTGGAGCATTGAACTTGCGATGAGACATAGCAAGAAAAAAAGGGTAAGACCAAAACCGTAACCGCCTTTAGATGAAAAATAATCAAAATTTACAAGGAATGAATTATGTATTTGAGATATGCGTGTGATGAAATGAATAAATCTAATGATATTCTTCCAAAATATCCTTAAATCAGATTAATCCACTCATCCAATCTGCTCAAAATAGCTAATTGATATGTACATATCCAAATTTAGAATATTTATACTATATTCATTGTATAAAATCCTTAAAATAAAGAAATAGAAAATGTAAAATTTACGAAATTGTTGAATGGTGGAATATTTCAGATTGTGAAGATATAATTATGTATAAATGTGATACTTTCAAATCAAAAGACATTTGATAAATTTTAGACAAAATTAAAAAACAAAGCTTTGGATTTCCTTATGGCGTGGTTATGCATTTCAATATTTTTTGCAGCATTTAAGAGATGAATTCCATTATAATGCCCGATATCAAACCTTATCGAACGCTGGAGTTTCGGAGTTCTCTTGATTTCCTACGAGGAATGAATATTACTAAAGAAATAACCCTATATTCCACGTATAACGCTCGATTCGCTCTTTGTTTTTCTCCATCAAATTGCAAAATCGCCTATTGAGTGGAGAGTTACGAAATGCGAAGATTGCTGACTCTGATTATCTTGTTAATTCATATTCGTATTTTCATCTAACTTTCTTCTCAATTTTCTGAGGTTTTGAATACTATTGTCAATTTGAAAGGATCATATCGTTAATTATCTGTTAGAGAAAAATAATTCTTTAAAATTTTAATATTCAGTATGAATGCAACATAAATTTTTAAAAGTAATTCAAAAATAAATTCACAAAGGATTCAAATCCGAAAAACCAGCTCACTTTAGATAGATGCCAGCATCCCCATACATTATCTTCTCTAAGGAAAAACGCCCACAGGTCAAGGCTGAAAACCCAGGAATCTCATTCGGTGATATTGCTAAGAAGTTAGGAGAAATGTGGAAGAACATGTCAGAGGAAGAAAAGAAGCCATACATCGAGAAGGCAGAAGCTGAAAAGGCTGAGCACAAGGATGACCCAAAGGAGAAGAAGTGCAAGTCTAAGAAATGCAAGTCATGCAAGAAGGAAGCTTCTGACAAGGAAGAATCAGAAAAGGAAGCTGAAGGCTCTGATGATGAGTAAATATTTAGTTTATTTTTGTTTAAATAAAGTCTTTTTAATACTAAATTTTTTAATAACGAATAATATAAGAACTAGAATATGAAGATATTGTATTTGACCTTTTATGTGGATTTAGTAAGCATAAACGGTCATATTTCCCGTTTGCTGTGAGATCTTATTTGAAAATGCTTGAGAATCCGTAAATCTTCAAGTATGATGGCCATTTTTGTTGTATTTTTGAAGTGGAGGTATTACTTAATATATTTGTGTATGGGGCTTAATACTCTTATCATATCTCATTTCTTCACTCCCTTTCTCGTATGTGAATGTTCCATCAGTGGCGAACCGCTGTCGAACCTGATCTTTTTGCATTATTTCTCTTTAAATATTGATTTGTTCTCGATGTTGACGTTTCAAGTATGGCCTAATATTGTCGGTAAATGTTGTTATATGACTTAAACCTAGAAATTTGTAATTTTCAAATCTCAAAAAAATTTAAATTTTTGATTTTAAAGTTAAAATCTGTAAGATTTTATATCAAAATTAGGATTTTGAAAAAAATTTGGAAAAATTCAAAACGCAGAAATGCAATTATAATAGAAAAGAAATAATATTTCAGCGAAATCAAATAAAAAATCATATTCTTCAATAATCGCTATAAGAAATTATTGAAAAAGTAATGATAATTCATATAAAAAACACTTTATTTCATACAAATACTAAATTTCGTCACCAATTGGTAACTTTTTATCACAAACAACTTCGATAGTATCTGGAATCTGAAGAGATTTAGCATCAAAGACTCCACAGTAAAATATCTTCTTGATAGAGCTACCGGAAAACGTTTGAGGATCAACAATAAAAGTTTCGTCCGGTATCGCTAAAATCTCCATTTTCGTCACTCCAGTGAATAGATGCCTTGGAAACTTTGTGACATTTGTCATACTTATATCTATATCTTTCAGTGTAGGGATAGAGAAGCAGTGATGGCCAACTTGATTCAACATTCTTGGCAAAGTAATGTATCTGAGACCGCTATTCATAAACACATACTCGCCTAGTGTTTTAAGAGCGGAATGGAAAAACTTAACTGCTCTAAGATTATGACATTCATAAAATGCGTAATTTTCGATAGATTCTACAGAAGATGGTACTTGAACTACGTAAACATTTGAATGGGCAAATGAATAAGACCCAATTATTTGTACATCTGGATGGAGAACAGGTTTTTCGATGGTACAAACTGAATAAATTAACTTTTTCCTGAAATATGAATATATAACTCCATTTTCAAAAATGAAAAAGCGATTAGTACTTAATATTTCGAAATTTTTGAGATTTGTACAGTTAGAAAAAGAACTTCCTTCGATGGATCGAATGTTTTTGGTAATAGTAAACGAACTTATAGCAATTGATGCGAATGTATATGAATTAATCGATACTATTGTTGATGGCATGATTAATTCTTCTAAATTCCATGAATTGTTGAAAATTCCTGGAGCAAGATGGTATAGCGGAGATTTTGAAAGATCAACACGTGTAAGTTTTGGACAATATGCGAAAGCAGATGCTCCAATATAAAATATTGTTTTCGGAATTATAATTTCTGTTACTGAGGTATTTGCAAATGCATAGTCCAAAATCCTAGATACAGTATACTCTGTTTTTTTAATTGTAAATGTTTCAAAGAAGCTCACTACTCCTGTCACGTTTCTTGGCTGATAAGATGTTCCAACTTTTGGAGGAGATCGAATTGATAGTCTATAAAAGTTTGTGTCAATATCACAATCAACTTTCACATCAGGTGCGACTTCGAAATATTGAACTTTTGCACTCAGTGCGTGTGTGAAAAGAAATGTAAGCAAAATCATGATTTTATAAAAATTGACAGATTTTAAAAATGTTTTTTGTGGTTGACTTGAGCTATACCGGATTTAGTGGAAAAATCGAAATGAGATCCACATTCAAAAAGTGACATTCCGAACCGGAAAACCAACAATTTCAGGTTATTATTACTAAACTTTTTATAAACACAAACAAAAATATATTGCGCTACTGCATATATATGTTTTCCTTTGATGAAAGGAAAACTGGAAAAGATTATTCAGTAATAAGACGGATGATGAGTAGATTTTTGTGGGGCAGCACCAATAACTAATGCTGCTGCGTTCTTGTAAACACCTTTAGTAGACTGAGATGCTGAGCCTCCTTTTTTAGGAATTGTTGAATTGCATCTTTCTCTTCTCTGTTTGGGCTTTGGTTTTTCTGGAAGGGACGGCTTCTCCATGAGTGGGTGCAATAAGCAAAAATATGTAGTAGTGTTGTCGGAAATAATTCCTTCGCTCAATTTTTTCTTTAATTGTTCCGGATCTATATTATACTCCTTGCATTTTTCAATGATTTCCTCTTTAGGCTTTGTTGGCCTCCTCTTAAACTTAAGAATATCTGAATATCCATTAACTTGGTAAAAAACAATCGGACTTGGAGCCATATTTAGCATCATAGGAGTAACACCACGAAGCCATGGATGGTTCTGAATATCTATCAATCGGCAACGAGATGATGGTCGGACATGCAACATTCTTTTCAGAAGATCTACAAGAGCTGGAGAGAAATTAAGCGGAAATCTGAGATTTTCAGCCTCATCTATAAGCTTACGGTAATTGTTGCCTGTGGAAAATGGAAGGTTGGCCGTAATCATCGCATATAGACAAACGCCTAATGACCAAACGTCGCATTTTTCATCATAATCATTACCTGCAATAACTTCTGGTGGAGTATATCCGGGCGTTCCGACGTACGAACGCATAATATTGCAATAAGAAGTTGATGCTAAACCAAAGTCCGTAATTTTTACGTTCCAGTTTGCATCAAATAGAATATTTTCGAGCTTTAAATCTCTATGAACAAGGAAATAGTAGTTATGAAGATATCGAAGTGCTGAATAAATTTGAAAGAATATTCTTTGCGCTTCTGGCTCCTTAAGACCAGAATTTTTATTGACATAACTTAAGAGTGTTCCACCAACAGCATATTCAATAAATAAAATTAGACTTTTTCCTTCCAACGACATTCTATAACAAGAACATACGTTAGGATGTTCGACTTGCATAAAAACACTTATTTCACGCATAATTCCGTTGAATTCATGCTGTCCGAGTCTTGAAAGATCGACTATTTTCGCTGCGGCGTAAACACCTGTTGTAATATGTCGGGCAATATGGACAGTAGAGAATGCTCCGGCGCCAATTTCTTCAAGGATTTCAAAGTTATCGATAATTCTTGGCTCCCCGCTACTTGCTGCCGGGTCAATAGTTACCTCTTTTTTGTCCATTTTTGTATCGATTTTTTTTACAAAAACAAATAAAAAACAGTTTCGTATTCAAATATTCGTTTTTCTATAAGACCAACGCAGAAATGGTTTTGTATTGTTGTAATTACTAAGTGGAGTGATATTTCACGATATTGAAAATTTTCCAAAAATTCGAGGAAAATAAACGTAAATTCAGAAAATACTATGTGGGAAAGAGAGTAATCATCCTTTATTAAAATTTGCTTATGAATAAAGACTCCATCGTTAAAAATCGTATTGGCATTGAAAATTTTATTAGATTTTGAGATAATGCCTTGAAAAACATAAATAAAAAGTATTGTTGAATAATTCTAATAGAAAAAATTGCTAAAATTATAAATTTTTTCGAAAGGATAATTTGAATAGAGACTCCAATTTGGTTAGGAGACTCAAACAATTAGAAATAAGCCATCAAAATTTAAATAAAGTCAATAATACCATGAAAAGACTTAAAGAATAATGTTTACTTGAATTTTTCAATATCGCCTTTGATGCGAGAAACATCAGCACCAGCAAAATGATCTAGTGTCTTGATGTCGTTGCCTTCTTTCTTAACAAAGAAAATAGCTGGAATTGAAGAAACCTCCCAATAAGCGGCTGGTCCACTGCTCTGATCAACATCAATTTTGATAAATGTAACATCCTTGTTAGCTTCGGCAATTGATGGGAGGATTTGACCAAGGCGTTGGCATGGGCCACACCATGTTGCAAAGAAATCTAAAAGAACAAGGCCCGGAGCTTCCTTAATCTTATTAAGGAGATCCTCATAACTGCCATTGAAGTGAACAATTGGATCGGACATTTCTAGAAATGAAGTGGAGTATTTAAAATTTAAAAATTTTTCAATTTTTCAAAACCATCCAAAATTTGAATCAAAAATTTCTCTACAGGAAAAATTTTTCGAAATGACACTACAAACATTGATATATCACTGGTATAAAACAATATTTCAAAATTATTTTCATTCTCCAAATTGAATCATCAGACAGAATCATGATCTCAGAATGTCCAAGATGGTTGATAGATCGGAGTACTAATTGCTATTGGGATTATTTTGTTTTAAAGTCAAAATAGTAATTTGAACAATGGGAGATATATAGCAGAACTTCCTCAAATTATTTATGCAATTACTCGAATAATCAAAAGATCAGATATATTGATGACCGTGCATAATAGTGGATATCACTGGATTTTAATCATTTCATTCAGAATTATTGCTGCTTCATGCATCTTTAATTTAGTTTATTAAAAGCAAATATGTTACTGAAAGATATCAAATTCAATACGCAAATAATTGATGCTTCTGTCGCGGTATAAACATATGGAAAATGTGCCATGAAAGAAAGTGATTCTGAGGTAAAAATAAATATATAAATAATAAATAAAAGTATTTTTTTTATTTGAACTTTTCAATATCAGCTTTGATGCGAGAAACATCAGCACCAACAAACTGATCTAATGTCTTGATTTCATTACCTTCTTTCTTAACGAAGAAAAGAGCTGGAATTGAAGAGACTCCGTAAGCATCTGCAGCATTGCCGTTCTTATCAACATCGACCTTGATGAATGTAACATCTTTGTTAGCTTCGGCAATTGATGGGAGGATTTGGCCAAGGCGTTGGCATGGACCACACCATGTTGCAAAGAAATCGACAAGAACTAAACCTGGAGCTTCCTTGATTCTGTTGAGGAGAGCTTCGTGAGTGCCATTGAAGTGAACAATTGGATCGGACATAACTAGAAATGAAGTGAGATAAATAAATTTTAACACAATATCAAATTTTCAATACCATCCAAAATTTCTATCAAAAATTTCTTCTCTGAATAAAATTTTCGAAATGGTTTTGCAATTTTTAATATACTGCTATAGTATAACAATATTTCAAAATTATTTTAGATTCTAAAATTGAATGTTCAGATACTGTTATTGAATTTTTTTTCGCTCTTCTATCTGAACTCTCAATCTATATTCAACATTCCTGAAAATAAAAGGTTGCATTCTTATACTTCTAAATCATATTTCTTCATGAATTTTAGTAATTTTTAAAATTTTTTGGGAATAAAATTAAACTCAATTTGATGTAGATCAGAATAAATGGGTAAAAATCGATTGGAATACATTGCTTATTATATTCCTCTCTGAATTATTCCCGATATGTAATTCTTGAAAAATTCAGAATAGTTTTAGCAACAATTCGTAAATAATGATAAATAGTCGTATGGAACAACATTAAGAGAATCTGTTCTTACGTTACAATTCTAATAATACTGTTTTTTTGGTATTGATTGTTATAATTCTAAATAAAAAGTCTACAAATGATCGCTATCTAAAGTATCTTACATTTCTATAAGCCACTCAATTAATTGCGATAAGTCTACATATTTGAAGATAAAGAGAGAATAAAAATTTATTCGAGAGAAACAATTCTTTACGCATATCATTGTAGTTTAATTGATTTGCCAACATGAAAATAAGAAAATATATTATTGAATAAGAAATTCCAAGGAAATTGAGTTTATTATTAAAATATCTTAGTCAAAATTTAATTATCTTGATAATAAAATAATCAAATTTAATACTAAACAAACAATAATATATTTTAACTAGTTACAAGAAACAATTGATTGATGTAGAAGTAATATTTGCATTTGCATCTGCAATTCTTGCCCAATTTCTAATTATTGGACTGTCTGAAGGTGAAAATCCCACAGAGAGCATCTGTGTGTTCATTCTTGCCAGTGTCTGTTGAGATCTCGATGACATTTCAACAGCTTTTCTGACAAATCTATTGTAAATCTTCTTGATTTGCGTATATAACAGCATAACAATAACAGGAGATGTATGATTTTCGATTGCTGGCTTGTCTTTCAGCAAAATTGAGTCAGGAGGTGTAATATAACCCTCAAATTTCATCGAATCAAGGAAAAGGAAGGATGAAAAAGGATCCTTTTGATGATCATAGTCCAAACCAACAATAATCTGAGTGATTTTTGTACGATTTGCAATTTCAACAACAGGAAATTGAACTCCGTATGGACATAATGCGGCAATCTTCTTGGCAACTGATGTATATTCGCTTGATGATGACGATAACACGTATAATGAATGTCCAGAGAACAAAGTAAACAAACAATTATAAATAACCTGACTTTTGACGATTTCATTGAACTTTTTGCAGTCTCCTGTCATTGCATTACTTAACAAACCACTAATTCCGGTAGAACTTTTCCAAATTGCGTTGGTCAAAGTTATATCTGATGGTAATGACTGTACGAAGCTCGTAAGTGATGGAATTATATCATCGAATTTGGTTAATTGTCTAATTGGTCGAAGTTCATTACAAATTTCGACAAAAAAGTAAGGATCTCTTGGAATTGCTTCGGATTCAGGAGCTGCTTCAACTTCAACCTTACGAAGTGTATTTTCTAGTTCGTCTAATTTTGATTCTAAGAGTTTGACAGAATTTGGCTCTGTTTTTAGTACTTTATTTAATGAAGCAGCATAAACAGAGATTTCCTTTGGGAAAATCTCTGCAGCAGCATCTTGTAATGATACAGCATATGACATGAACTTATCGAGCAAGTTTGCGTAGATATATTGCATTATTGTTTGATGTTTGTTTCCAAGAACGAGAACAATGGATCTAGAGAATCCTCTTGCTTCAGCATCTGGTATAGAAACATAAATTGCTATAAAATGTGTCCCCATGTACTCAGATTTGATAACAGTAGGTCTAGGTCTGTAAAACGCGAGACGAAGGTCTGTTGGAAAGTTAACAACATACAATAGGAACTGATGAAGATCCATGACAGCCGTGGTTGGTAAATCCCATATAATTCTGGGTTCAGAACCTTGAGGAAATTCAAATAAACCAATGTAATAGGAAGAATTAGCATTTACGAGATTTTGTAAAGGTTTTGATATAAGTAGATGAGGAGATGAGTATGTTCTTGCTCCCATACTACTCACTCCTAAATTTTTCTTATCTTCATTTTTTATCTTTTTATTTTCTTCGTTACTTTCAATGCTTGGTGTTTTTTGCTCAGTAACCTGAGTTTCCAAAACCTGATTTAGCATTGAAAGAAGTGGATGCGTCGGTGCCTTTTGTATTTGCGAAATTTTTTTTTGAAATTTATTTGTCAATTTTTTGATCTTTTTGACATTTGTAAACTATTGGGAATATTTTCGGGGTATTATTATTGTCGTCTGGCCGTTTTAGACGACAATTCGAATCTCAGGATTGGAGTGCTTCTTAACTAAATTATTTATATAGTTTATATAAGCAATATTTACCCAGATTTTCCTTACTTTTACCACTCCCCATGTAATTTCTGGGGAAAACGATAATTCATTTTTTTTATGGATGAATAGATCGTTTTCCTAGAAAGGACCTCATATCTCTGGCTAAAAAGAGTGTCAGATCCTAAATAGATTATTGATCTAGTGTACAAATCCAATAAAAAGCCTATTTTTTTGGCTTTTTTGGTGCTCATTTTTTCGAAGATCTACATGAATATGGGGAAACCATCGGATTTTTTTGGTTAACCCACATCTTCATGTAGTCTGGACTATCTTTCCTCGAAGGACCTCTTTACGGGTGTAAAAACTCATAAAGTTCTCAAAAGATTCATTCTCGATCTCCATGCTGAAAGAATTTACAATAAAAAAGAGATCTACGCATCAAACTACAGCCATAAATGAACCGAACCCCTAAAGCTCAGCTCTTAGTTTATCAAAAACGTCGAAATCCTTCTCATTGCAATCAAATTTTCTCAATAACTCATAAGAAAAATCGAATTTTGATTAAGCCGATGTTATAGGTATCACAAATACTACAAACTTGAGCAATATCGAAATTGCCAGCAAAAGTTTGAAATTGCATTGCTCATATTTGTTTTGTAAACTAAAAATCTGCTTATATTATTCATTAATTTTTTATATATTATTCATATACTTTAATAAAAACAATACTATTTCACCTTAAAAATGAATTTCATAAGTCAATATTATTTTTTTGAAAATGTATCAATTTTCGATTAAAACAACATGAGAATAAAATTTACGCAAAATTATTTTAAAAAATGGTTTTAAAAATTTACAATTGATTAAGAATAAGATTGGAAGAAGTTTTGAAGTTTAATTTTAAGAAAAAAAATTCGGATATTATTTATGGATCTAAGTAATCTGATATTTGAGTATCGGCACTATGCATAAAACATATATTTATAGTTTTTTTGGATTTTTATGATTTTAAATATATTCAAATTTGGCAATCCAATAGATTTTTAAAAAATAGGTAAATAAAAATAGATTACATATGCAGCAGATTTAGAACATGAAACAAATCTTATAGTGACCCAAAAAAAAATTCATGATCCAAAAAAGAAAAAAATTGGCTAAATGGGAATCAAACCTTGGCATAATGAATCATTATGTCGGATGTTTCCACTACACCGGCAGTTCGAAAAATACCCTTGGTGGTTCTATTTAATAGCTACTCCCAACGATAGGCGGTGTCCCCAGCTTTAGAGAGGTGGTAAAAGTAAGGCAAATCTGGGTAGTTATTATGGATCTTCAAAACATCGTTTTATCCTCTAAAATTATGAACATACATTGTAAATAAGCTATAAATTAAAGTACGATTCTTCACATAGCAAGAAATGGCTTTATCATTTTGAAATAAATATCGCAAAGCTTAAGAGCCAATATCTAGTTAAATATTAGTTCTATTTATTATCATACAAACACAAACTATATCTTTTATTTTATAATCTTGAATTAAACAATGACAATAAAATAAACAAAAAAAATATAAAAAAATCATAACCACGGATTCCATCCAGGATGCATTCTGCAAAGATTAGTTGGATCGCAAGCCTGTTTAATCAAGCTATCGACTTGTTCTTCCAAAGATCTGACGACGTTTTTATCTCCGTCAGTTCTCTGCAATTTGTCTTTGATTCTGTGGACAGTTTCAACTGATGGAGATCTCTCTCCTTGTCCTTCAGGCAGAGGTGACCCGAACGAAGAATGGCCGCTTCCTACAAGAGGAATCCATTGAAGTAAAGGATCGTAAATGAAAACCTCTAAAAGAGCCAAAATTTGGTCACCTCGAGATTGCATGTCCCTCATTATGCTGATAGAGGTTGTTCTGAAGGTTCCTTCAATGCGTTTTGCCTCGAGAGCATTGACAAGTATCCTGGTGAGTCTGAATGGAACTGTTTCAGGGAAAACTGAATCATGCATTCTGATTTCGAAGCAATCAGAGTAATCTATGTGGATCAACTTGCCGCTTTTGGCATCAAGCATTATATTATTAAGGTGGCGGTCGCCAATTCCGATGACATAACCAACCATTGATGTTGAAGCCAAAGATGCAGCGTATTGAGTACGTCTTGTTACCCAATCCGAGGAGTTTGATGATTGTAGTAGCAATACTTGCTGTAAATCATCGCCTTTCGTTGACTTCTGTCCATCAACAAATAATTTTCTTCTTCTTTCAAGAGGAATTTCATAGAATTCCTTCTCATTCTCGACATGCGCGAGCTCAAAAGATGATTCCATCTCACGATTATTGGATATCTTGCTTCTATTCCTTTGAGTCATAATCAAATTTGCCAAAGTAGTGCAATCTGGTACCCAACCTATCAAGCCGACGTTTCCTGTAAGTGGTGTGACCTTGTAGGTTGACAATCGCATCTTCTTTTGGCTGGAAAACGTGTTAATGAAATCAAATAATTGCATAACACGTTCGTCAAGTCTTGTGTCTTCATGAGCCTTCAATAAGAAGTCATATTCAACTCCATTATCACCATAAATCTTCACTTTTCTCGGTCTGTGAAGAGATTCAATGATTTCTAAATTTTGAGAAATTTTTGACATGTAAACTATATTTTTGTAATTTCCAGGAACTGACAGATATTTGAAGTTCTCTTTTGACGATAATTTTGGAGAAACATCTTTGAGGTCTAACGACATCATTTTACTTGGAATTGGCTTGATTTTGAGCCAGATCTGTCCCATAACATTATAAATCATGTTTTTATGAGTGTGATCTTTTGTTTCCTCATATTTTTTGACCCATTCTTCCAAAAGATTCAAAAGATTTCCAAATTCTCTTGAAAAACTGACATCCAAAAATGTCTCATTTTCTTTTGAGTTCTGTTCGAACAATTGATGGAGGTATTTCGTGGTAAACTCATTCGGTTCGAACAATGTGTCCCTGATACAATTATAACAAAGCTCAAATCTTGTACATGCAACTCTCATCAGCTCATGAGATAAAATTCTCATCGAATTCACAGAATCAGGATAAGTTTTTGCCAAAACTTGTGAAATTTGAAGAGCAGCTTTTTTCCTGTGTTTAGAATCACCTTCTAAAGGAACTAACAATGAATACAAAACAGGTTGTGGATGGTCATTACCTATCTTCAAAACCAGTTTCTGTAGAAGATCAGCAATATCACTTTCTTTCGATGCAATTCTCGCTATAATTTGCGGCAAAACAACAATCCAAACATTTGTTGGAATTAAATTAATAGAATTCTCAAAAATTTTGAGGATTTGCAATGTTCTGTGTTGGAACAAGATTTGGATAACTCTTATTGCTAAACTAAGGCTTTCGAAACCAAGACTAAGACCTTTCAAAGCTGAAGAAAATGAATCTGTCAGATTTTCTTCATCATTACTTATTTCAAACAAAAAGAAATTAACTCTTGTCAAATATTGCCAAATTTCTGAATCTGTTTGACAGAGTCTTGCTGTTTCATTTAATAACGCTTTCGCTTCTTCATTTCGGTTCTTTAAAATCAGCCAATTCGCTAATTTCTTTTTAGATGTCACGTTTTTGGCAATTTTTGTCAAAAATGAAATTGCATCATTTTGTTTGTTCATTTCCCAAAGCAGATCGCATCTCAACAAGTTGAATTCTTCATTCTTTTGTTCATGATCAAAATGATTCAATGCAATTTCGCAGGCATTGAATTTCTTTTCTTCTATCGTCTTTTTGATGTATTCAATTAAAAACGGTTTTATATCGTCGCTATCGTAAACAAACGACAAAAGGAGTAATTTTGTTAGCAATGCATCACTTGAGTAATTAACGACATCGAATTTATATGTGTTCATTCTTTTTAGATGCTGCAAATTATTTTCTCTCAAAGCTGAAACGACTTCTTCAACGAATCCTGCGAAAGTCAGCTTCACAAACTCTTCGTAGTTCCTTTTGTAGTCCATAGAAACTGTTGGAAGAAGAGGAAGTCCCACTTCCATTCTCATTTCTGACACTTTTTCTTCCACTTTTTGGTAATTTTTGTTTTTGAGGAAATGAATGATAGAAATGAATTTGCTGTCCATTTTTTCTAAGTCAACTCTCTTCATTACTTCAAATAATTTGTTATAGTCAAATTGAATGGTGTAAACTTTACAAATGTAAAGTGACAAATTTCCATTTTTTGAGAAATATAAGATATCATCATATTTTCCAAGATTCCACCAACAATTTATCATTCCTAGCATGCTTTCCTCATCTTTTTCATTTTCATTATACATTTTTGTATAATCTTTCAACGCATTTTCCCAATTTCCAAGTTTTTCACTCGCTTGAGGTGTTGGTTTCACATTATTTAACAATCCTTGAGCGGCATCTCTCAAACCAAGCAACATATACTCTTCCAACAGTTTGTTTCCTGTCTCGTTGTCTTTGTTTTGTTCGTACAATCTCTCTGTTGCTCTCATTGCTTGTGAAAATCTCTTCGTCATCATGCAATTCTTCATAATGATCGAATCATCAACAGGAATCTCTACATTTAGGAGTTCTAAGTTCTCAATGACACTCAAGAAATATTCTCTGATATATTGTGGTGTTGTGTCACTTTCCAAAACAGTTTTGACTATTTTTGAGGATGATTCAACCTGAGTTAACAATAAAGAAAAAGCCAAAGGGAAAATTGCGTTTAGCATTGGAACATAACGCAAAGCCAAAAGATAGCAAGCAGAAATAGCTCTAGAAGATGATTCAGTGAACAGCGTTTGGCAGAGATCTTCAAACCAGTCTTCCCATTCATCAGAACTTAAATCGGAACTTGGACAATCTAAAATCACAGGATTGTGTTTAACAGAAGGAGGCTGGACTTTGGGAAGAGGAATAACTGGTTCAGGAGTGACTTCATTGAGAATTTCAGGTGGAATTTCCCTGTTTTCTTCAATGATCCTGACGTATTCAGCAAATTTCGGATAATCTTGAAGTACAAACGTGGGAGAAAGAGATGGAATATGCAATAAGAAGTACGATCCCATCTGAACAGCAACGACAAAGATGACATCTATCGATGCTTTTTTCAATGCAAAATTTCCTTGAACGGTTTTCACTAAAGTATTAATGATTTGGACAGCGTATTTCTGTGAACCGCCGTTTTTAACGAGAACTTTGAACTTTTCAAGGACTTTCTCGCATGTTTTGACCATATCTGAGTTATTAATGATCCAATAGAGGACAATTGGGTAGATAATGTGAACAACTGATGATATGGCTGACTTGAAGTTGACTAATGTGCTCAAAATAGACTCGATTGTACTGAGATCTGATAAAAATACGGTTACAAGCCTTGGCATGTAGGGTTTCATGTCTTCAGGCATGGAATGGACAAGCCAGGTTGATATTTGTTCGAACATTGAGTGTTCTGTCGTGTTCCATTTCTGGCAAATTGAATCAATAATCAAAGGCAACAAAGGAGCAAAGGATTGGTGGGATACAGAGCTTTCTAGAGTTGGAATAGATCCTAAAAGCAAGACAGAATGAGAGTCTTGCCTTAACATTTCCATGTATCTTCCAACTAATTTGTCTTCAACGAAATTACCAAGCAATCTGTTGCTCTTGAGCGTTTTAATTAACGCATCTATGGCTAATTGGTGCAATTGCGACAGCGAATTGTTAGATAAAATATCTAATAATGCCATCAAAGTCATAGAAGCACAGACATAGAGCATCTTTTGCGTTGGATCAATTGCTTCGCATTGATCGAAGAAAGTATTAGGAGTTATCGCTGTCTTATGTTTTTCTTTGATGTCGTTGTAAATCGACGGTTTTATTGCGGCCAATTTTGAGAGGGAAACGATCAAAGTTTCTTTGAATTCCTTGGGGAAGTTCCTCCTTGTCAAAGTGAGTAAACTCGAAAGAATTTCTGCATTATGATCAATAACAATTGTTGTGTTATCAATTGCTGCGTTCAATAAATTCAATGCAGCAAGAATTCTTGTTTCTTTTGACTGAATCGACAAGTTAGAGACAATTTGGAAGGTCAAATCATCCAAGGAGATGTTGTTGTTCGAGTAAGGAATGATGGCAGTCATTAATGAAATGGCCACATGAGGCAATCTTTGTTTTCCATTCAAAAGGATGTTGAGAATGGGGATTCTGAATGGAGATATGAGCTTATTTGCATACTCACTGTATATCTTACCTTTCTTTTCCGCATTTTGAGTTATAACATAAAAGTAATTTATACTTTGACGGGTAATTGATGGAGAATGCTGAAGTCCATTGATTATCTCTAGCAAAAAGTTGTTTAAGATCGCATAAACTTCTGGAATTTGACAATATTTTGCTAAAAATTCAAAAGAACTCAAGCAAATCTCCGGAGAAAAGTCTCTAATGAGTGTTTTGAGCATATATATTGCAGTTCCATCACACGGTTTCTTTCTCATCGTTGACATTATTCGAATTCTTAATTCTCTGTTTGGCTCCGTCATCATTACGGCCAATAGACGGTGCAGAGCTGAAGCACATTGTGTTTTGCTGTGGTACATCATAACAAAATCAGCTGCGGCGTTTCGGACTTCGATATCTTTGTGAGATAAATGTAAAGAAAATTGCAAACAAAGCTGTTCTGATATGTAAGAGATTGGGATTTCAATGTTAATCAAGGCTCTGAAGCTAATTGTAAGTAAAGAAGCAACAGAATCTTTTGATATCAAGTAAGGAAACGTTATTTTCATGACATAGTTATAGATTGTTGTAGCTAACTTTGGATGGATTTTTATCAGACGCGAATAACCTTGAGAAGTTGATTCTCTTAATGGATATGCAAAAGTGACTCGGAAAATTTCATCGAATCGGTCAATTAACAGTGAAGAGACTGCAATAAGGGTGCATATTTTATTTTCTGTTTCGTAATGTTCTAACAAATAATTACATAATTCTTTGATCGGAACTGATTGTGCTTCAGTTAATTCGCCATTTTTGAGGAAAATTATGTCTATAAATGAAGACGTGGCCTTCTTAAGATCTGGAATCTCAGTTGTCAGTAGAATTTTGAATTTTTCAAAAATTTGAAGCCAAACATCCGGAGTAAAGAGTTCTGGTGTTGTTTTTATAGCAACAGGTAATGCAAGATATGATGATAAGCGTAAATTTGCGACAAAACTTGAAAGATTATAATATGGAACTTCATGGAACTTCAAATACTGCTTCATTTCCGGTCTTTCTTCAATAATTATAGATAGGCATTCTGCTATACCAGAAAATGCATCGTTCGGATCATGGCTCTCGAATGGTTCGATGAAATACTCACATAATTGCTCGGCAAAGCTAATAGGAGTCGTTTGTAAGATGGATCGTAGTGTGTATTGCGATGCTAATCTAACGTTAAATGAATTTGTAGTAACACTAATTAAAATTTTTTCAATTGCTGTTTCAAGAGACTTAGGCGATGAATATAAAAGTGAAGTAAAACATTGTGCAAAGATAGAAAGTAACGACAAACCTGCAATTACTTCAACTTCTTTATCGTCGTCGAACCAAATCAGCATTTTTTCATAAAGCTGGCTCAATATAAGTTGAAAAGACTGACCGAGCGTTCTATGTAACCATAAGAGAATCTTCTGGTATCTTTTCCAGTAGAGAGTTGAAGTTGCTGCCGGCAAATTTATCAAATCCTCGCCAATTTTGTTGGCTCTGAGTATTTTATCGCCAATGTCAATTGTCATTAATTCTGATAAAAGGACAATACAGAGTAATGAGTTTTGTTCTAATTGTTGGAAAGAAAGAGCGGAGAACACTTCGTTGAAAAAATGTATCTCATCGTTAGTATCTTTTGACATTTTATATCTAGTCGTAACGAATTTTCTAAAATTAAATATTGCATTTTGAAATTTGTATGATTCGGGCTGAATAATCTCTTTAGATGCTGCATGAATATAATAAGATAACGAACCCTCCTTTCCACCAATGGCAAATACATGTGAATCGGAGTATTTCGAATCTTTTTGTCGCACCTTCATATAAATTTATAATAAAATTTTTGTCAGATATAAATTATCATTTTACATGTCAAAAATTAAATCTGACAAAATTATGTAAAATCGATTATTAAGGATCTCGTTTGGAGAAATAACGACTGGGATCTCCAAATTCCAAAATATAAGCTTCTCCAGTTTTGTAAATTTTAATGTATAATTTTTTTCTCTAGAACGACTATAGATTTAAATGTGATTTCTATCCTGAAAATCAATCAAGGAATTGTAGAAGTCACCGTCAAATCAAGCGACAATATATTGCAAACTCAATAAGTAGAGAAATTGAGATGAAAATTGGTTCTCTCATGGCATAATCATATTATTTATAATTTTTTATCTGTTATCCATTCTAATGGAACTATTGTTTGTAGTTTATAAATTTTTACTTTCTTTCTTTTTCATCATGTAATTCTTGAAATTTGAAAAATATTTCTTTTAATCATATTTTATTAATATTAGAATATCGCATTTAATTTTACTCAGTTCAAGTTTCAGAGTTTTATATTTCCATTCAATTTTTAATTGAAATTTTTGATATCTCTTCCGAAGCCATATAGATTATTGCTTCATCTTAAATCATATTATATTAAAATTTTTTATTCTTATATAATAATATTATATTTGTGCGCCATGTGAAATAAGAAGTTCGGCTATTTCTTTATAATTATATTTTGCTGCAATATGAAGAGCGGTTTTTCCATGTATTTCTTTTTCATTGATATTTGCACCATGTGAAATAAGAAGTTCTACTGTTTCTTTTCTATTATTTAATACTGCATTATGAAGAGCAGTTCCTTCATTTAAATTTTTTTCATTGATATTTGCACCATGTGAAATAAGAAGTTCGGCTATTTCTTTACAATCTTTAAGCGCTGCAATATGAAGAGAGGTGTCTCCATTTTTATTTTTTTCATTGATATTTGCACCATGTGAAATAAGAAGTTCTGCTGTTTCTTTACAATCATATTCTGCTATTTTATGAAGAGCGGTTTCTTCATTTTTATCTTTTTCATTGCTGTTTGCTCCATGTGATAGGAAATATTCGGAAAGAGATGGAATATTGAACCTCGCTGAGTAAACAAAGCATTTGTTAATATCATTGGTTTGATCGAAATAAACTAAAAATGATTCAAGATTATTATATTTTATGCAGCAATCTAAATTTATATCTATATTGTATTCATTCATTAAGAATGTAACAAAATCAATATTGTGTGAAATAATTGCATATTCCATACATTCTTCATCTGGTGTTTGATATTTCAAACATTCGCTCATGATATCTGGATTTCCTCCTAAAAATGAAAATTTAAGACATCTTTGAGTTATTTTTGATTGAAATTTCGTTCTTAATAACTTGAAACAATCAACTGCTCCATGGTAACAACATAATTCAAGTAATGAATATCCTTCGTAAGAATATGGATATAAACTACTTTTAAGTTTTTGATCTTTATCAAACCCATCAGTCTCCGTGAATGCAATGAATCTTTCTAAGTCATTATATACAATTGCTCTGTAAATTGTATTTTCTGGATGAATATCCGGATTTTGTAATCTATTATTTTTATAATTATCAAATTTGTCTAATTTAATCCCATATTCTTTATAAAACAGAAATTTTAGCATAAGTGCAACATTTCTGACCTCTGTGACATGGTAATCATCGGATATGAGTTTGACAAGAGATAAATATGACTTTGTATAGCGATTATTATACCTAATGATACATAAAATGTCTCGCATAATAATTTGAGGAGGATGTTTCTTTGAATCAATCAATTCTGTTTTGATCAGTTTGTATATTGAGTTTAAATCTTCTTCCTTTTCCGTTTTCAGCTGATATAACGCAATATATGAATCAATGTAGTATTTATAGATACTTCGAAATTCGCTGAATTTATTTGGATGAATGTCTTTGTCGGACATTAATAATTTTTAAAATGCCTCATTTGCATTTTATCATATAAATATCTTTTAAACTCAATATAAGAAATAAATATTGTGCTAGACATGTGGGAATCAATGATCACAAAGATTTCGAAAATAATTTATGAACATTAATTAAGATCATAGGTATTAAATGACAAAATAACAATATGAAAGTTGAAATCAATAAGATTTACATCCAGATGATTATATTCAAACAAGATTAATGAGATTATTACAAACTTTATAATTGCTTATGATATCGAATAGGATTAGAAACAAAATTAAATGCTTGGAATTGAATTTCACACCTGATTTATTTTTGAAATTAATTGATCATTGAATTTTCAAAAAAGGAGATTTAAATGGATCAATCCACAGTATAATATAACTCAACTTGATATATGCTATTATTTTATAAACCGAAAATATGAAGTTTAGATAGCTAATTTGATTTAATTAAAGATGACGAAAAAATATATTAGAAAGCACATCCCATCGGCGCACAGCTGTGCTGCACACCGTTAGAAGCTGAAAAAATAGTGAAATTGGTGTGAAGGTACTCTTAAAAATATAATCATTGTCTTAAAAGTGCACATTTCTTAGTCTGCTATATCAATATCTCCGATTATATACTCTGCTTTATCGTTATAAGATTCACGCGACTCAACGATATCGATATCTCCAATAGTTGGCTCAGCAATATCTATATCTCCTATTTTTGGCTTTACTTTATGATTATAATATTCATTGGACTCAACAATATCTATATCTCCCGGTTGCGTTTTTTCTCTTACCCTATAATGTTCAGTAGACTCAGCAATACCGATGTCTCCTCTTATTGGTTTTACTTTATGCTTACGATGTTTGCTAGTCTCGGCAATATCTAAATCTCCTATTTTTGGATTTATTTTGTTACTATAACATTCATTGGACTCAACAATATCTATATCTCCTGGTTGCGGCTTCATGCCACCAATTACATCTATATCTCTTGGTTTAGAATGTGCATTATGAATATTACTTTTATCTGATTTACCATTATGGATAGTTCTTGTTGGTGACTTTGGATTTTCTTCTGAGAGTTTATTTAATACATCTCTAGATGGTTTATTTCTTTCACGCATCATTGAAAGAAGTTGCATCAGATCATTCTCATCTAAATCTTCTAAAAATTCCTGGTTCTTGTCAAAGAAGTCCTTTATCTTAGGATTAGTTGTATTATGGGTTTCATTATCTAATTTTTTTCGACAAGATTTCGATTTTATGGACTGATTTCCAGACATGAAAATATTAAAATTTTGATGTTGGCATTTTTTTTTGAGCTATTGCCGAAACGATTTTATACATGAAATTCCATAATGGGACATTTTGGCTTAAATGACTTTAAGATGATATTCAGATGTTTCATGTATAAGTTAAGTTGCTGGGGAAAAAATAAAACATGAATGAGAAAACTAATTTTTTTAAAAATAAAACTCTATAAATTTATATATATAAATTAAATGTTCAAAGAACATTCGGTATCTTACAACTTAAAAATGAAACTTTCCCATCTGTTCCGACAATGCACAGACAGTCGAAATCCTTGAAGAATCTTAGAGCGCAGATATGGGATGTAAATCTTGTCACTGGTTCTAAAATGTCCAAAAAGAAAGCTTCAAATAGATAAACTCTATTTTTGTCATCAGACATCAAGATGTAATCGAAACCATCTCTGGAAGTGAATGTCTGCATGTAGACAATTGCAGAATCCAACTCTTTTTCACGAAGGAATCCGCCGTTGATGTTAAACAACTGAAGAGAATATTTAACTTTGTAATCAACAATTTTTGTTGCATAAACTAAAATGAATCCCCAACCAGGAGTAATCAAGATAGATTGTGGTCTATATTCCTTCATATCGATAGATCTAACCAATTCGCCACTAGGAATAGAGTTAATTAAAATGAATCCATCTCTTGTTCCGATGACAGAAATATGGAAAGTTGATGATGAAAAACAACATGAAATTCCTTCTCTGTAGCTCATGCATGTGCAGACTTTCTTGAAGTTCCTGAACACAACAACAGAAGAACTTGATGTTGCAACAGAGAACTCATCAACTAATGAACAAACAGAGTGAACTTCATTCGAAATTTCTTCAAATTTCTCAATTGTATAGTTCTTAAAATTGACAATGTAAAGTCTTCTATTAATATTCGAAATACAAGCAATCTTTTCATGGTTGATTGTTGTATACTGCGATTGCTTCTGAGGCGAATCGTAGTTGAGTATTTCGAAGTTCTTAAATTCTTTATTGAGAAAAGTAACATCTGTTTTTTCGTTGAAAACTTCTTGTCCTAAATCGAAATAATAAATAAATGTTTTTCCTTTTGATTCTGTCATTGACACTTTAATCAAGTCATTCTCTGCATTGATACGTGCTAAAACAATGCTCATGTTTGAGAGATTGACATTGATGTTCCTTTCAAACTTTTTGTATTTCGATTTCATGTTTCTCAAAGGATGTGGATGGAAAAACAACTGAGGACACATTTGTCCGACATGGCAAAGAGTTGCCTCGATTTCGGACCTCTGTCTTGAGTTGTTCAATGTCTTCTCTGTCCACGCGGAATCATACATTTCCTGTTTGAAAACGTTGTTGTGTTTAACAGCATTTTCTCCACGTGAATTATATCCCCAGATCAAATCAATCCATCCATTTATGTGTTGAGAAACATATTCTGATTCCAAAATCTTTCTGTTCAAATAAACAAATTCGTATGCGTTCTTTGACCATTTAGGAAGTTCGACGTCGTTTATTGGTCCTCTTTTGTTCTTTCCTAAATCGAATTCGTTCAAATTCATGAGGAATTCTGGGAAGAAGAAAAATTCTGGAATGGATTCTCTGTAATCAGAAACATGACTTGAAATCATTTCCCATGTTGTTTCTATTGATGAAAAGATTCTACTCGCGTGGTCGAATCTTCCACTCTGTAGATCAATGTGCAAACTTGTAAATGGCTCTGTTCTCAACATAAACAAACAAACAGTCAACATGCACGAATAGCCATTTCCATACATATATGGTTTCTCTCCGACAAGAGCCAAATCAGGAACTCTTTTCAGGATTTCATTTAATCTTTCATCTGTCAATGCTCCAATAGGTTTCGAAAAATCTCTGAAAAAGTTCTTGTCATTGATTTGAACTGTTTCAGATAAATGATTAGCGGTAATCCATGGGAAAACAGGATACTGACTAAGATCATTAAATGTCCGACCACTTAAAATGTTAAGTGACATCAAATAATCGAAATTCGACAAAAGATGGTTTTGCCATAATTCTGTCATTTGCAAAGACTTGAAATATGAGTAGAAGTCCTTTGTCTGAAGTGTCTTTATGTTAGGGAGGGTCATTGTCGATTGGATTTTTGAGATAATAGACAATGAATTATGTTTTGGAAAATGAATGAAATAATTTTTGCCAAAAATTGTAAATATTTCAATTGAATTTGGTCTGTGGAACCTTCTCCTGAAGAAAATATGTTCTATCTCTTCTCCAAGGATGATCTTGTAGCTGTTCTCTATTTGCATGACGATAGAATCAGCGGTTATTTTAAGAAAACCGTCTTTGACTTTTTTAGGCGAAATCAAAGAAACTTCAAATGTTTCGAATTTCAAGTTATGGTTTCCTATTGTGTTATTCTTATCATGGACATTATTAATGACAAGAAGATCTATTGGCATCTCATTAGAATACATCTGCAATCTCTTTTGTCTTTCGATTTCAGCCATTTCAGCTCCGGAAACTCTTGATCCAGTATCTCTAGAAACAGAAGCATCGATGTGTTGGTTGTGTTTGTAATCTCTCTTGAGTTTGAACGGACAGAAAGAGACACATGATGTTTGATCTCTCTTGTAATAGATCTTTTCGTTTGGATTGCAATTCCATGGTGCCAATTCTCCAGCCAAATTTCGCCACAAATAACTCCATTTGTGATAATTTTTGTGGGATTTTTCTTTTTCTTCTTGGAAGTATTTGTTGAGATAATCAATTGACTCTGTAACTAATTCATCACTTGGGAATATGAAGATCTTCAACATTTCGAATGAAACATCTTCATAACTTTTCTGCAATTTCTTGAAAACAAAATTCATCATTGAAACCATTTTGTCGTCCATAAGAAATTGCTGTCTTTGGAGACATAAATAAGCATCTTCTTCACTCCATTTATTCACTTCAATTATCTCTCCATATCCTAATCTTTTCGCATGGTGATTAATCAAAGAAATAAATGTGATATGATCATTTTTCTCTTCTTTTGTGAGTTTCAAAGCATCCAAGTGATCAATGACAACATCTGGTTGTGAATATAATAAATAGGAACTAATTAACAAATCAACATCAAAGAAACTGCGGCTGTCAAATCTATGGAAAAGTGACAAACAAAAAAGTGCGAAAATATAATCCAACCAATTTGCATTTTCATCCAATCTCAATCCGAAATAGTATTTATCTGGAAGATTTGGCATTTTCAGAATCCTGTCTATCAAATAATATGGTTTGAGAATTACTTCTTTCACATGATTTTCTTCTTCATGCATTACAAAATTATCAGAAGAAAGATTTCTTGGAAGCAAACTTTCCGTGACATTTTCTGAAGAAGAATTTGATGAAATCTTCTTGAAAGAGAATGATAAAGGTGTGGAACTTGGTTTCACTTTATCATCATTGAACATATTATGTTTTCCATCTGCAATTGAAGCATTGTTTTCTGTAATTGGTATTTCATCAGATGATGTTTCTTTTCCATTAGAACTTGTTTCATTTTGTGTCAAAATTTTCACTTGAATATCTTTTGAAGAATTAGAATTATTATCTGTCACTTTTTCTAATTCTAATTTTTGATTTTCTTTTCCAGATGATTTATTTTGGAAGGTATTTTCTAATAATGATGGATTTGTCTGGTTATCATCCTCGTAAAATATTAAAGGAGATGAATTATGAATCAAATTCTCTGATGATCTATTTTTGGATAATTTTTCAAGAGGAATTTGTTGAGGAGCAAAAGTATGTGACAAATTATTCAATGACATACTTTGTTTCATCTTCAATCTTTGGTTTGGATCTGTAATCACGAAATCATTCGATGTGAAGAAATCAGATTCTTTGTACAATCTTTGCAATGTCTTATTCTTTTCTTTGTTTGATCTGTAGAACAAAAAGAATTTTGTGACATTGAAAAATGAAGAAATATCTGCTTTCGATAATTTTCTGTCACTTGTCATCATTTGTGCAACATTTGTTAAAAAGTTTGACTTCATTTCACTTGAATCAACATTTAAACAATGCCCTACAATCGATATCATGCAAAACAAAACACTTATATTGTTAATGGAGCATTTTGAAATGAATTCATATATCATGGAATTCAAATCACTGTCATTGTAATGATATAAACTTATAATTGGCCAAACAGACCAATACAAATGGGTTGTGAAGTCTTTGAAAGGTTTAACTTCCGAAAATATTCTTTTTGTATAGTTCAAACCCAAAACTAAAGACATCCAAACTAAAACAGGGAACAATTCATGTATTCCAAATTTGACTTTCGTCAAAATATATTCGAATAAAGAAAAATTGACATAATTTGGTGTCAATTTTGTCAGAAAAACTTGGAAAACGGAATCCAAAGGATAAATCAAGATGTTGTTTTGTGACAATGTAATTAATAGAGATATAACTCTTCTCATCATATTGTCTGTGTTCCTTTGTATCAATGAGAAAAGGAAAGAACAACAATCAAAGTCAATTCTTTTGATAGTTAATGGAGATTTCTTCGAAAGTTCTTCCAAAAATTCCAATAAATCACTGACTTGTTCTGTTTCAACAATTGTCAAACAATGAGAAACAAACAATTGCAAGTCTTTTTGACAGAATGTATCAATGGCCATATCAATCAATGACATCAATATTGTTTGTCGACATTCATTAATATTTTCTCTTTTTGAATCAAATCTTGGAACATTAAATTCGATGTTTTCACTTTGTTCGTAGAAATAATATAATCTCAACATCGAAAAGAATGTTCTTATTGGAATTCTGCTTTGTATCAAATTTTTGAAACTTGGGAATAATACTCTTCCCCAATGTCTCAATATTTTAATATGGTTTTCATAGTCACTTTTCATCCACAAAGGAACGAACAACAAAATTTCAGAAATGATGTCAAATTGGAGTTCTTGTGAATTCAAGGATTGTAACAAGCCAAAGAACTGTGTGTACAAATGGTAATTAATGTGTTCTGTGGAGAGATTGTTTAATAAATGGGATATGACCGAGAAACCATTGGAATTGTGGAAATCTTCTTGTGTTTCGTTGGATAAAAATAAACAATTACTTAAACATTCAATGACAAGTTTTGGCAAATTTGACATTTTCGTCATGTCTACAAATGTCATATCGAATTGGGCGAAGAGAGGTAATAATATTTCAGGCTTGCAATAGTTAGTCAAGCAGCTTGCAAAGCTCTGTGGTAAAATTGTTTCCGTGCAATTTACATTTATTGAAATTGACGGTTTTGACACGTATCTTTGGATTGCGGTTAATTTAATACCGCTTGATTTCAAGACGTAAGCGAACAATGTCTGGTTAGTGTCAAAAGTTGTGTAAAGTAAACCACCGTTGTAAATATTTTGAATTTCAGCGGTTTTAATCGATGGCGAGTGTAAAGACAAAGAACAAATTTTAACATTTTGTCTTGTCTGGAATGGTTCATTTACGAAACCTCCGTAAGTTATTTTAAGAGGTCCTTTTTCAAGCGACATCAAACTGAAATCCATTGTTTTTGATTCGACCAAATTATATGTCACTTTTACTTGTGAACCATCTTTATTATTTTTATAAGTAAAAGTCATGAAAATCCATGACATCAATGGAAGTTTGATTTCCAAGTGACCTGTTGATTCTTCAGTTGTATTCCTCTGTGTGCAGAACAAGTTTCCACCTGATATAAACAAAACTAATCTTCTATCTCTCGAATCAACAACTGAAAACAAAATTGGTTTATATTGAGCAACAGCGTTATCAATAAATATCCAACAACTTGCTGTGAAATCATCATTTATCATTTCACCCGTCACACCATTTATTTCTAAGTAATCTCCTTTAGAAATATATGATAAATAACCATTTGGTTTTTTGAGTTCATCAATTAACAAAACATTTAAAGTTTTGAGATAAAGTTCTTGGTTATTTGGAAGATATCTTCCATTTATAGGACTCATGAATGATACAAACTTATGTACAACATTGACAGATGATGATTCAATAGCTATCTTACAGAAAATGTCCATTAATAATTTAACTAATTCTGATTTTTCTTCATTTCCTGCCATTTTATTTATGAGTTCAAGTAAACTCACATCGAAATTAGTTTCATGACAAACAATAATATTAGACATCGATGCATTCAGTAGATCATAAATATATTGCATGCATTTAAGTGGATCTTCACTTTTGTTGATAGAAAAATCAAGATAAATTTGTAAAATTTTTGGTTGGCCTATTATAAAATTTGGTTTCATTGAAGTCAATGGTTCTCCTGCAATAAATTGCAAAAGTTTCTGTTGAAGAACATTAGGAAAGTCATCAGCAAATACTCTATTCAATGTTGAGTTCAATGACAAAACTTGCGGAGATGAAATTTTGTTGGAAATCAATGTCAAAAAGTGAAGAAAATTCAACATCAAAGTTTGAGAAGATTCTGTCACTTTTAATCTTGGAAGTGAAGTCAAAATTGGACCAGAAAAGTGAGAAAAAGGTTGAACATTTTGGGAGTTATGTATCAAAGAGTCATTGAGGACTTGTAATATGGAAGTTGCAATGATCTGATAGTCTTCTTGGTCGATGTAACTGCAGCAAATATCAAAAATTTGTGCAATTGAAGAAACAATCATTTCATTTGCAAAATTTGTTGTCAAAAACTGCAAAAAATTGGATAAAATGAAAGGCCGTAATGGCTCTTCAAAAATAAATGAAAAGAAAAATGTATTAAATATAGAACAATTATAAAACAATTTTTGCAATTCTTGATATTCTAAAATTCTCGTAATCAACATAAAAATTGCTTTTCTCGTTGTTTCTACATAAGGAGAATTAGTTGTGAAGTTCATCTGTTGGTAATACAATGATATAGCCATTAACGTCTTCGAGAACTGTATTGTTGTCTTGTAATTGAACATTTCTACAGTTAACAACCGATTTATTCTCAAAATTATTTCTGCAAAAAGAGGAGGTTGCAAAATCCATGTTTGTATAGCAACATTGATCGCATCGAAGCCTTCTTTAACAACTAATTCTAATATACTATATCTCATAGTATCAATTGATTCAAAATCCTTTAAATTGTCAAAAACGGTTATGTTTGGATCGAAATACGGTTTTGACAACAAAATACTTATCATTGTTGGTCGATCTAAGTATTTATTGAGGTGTTTGCATAGATATAGATATGTTGCTGTCAAGCCAAGATAGAATGGTTGGTCTTTCGAGTTAATTAGTATAAGTTCAATGTTATTTATTAATAATTTGGAGACAGATTCGCTGTGTGAACATGATTTAACGATGAGAGATAGTCTGATGAATAAATCTTTGGTTAAAATGGTCTTCAGTTCAAGTTTGTCAGGAAAATTCGGAGGATTTTGAAATTTAATTCCATTTAAGAAAGTTTTCTTTGATTCAACTCTGTACGTTGCTTCCTTTACAGGCATTGTTGGTAGATCTTCACGAATTTCATCAATTGGTTGTGGAAATTTAAATTTTGTGCTTGATATAAAAGATGTTAAAGAATTTGTGAATAATGCGAATAATCTGAGCAATACATCATCTGGTATTCTGTTTGCAATCAATGATAAGAAGTTTAAACCTTCATATGATAACTTTGAAATTTGATATTCCAAAGGTGAAATAATTTGATCGAGAATGCTATGGGATATTTCGCCAGGGAATTCATATATGTATTTCGAGATTATATTCAATAAAGGAATGATGTCGTTTGTAATTTGAAAATTTGAATGATTTGTTAATTGTTCTAGAGCTGATGCTAAAAGATTTATTGACTCATCTGGTAATTCTGGTAATGAGATGAAATAAACTTGTAATGGCTCAAAAAATGGAGCAAATAATGAAAAATTTGATTGTTTTGCAATTTTTGAAAATATCATGTAAAATGCTGATATCCCCATAGTGTATATCTTTTGATTGATTACTACTCCTTTTGGACAACAAATTTCTAGAATTGATTCTAACAAAGGAACAGAATATATAGGATTCTTAGTAGGAGTGTAGTTCATTTCCCATGATAAGTACGTTGTTAATATGTAATATGAAATATATGAATAGTATTCCAAAATAAAATCTGATTTCGAGGTAAGAATTGTAATTATTTCAGGTTGGTATATCAAAGGAAAGAATCTGGATGTAATTGGTTCTAATTTATTATGACATGTTGCCATTTCTTTCGATATTTGCTTTAATTCAAATTGATTATAAATTGGAAATACGATATGAAGGCTCTCTAGTGTACTTTTATTGAGTCCTGATGTTGGAGGTGTTAATTCCCCTTCTGGAGATAATATTGCCAAATAAAGATCTCCATCAAGAAGGAATTTCATAAATAAGAGCTAAAAAAATTTCATCGACTTTTCAAAAAAAATCTGATTTGAATTTATCAAAAAAATAAGACAATAATGAAGCGAGAATTGTCCTCTTCTTAATGTCATGTAAACAACTCAGTTCAGCGGCTGATTCATTGAAAGAAATAATGCTCGCTTTTCTTCCGAGGTTCAACAATCTGTAACTAATTGTGGAAAACCTTGCCATTTCAGGTACTTGTGCAAGGGCTCATGAAAAGTTGCATATTGAAAAAATATTAATAATTTTTCATTTTAGAATTAATGATAAATTGCTTCTGGTGATATAGAAGACGTATTGGGAGGAGAAATACTAATTGATCAATATTTTTTCAAGTCTGAAAAGGAAGTAAGATGTGCCTTGAGTGAGCAAAACAGTTGAAATTTCTTCAATAAAAACTTCAATTACTTCCATTTGTGGACTTCGTTTAAATATACCTTTTCCAGACATAGCTTAGAAGATCATTAACATGTTCGGGATTTAAAATGTATATTTTATAATTAAATATTTTATTTTTATATTGTATTTTTAATATCGATTTTATTTTTTACTTTTATATTTTATGTATATTTTATTGATTTTTTATTTAATACTGATCCAAGAATCTCAGCTATATGTTATCATCTTTTTTCCTGAATTTTAAAATCGAATCATCATTCGATCTTGTTAAAGTTAATTTGAATCCTAAACATTCTTAATCTTGTATGCAGTGGTTGTAATTCATTGAAATGTCAACTACAATGGAAGATTTAATTGAAATTAAATTGTAAATTATGCTTCCTCACATTTCCTTTTAAATAGTCACTATTTGAAAAGAAGCTGATACTCAGAAAAATATACATTTCAATAAACGTCGCATAAGGATTGCCCAATTTTCAGATCATTGAAATATCGATCATTCTGGAAAAAAAAGATTGATGAATTTTTATTATAAATATTAAATAAAATTTAAATTTAAAAAAATTAAATCAAACATCTTTTCCAACGGCGCAATATTTAATTAATTACTTTTGATAATCAATAAAATAGAAATGCTATTGTTGATGTATCTATATTAATACGTTCAAATATGGAAATAACAAATTTTTAAAAATCATTATTAATTTTTATAAGAATACAATGTTAATGTGCATTGCTATCATTATCTACAATTATTAAAATTCAATAGTAATTCAATTTAAAAATTCACCGGAGCTCGTCAATGGCCAGATTTGCAAACAATTTCTTTAATCAATTTCAAATAACCATTATTTGAAAAAAATTGAATGTAACGGTTTTGAATTAGCAAACAAAATGATATTCATTAGTCAAATTGTGAGATGAGCAGAATATATTTAGCATATTTTGTAAAACTCATTTTCTGATTTCATAACTTTATTATTTTCATGAACGTTAAATGTTCTGAAATTTTGACCTATTCAAAAGATTTCTTTATTGTTTTCTATCTTCTGTTAGTTTAGATGTTATCACTTCTTATTCAGCATATTTATTCCGAAGATGTTAGAAAAGTCTCTACAGGCTATTACAAATTTCCATTTACAGACGGAAAACTTAAAATTTATTTTGGACCAAATTCTCAAAAATATTTTATCTTTTCAAGTCCGATCGATGATCTAAAAGTGAATTACAATTTCGATGCAACTCGAATTATGACAATTTCTAATGAAATTATTGTATTTACAAGTAAAACACTTACAGAACTATCATTTTCGGTACATCCTATTCCTCACGGATGCAATTCATTCGAAACTATCATTAATCCAGAAAAAGATTCCGAATTTAGTTATGACCCGAGTAAAAAAGCACTAGAACAATCAAAAGTAGATTGCATATTGGCAACTAGTCCAGTTGCATATGATGTTTCACTTACAAAAAGCGCTGGAAATCAAAATGATTTCGAATACCAGGATTCTCTTCTCGGCCCTAGCAATAAGATAAATGCCGGTGAAACACTTCCAATAACAAACCAAACAGCATTATTTTTCAAATACACGGCAACTTCGAATCAAGAAAGAAACATTGCAACAATCAAATTCACATATCCAAGCGGTTCAACTCCGGAACCCTCACAAACTATCTTATATGATGCATCCAAGTTATCATATTTTGCTTCTAATTCCATCAGCATTACTCTGGTTGATAATTTTTATTCATTAGGCGAAGGAAATTATGATTTAAAAGTTTCATCAGCACAAACTAATTGTTATTTTATTAAAGAGCGCAATTATGTAGTTTTTACATATTGGGAAAATATCAATTGTGTTGCTGAAGGTTTAAACACCGAACTCAAAATGCTTGGTGATGACAAAATTGTAGCACTCTTAGTCAATGAAACTTGCTTTCTTCGAATCAATTCAGACTCTGAAGGAAAATTTTCGGTATGTGTTCTTCAAATGAAATCCGAATATCTATCTTCTAGATTTACAACCTCGTCAGGAGCTTATACGTTATATATATCAGGAAAATACACAACAGTTCATGTCTTTGCTTTTCAAAAAGGTGAAATAGAAGAAAGAGTTAACAGAGCTAAAAGATGGAAAAGTGTAGGAACAAAGCCTGCTGTTTATAGATACATTAAACAACGCGGTATTGATAGTATATCTGTATCTGCAAGAACTGAAGATAGTGATACTTCCATTAAATATTACATTCACGGCGATAGTGGTGGATATAAAGCATATTCTATGACATGGGATAAAACCAAAAATCTTTTCGACTATGATATTGATATTGATGCAAAAACCATTTTGAGTATCGGTCTAATTATTGGCATTGTTATTGCTGTTCTTGTAGTTATAGCTATTATTGTCATAATTTGTATATGTTGCTGCTGCACATCCGTCACATGTTGCTGTTGCTGCTGCCTTGGAAGAAGATCGAAGGATTCAAGTTCAAGTTCTAGTTCCAGCTCATCTAGCAAGAAGGGTATGGAAATGCAGCAGTATCCACCTCAGCAATATCCACCTCAGCAATACCCACCACAGCAATATCCACAATATCAATAAAGAATTTTTTTTCCTAATTGGAATATAAAAACTAATTTTACATTTGATAATTTTAATTGACGGATCAGCAAATACAATTATTTTTCAGCTTAAAAAACCGCTGTATATTTCATTGATGTGATTGCATTCTTTTCAAGCGGTAACCTCTTCTGTGATCAGAGGCGCTTTTGAAAAAACGCTTATCATTAAAATCATGATCCAAAATAAAACTCATATCGTTTTATAAAGTGGGCGATCTAAAACTCTTCTTGAATACATATATGAGTACTTCTTTTAAATCGTGTATATCTCTGAGTTCTTCCAAGTCGAATAAGAAAAGAGCGAACATGGAGAGAAATTTTAAAATGAAATCTAACCATATTACCTGGACCGATATTTTTATTGGTCGTCCAGAGAATCCTAGCTGCTTTCCTCACCTGAAGCACTTGCATATTCTCTTTGCAATATTTTTATCTATGCATAAATCAAACAACTTTTTAGAAGACTGTTTAAATGAGAAGATTTTTTTCATATATGATAGATATTTGATATGCTTGATTTATTCATACTTTTAAATACATGTTTTTGTAATGATGAGGGCTTTTGTGATAATTTGGGCAGATTATTAATTTCAATTCTTGCTTTATGTGAGATTGGATGTAAGGATTTAAGATTTGAAACAACAAAAGTTATCTCATAAAAAACGAATATCCAAATTTTATAAAACAAAACAATCCAATATTCTCATATGGATATTCTTAGCTTTGAATACTTAAGACGGCATCTTAAAAGGTAAGCTGAAGTATTAAATCCCAAAAAATATAATCATTATGATATATGAAGGATATTATAAATTATATCAATAAAAATTAAAATTTTTTTAAGAGGTGAAAGATATTTTCAAATGAAAAAGTTATGCGATATGCAAATTTCTTAACGAAACATCAATATTCTTTAAAAATGCCAAGTTTTGCTTTTCTTTTGAGTCATCGTAAAAGAAGTGAACACCCGTAAAACCAAGAAATACTTTACTAGTTCATAATAAATGAAATATCCCAATTTTCATAATGTATGAATAATAAACTCAACCATCTATTTTATAATGTAATTGCATAGAAAATTTAAATTGCAAATTATCATTATTTGCTTTAAATGGTGCATAATGTTGTGATTTGAATTTATCATCCCCTATTGAAATTTTCCCAACGGCCCAAAAAAAATTTGATATCGCCTCATTTTAATGTCAGTAATTAAATTAAACAGAATTTATGGCGATAAAACTACCAACATCGCTCTGAAAATTCAAAAATTATTCAAAATTGTTTCCCTTTTTATTTTTATAAAGAAAAGCTCAAGACATCAATGCTATCAATATTAGTATCCTCTATTTATTCATTCGAGAACATTTATAATACTGGAAGCTATCAATATACCCTAAATGAAGGTTTTTTAGAAGCAAACTTCAAATTACCTCAAATTAATGAATCAAAGTACTTTATGATCATTTCAAATCCAATAGACGATATCAAAATTAATTCCATTTTCCTTCAATCGAACATTTTTACAATTTCTAACCAAACACTTATTATATCGAGCAAAACTGTCTCGGACCTTTATTTTGACATTGTTCAGATTCAAGATTCATGCTCCACTTTAGAATTTCTTATCAATCCAGAAAATAATACTGAATTGAAGTATAAAGCAAATCTAAAATCTTCTGAAACTTATTGCCTATTAGCATCTGGTGCTAATTCATTCGATATTACAGTTTCTAACAGTAACGGAAATACAAATCAATTTTCATACAGTAATACAACAAACAATTCGGATGTTGTTGTTAATGCTGGTGAATCTATAACACTGTCACTTCAGAAAGCTCTATTATTAAAGTATACAGTTAATACAATCTCTGACGATAATGAAGTATCGTTCAAATTTACATATTCTAGCTTAAACGCAACCTCTTTTGCACCAATTCTTGTATACAATGAATCGAGCTCATCATACTTTGCCACAAACACAACGGTCATTTCTTCATCCCCATCTTATGCAGTACTCAAGTATGCAATGCATGATGATTATTCTGAGTCATTTACTGCAAACCATAGTGTTGAAGCTAATACTTATGTTGTGTTCTCCAAATGGGATTCATCAATTAATGGCGTTGCTCACGTTGGAGAAACAAAACTTGATATTCTTGGCGATACAAATATTGTTGCAGTTTGGTTCGAAAAGCCTGGCGTTCTCCGGCTTACATCAGATGAAAACAGTCATGGAAAAGGAAGATTCTTTGCTTATTCAATGGGAGAATGTGATTATGTTTTAACGGCTTCTGGAGAAGAAGTTACACGTTATTCATCTTCAAACGAGAATACCGTGTTTGCTTTGTTTATGCTTTCTTGGCAGGCAAGGTGAATATACATACAGAAGGTCATGCAACTTATCAATGTCATTCTGTTGATTATAAATATATGAATGAAGGCGAATTAGATAAAGCCTTTGCTTGCACATACATTCACTCATCGTCAGGTACTCGTAAAAAGAAATATTCAACTGCTAAATTCTTTGGTTTAATGGATAAATCAGATGATTCAATTCAATATGAAGCTACTACTTCCATTGACAAATATCAAGCAAAGAGAATAAATGCAACTACAGCGTACCCAATGAACAAAGAAATCGTTGCTCCAAAAGGTGTTTCAATTGCTGTTAAAGTTATCATTGCTATAATTGTTATATTGTTAATAGCAGGTTTCATTTGCCTTATCTACTTCTTCATCATTCGTCCTAGAAATAAGAATAATCATTTTTCAGATTCAGAGTCTTCTCAAAAGCGTGATAGGAATATCCAGTAATCCAATATCCAGCAATCACAATACCAACAACCACCACCTCCGCAACAACAGTATCAGCAGCAGTATCAGCAACCACCTCCTCAATATCAACAGTATCCACTACAGCAACAACAGCAGTACCAGCAGCCACCTCCACAATATGGCTATTATCCACCACAAAATAATGGAGCACCTCCTCCACAGTATTAATATTCTCCTCAGAATGGACATTTTAAATCACTTAATCAGTCATAAGAACAATTCTTAATAAAATTATTATTATTATTTAAAAACATAATCTTTTTTTCCCAATATACTAGATTATGATCGTTTAGAAAGAGTTTGGAATGAGGTTAATCCAAGATGTATTACGTTCAAGTTAAAATCAAAGATGTTTAAATTAAGGGTCCACTGTAAGGCCAAATAAGGCCTATCGTCATCCCAAAAATATTGCTCAAGATGGTGTTTTACTAAGACCCAAAACTTAAAAAAACACAAAAAAATTAACTTTACTCTTTTGAGATCCTTATCAGATGTGCAACAATTTGATGCAGTATCGCAATTCGAATCCGATTTTTTAATGTAGATGTACTCTAACATTCTTGAAAAAATGCAAAATGATATTAATTAAGCTTTTCATTTCTGTATCATACACGAAACAAAATCATTTATTATACTAAAATTTATCAAAGTTTGAATAATGAAAAAAATAATATCTAAATTTTTACATTGAGTCGGCTATTGATATGGTCAATATTAAATCGTTTAAAAATGGGCATTGGCCAGAATAATACCCACTAAAATACACTTTTTTTTAAATGTTATCAATTTGTTATGGTATATCTTTATGATAATGAATAAAATGCTTATCTTTCATAAGTAAATACATAATTTATGCTGAAACACAAAAAATAACACGAAAATTTTTTGCCAACATTTCAAAACTAAGGATAATGTTTTGAATATATAAACAATAATACTTTGTCTGGAGAATTAAATTTGTGCTATCCAATTGTCAATTCTTTGAATTTTTTATAAAATGCACGATATTCCGACATTAGCCTCTTTAAATATAAACTACATGCATCACAATATTAGTATGTAATGGCATTAAAGCGAATTTCCTAATTTCTTCTCAATTTAATTCCTAGAAAAACTTAGGAATTAATGATTTGAAATAGGTCAAAATGTAATAAACAGAAATTCATCAAAAGTGACAGCTCTCAATTTTTTGACATTTGTAAATTCTAAATTGAATGAGAAAAATGAAATAATACTAAGCATAATACAATATTCTAGATTTAATTATAATTAGGAAAAAGTTAGTTTTGAGAGTACTTTTCATAGGCATATAGAATGAAATCTTCTGAAAAATCATATCACATAAACTCATATTATTTTCTAATATATAACTATTTTATATAAAAATCAAATTCAATGATCTTAAAAGCGAAGGATAAACCTCAAAATTTACGAATATAATGAGTGGGAATATAATGCTTATCTATCATAAAACCATATGAAATATCAATTTTTGCTTTACGCCTAATTTTTGACGACAATTAGCAAAAAATGTTAAATGTTAACACTCAGTCCATTTGAATATGAAAAATAAAATTGACTTTGATTAATATTTAAAAACGTGCTCTATCAAAAGTTCCAAAAATTCAATATTTTAGCTTTTCTGAGGTGTCACTTTTGATGAATTTCTGTTTACAACAAAAAAATTCCTAATATAAAATTCATACTTATAATAAAATCAAAATTCGAAAATATCTATTTTTCAAAACACGCATCCAGAAGCAAAAAAAAATAGGAAAAAATCATGTTCTTATAAAACTCGCTGATTTTGCAATTTTTATGTGATTTGAAGTGATAGAATATATTATCATCTTATTAAAACATATACTTCATTGTTACATTCACAAAATATTAATCAGAACACTAGGAAAAGTGGATTTTAAAAAAAGACGATAATGATTATTTGCAAATCGCCTCTCAATTTTGAGAGACTTTCAATTTTTACAGTGGACCCTTAATAATTGTTCAAAAATTAATCTTTTTATACTAACGATAACTGAATTCTGAAAAAAATACATTTGACGTTAAGATTGGGTGATCAAATTAATTTTCCATATGAGAATTCAAAATCACTGCATTTATCCAACAACATAGCAAGTGAACCATTTTATGCAATTTCCTGTGGACTATCTATATTAGTGACAATTATTATTCAAATAATATTCATTAAAAATATCAATCTAGAGGTTTTAAAAGTAAAAATAAATTCTAAAGGTTATCGAAGGGACTTCCTTCATTGATCATTGATTTAAATTTCTTTTCAAAAAATAAATCTATTTTTGATCATTCATTTATAAGTAATAGCTTGTGTATTTTCCATGCATAGCTAAATGTGAACAGTTTTTTCCTATAAAACACGGTGTGTATGTTGTAATGACTGATTCACCTTTTTTATGATGTTTTGATTTTGACGTGATCTCATATTATAATGAGAGATCAATGCCAATGAATAGATAATCTTTAATGCTATTTATAACATCAACTAATAAATCTTTAACTAAGAAGTGGTGGGTTAGCAATTTTCGGATTCGGAAGAGGCTTGCTTTTTTGAGTATATTAATATTATATGCAGAACTTAATTTAAATACCAATTTTTTATGAAATTTAAAAAATAAAGGCCCATAAAATTGAATTGATCCTTCTGACAGAGAAAAATAATTTACGTATCGAGTAAATTTGATTTTTGCACAAAAAACATATGTAGATAAGCTTCGAAGAACAATTTTTACTCACCCCAAATTCGAATTCAATTGTCAAAATAATTGAATTAATTTTAAGGTGATTAACAGTATAGCTATATTGCCGATAATGATTTTTTATTATGAAAAGTGTATAGAAAAATGAGGTTTTACTGTTGTTTGATTTGTACGGCATTTATTACCAGATTGATAAATACATTATGTTTCAAATAAGATTAATGTTTTGTGGGACATAAAAAAAATAATCATATTAATAGTTTTCATTTTTAAAAAATTGCATTTAAAACGATATGCGAATAAATGGTTACGTTTTTATTTGATTTATATGTAAATGATTTTTTTCGAATTGTTAATTTGCTGCGAAATAATTAGTAAAAGAATATTAAGTAACTCTTAAAGCGTAATATCGGACAAAAATGATTTTATATTTCAAAAATAATTTAAATTCAAAAATCGACAATATTGACAAACAATGCGATATACAGTTGAATTGTAAATCTCATAAGATTTTAAATTTTTCAAAAATTGAATTATGAATTTGTCATATTTTGGAATTTAGCTTCTCATCATATGTATATTGTAATACCAAGCATTCAATTCAAATTGTTTTGAATAAAGGATTCAATTTGAAGAAGTATTCAAATAATAACAATTCAAAAATTCCGGTCGATTGTTTAGTATTAATCTAGTAATTAGATTAATATTTATTTAACTTGAATGCTCAAAACTTTGAAAGCACTAAACAAAAATTATTTGATAAGCTGTGTTCAATTTAATCATTGTTCGGATATTTTTGTTGAAAAGCATTCATGAACTTATGTCAATCATATATATTTTTCAATTTCAACGTAGAATAGAAGTTCTCAAAAATCAAATTCAAAAACAAAATAATACAAAAATGACGGAAGATGTTATGATGATTATCAATTCACAAATCAAAAAATACGAAATTGTATCTCAGTTAGGAGAAGGAGGTTTTGCAAGCGTATTTTTGGGAAGACATTATCTTACTAAAGAATTTTACGCCATTAAAGCTATTTCTCGAGATAGAGCCATGGAGTGTGGATTACTATGCTATTTAGAGAACGAACTTCGGCTTATATCTCGATTCGATCATCCAAATATAGTTAAAATGTACGAGATTATTTATCTTCAAAGTTACATTTGCATTATTATGGAATATTGTCCTAATGGCGATCTTAATAATGTTATTAACTCTGATCAACCTCTTCATCAATGCGATAAAAATAGAATTGCCCTTGAAATTCTAGAAGCACTTGATTATTTACACTCAAGAGGAATATCCCATAGAGATATTAAGCCCGCAAACATAATGTTTGATAAGGACATGCATGTTAAATTAATTGATTTTGGCTTTGCAAGAGAACAGTCAGAATCCGTATCAACAATGTGCGGAACTCAAATGCTTATGGCACCAGAAGTGATATGCAATTATAACTATGATGGAAGAAAAGCTGATATGTGGTCTCTTGCTATTACACTTCATGCCCTGGCAGTAAATTGTCTTCCTTTTGAGTATAGAGGAGATTCTCAGCTCGCAAAAGACATGAAGTCAAGAACATTACCTATTAATATTATTGCAACAGGAATGATTGGCTGGATTGTAAGAAATACTCTGATATACGATCCTGATAAAAGAGCTTCTACTGCAGAAATATTAAACCATGTGAAGAATAACGAATACACATATGTTGTCAAGAGGCTTCCCCGTGTCAAAAGAGCTAAAACATCATCAATTCTCGAGCAAGTTGAGTATAGGCAGAATACCCCTCACATTCTCAAAGTTAGGACAAACAAAGAGGGAAACCCTTGCATTGGAAATCGACTTGTCAGAAGTAAGGCAAGATTCTTTTAAGATTGTGATATGATCCAGAGTAATACATAATTATTGTATGATATAACTTGATATAAAAATGTATTTATTTCCGATAGTAAGAATCTATATATTATTTGGTAATCTGTAAGAATTATGAACTTCAAACCATAAATTTTGAGAATAAAGAAGTGAAAAATCATATAAGGTAAGGAAGGAAAGTAACGCTGTTGAGTTTTAACTAATTTCGCTTAACGGAAATTTTGACAAGAGCAGTTAATTATTTTGAGACGATTATCTCGACTGTTTCCCTTCAAAATTATATATTTTTTGGATCAAATCCATTTTAATAGAATTTATATACTATTCATCTATTAGTAAACATTACCGTATATTATTTTTTAAGCTATCTTATTTTTTGAAATTTTATTCAAACCTTTGGTCGCAAGAAGAATTGCATGATAAATAAAAACATTTAATCAAAGTCAATTTTATTTTTCATATTCAAATGGACTGAGTGTTAACATTTAACATTTTTTGCTAATTGTCGTCAAAAATTAGGCGTAAAGCAAAAATTGATATTTCATATGGTTTTATGATAGATAAGCATTATATTCCCACTCATTATATTCGTAAATTTTGAGGTTTATCCTTCGCTTTTAAGATCATTGAATTTGATTTTTATATAAAATAGTTATATATTAGAAAATAATATGAGTTTATGTGATATTATTTTTCAGAAGATTTCATTCTATATGCCTATGAAAAGTACTCTCAAAACTAACTTTTTCCTAATTATAATTAAATCTAGAATATTGTATTATGCTTAGTATTATTTCATTTTTCTCATTCAATTTAGAATTTACAAATGTCAAAAAATTGAGAGCTGTCACTTTTGATGAATTTCTGTTTATTACAATTCCTCATAGATTAACGATGATTGGACTAAGAATAAAATCAAAACATAATGAAAAGTTAATATTGGATTCCAATTAATGAACAATTAGATTTGATAATAAATTCTAATGATATAATTATGGTTTCATGAGGTATTGTCTGGCGACAACAAATTTTTTAAAGAAATCATAATTCCTTTATTAAATTTGGAGTTAAGGTAAATACAGTTTAATGTCAAAAATAAAGTTTGCAAATTACCTCAGACTTTTCAGAGGATTGAGTGGCAACTCAATCCTCTGAAATAGTCTGTGGTAATTTTTAGTCTCTACACTATTTCAATATAAGCTCCATTTTTAAACAGTTTTTAAAAATCGAGCATTGAAAAGTGTGATGAGACTTTCATTTTTTAATCTCAAAAACTTTTTGAATTGACATATCCATCTCATCTCAATTTTGTAATTTTGATTTTTCCACTTGTATTAGTAAAGTTATTGATATTATAATATTTTTAAATTCAATGATTTCGAATAACTAATTTTCATATGTTATATATCATATCTAGATTATAATTTTCCTGGATAACAGTAATTTTAAATTGAATACTTACTTATTTCAATGAGATTTAGTTTTTTCATCATTCAAAATTTTGATCCTTTGAAATAATAACAGAGAGGTGATTTAGAAGATATGCTGTATAGTAAGATTCTCGATTTTTGTGGAATAACGAGCATTATTCAAATTCATTGAAAATTATTTTTTATTCAACATATTGTCTACAATTATGTGAACAGTCCAATTATCACAAAAAATTATAATATTATATTTTTATTTAAAAAATGTTATTGAATTAATTGAGGGAATTGAGAACTTTGATTTTTCTATGTCATTATTTACTCATTTTTTTCAAGGATTTTTCTATTCTCCGGGCAATGTCTACACAGGCAGTTGCATCTTCTATCCGTGTCCCATCCCAAATAGGCAAGTATCATGTATTGAGAACTCTTGGCCGTGGAGGCTTTGCAGTTGTTGTACTTGCTGTTGACACTAAAACTAAGAAGCAATATGCTATTAAAATAGTCGATCGCCAATGCATGGTGAAGAAGAACAGGCTTCAGTATTTGGAGAACGAATTAAGATTATCTGCCAGGTTGGATCATCCAAATGTCATCAAAGTTCATGAAGTCATCTACGAAGAAGATATAATTCTTATTGTTATGGACTACGTAGATGGTGGTGACCTCCAATCACTCATCTCGCAAGGCATTCGTTTCAGTGTAGAAGAACAAGTTCGAATTTCACTTCAGATCCTCAGTGCTCTCGAATATTTACACAAGCGCGGAATAGCTCACAGAGATATTAAGCCATCCAATATACTTTTTGACCGAGACATGAACCCAGTCTTGATCGATTTTGGATTGGCCAAGGAAAACGCATCATCTCTTAGTACTGTTTGCGGAACATCCTTCTTTATGCCTCCAGAAGTTATCTGTGGAACAGACTACGATGGAACAAAAGGAGATATTTGGTCATTCGGAATTACACTCCACGTTCTTTGCAGCTTGGAACTTCCTTTCCAGTTCAATGGTGATTTCAACTTTATCAAATCAATTTACAACAATTCTTTAATCCTAGAAATCAAGCCACAAGGATTGATGGGTTTGGTTATTAAGAATTGTCTGACAGTTGATCCACAGGAAAGACCAACAAGCTCACAAATCATGAAATTCATTGAAGATCGTCAGGGAACGTTCCTTGGAATTAGAAAGACCAAAATCGAAAAACAGAATATCTCCGGATGCTCCCTTCCAAGACTCATTTTCAGTGTTAACAAGAACATTTCCAACAACAGTAATGGAAAACTCCTTGTCAGATCAAGAGAAAGAATTGTCGGACTTGCCCATAGAGCAAGACCATTATCCTGCAACAACCTTGTTTCTCAATGCGCTTTATAAATGTTTGATAGTAAATATAATCATGTATGTTAGATTTAAAAAAAAAATCTTTCATTTTTACCAAAACCATAACACAATTAAGAATATGTTTGTCTATCTTCTAGGAAAACGTTTGATTATAGCTTTATTAATTAATGCTTTGGTATTTTTAATTCGATATTTAATTTTTAAATACCATTGTTAAATATGTGCGGAAATCAGTTTACAATAACTCAAACAAGATTTCTTTATTCTCAATTTATATAAAATAAATTAATAACAAATTTATTGTTTCATTTGTGACATTTTTTGTTGTGCTTTGTTCTGCAAATGCACAGATGCAGTACTAAGCTTTGCCCTTGCGAATTCGAAGTCTGGGCAAAGTCCTGTTTCAGGAGTAAACTGATCTGTGAACATTGCAATTCTCATTAATTCGGGGATATCAGCACTGAGTAAAACACATAAAACAAGGCCAAAAGTGACGTCAAATGACATTAAAGCAGAGTCATTTCCGCCATATACGTGGGCAGCTTTCTCTATTTCGCATAACGCGTGGTACATGTGATGTAGAATATCGAGAGGATTAGTAAAGAAGCTGATAAACTCTGCTTGTTCAACTGCCAATGAAAAATGTGCGTCATTCTTAAAAATATCACGTATTTTATCTGTATCTTTGAGTGGTGGGCAGCATGCGCGTGGCGGTTCAATTTCTGCTACTGTGAAATCATGTAAAGTTGCAATTAAATCGAAAGATAATTCTGGAACCATAAAAAGCTTAACTTCTGGGTAAACTCTATCGAAAAATGCTCTAAAACATAATCCGATTAATGCACTGAGTGAAAATGAATCTGTTTTGTCTATTGTTTTTCCAACAAATTCAACGAATTTGACAATGGCAAAAACAAAGTCTGTAGGAGACATCTTGCTGAAATGTGTTAATATTTTGTTCACTTGTTCCGCACAGAAAATATCTGGGTGGAATAATAAAACCTCAAATGAGTCTTGTATTGGGTTTGGACAGAAAAATGCGAGTGAAGAGTCAAAAGATGGATGTATTGTATTTAATATTTGGTTCAATGCGGCTATTGTATTGTCTAGTGTAAACTTTACATTTAATTTCTTCTTCAAGTTGTCTACAAGAGTTTCATGATAATCTTTGAGTCGTTTGATCTTCTTTTTCTTCTTCTCAACATACTTGGTTAGATTTTTCTGATCTATGACGAGCAAATACAACGTTGGAATCATATTCTCAACAGTAAAGAGTGGTAAAGCTTCTGTTACATATCTTTTAACAAACTTATCAATATTATTGTGGTAGTTATTAATGAAATCTTCTAGAAATCTAATTTTGTGATATGTAAAATTAAATGATGGTGGGATATATGCCGGTTTCGACATGCATTGGACATAAGCTTTGTTGTTAACTCTTTTCAGTTTTGTTTCAAACTTCTGAAGCTTCTCGACATTTTCTTGATGAATTTTCTGTCTATAATCTTCAAATGATAGATTCGGGGATTTACCAATCTCTTCCCCTTTAGTTACTGCAGTTATAAACTTAACTAGCTTCTTATGTGATTGTAAATACTGGAAGAAAAATTCATTCTCTTCCATGGAATAAAAGAAATTGCATAAAAAAATTAGTAAAATTTGAAAATCGCTGTGTAGTCAAGCTATAAAAGAATATAATAATTAACGATGTGAACTGAGCACATTGAAAAATTGAATATTGTAGCGATGGTTATAATCAACGGTTTCTGGCAGTGAAGTATGAGTGAGCTTTGTACAAAATAAAAACGCCCAATTCTAAAATCGATGATTACTATAGTTGAAACGCTTATTTTGTTCTTGAGTATGTTCAAATTTATTGATTTATGCCCAGTAATCGCAAATATTCATGATTTCTATGAATTTCTTAAGAATTTTGCAAACGTGGAGAATAGGAACTCTCTTGTGATGCTTCGCACAATAATTAGAAGAATTGTGCTTAATGAACAAATAATTTCAAACTAATCAGATTGAGGATTTATCATGACTTTTATTGCAATGGCTGTTGAGTTAAATACAACAGCTTCTAAGCATTCTACACTGTTAATCCTTAATAATATTTCAAGCATTATTTTAAAAGAGATTTTCTGAAGATGTGTGATATGATTAATGGCGCATCAATGAAATAATAGAGATGATCGTAGTGGTAATACTTCTTTCTGCTGAATTATCACATCTATGAGTTAGAAATGATTGGACTTCGGTTATTTCAAGTTAAACATATTAATATCCATCGTTATGGATGGTTGTTACCTGTGCAAATCTCTTGGAATGGCACACTGCTCCGCAATCATATTCTATTTGCGGAACTTTGACTGACCAAGTGCCACAGTGGACTCTTGTTGGTCTACATATGTCATATAACTTGAATGTGGAACTTTGATCAACATGAATTAAAAATTAAGAATAAGCTAAAACAAATTTATATCATGCCCATTTTAAAAATGAGCAGAAATAAGGAATTTATTCTATAAAATTTCTATACAACCATAGTATAAATTGAAGGTCATTAACTATTCTATTTTGACTAAAATTCATGAGGTGGTGAATTCAAGTAACTTGGTTCATGAAAATGAACAACAACATCTTCCATTGTTGTCCAATGTCCTGCATTCACGGCATCAACTACTCTCTGTGTGTATTTCACCATTGCAGGAACATCCAAAGGATAAACGTCGGGGCCCTTATGTGGGGTCTTAGGATGGATAACTCCAATTAAGAAAAATCTTAAATTCGCACAAAGCTGAAGATTTGGTTCATCTACTTGAGTAGTGAACATTAAACACATTCCACACTTATCATGCATAAATATTGAGTTATAAATACCGGATCCGCAAGGAGCAACAAGAACTTTCAATGATTGCCAAAACTTAACAATTGTTTCTACAGAACTTGAGAATTGGGATTCAGCAATTTCCCATTTAGAGCCTTCATCAATCTTTGTACCACTACTTATGGCTTCATAAAGCTTATTAACATCATCGAAATTTCTTCCACTTCCCTTTGGTCTGTTATTGATCACAAACCTTGTAGGTTTGATTTTATTAAAGTCGACTTTTGTTTTTATCAGCTTTCGTAGCCTGTCAAGGCCTCCTGCAGTGTAACCGTGAGCATATTCTAAACTATTTATCAGCCAAAAGGAGTGAACATATATTTGTTGTGACAAATCTACAAACGTCACTTTATATCCTAAAAAGTTTAAAATTTCTTGAGTAATTTCTCGATACAACGGAGGGGGATTAACCATGAAGCCTCGGGAAACCAAATCTTGCGGAACAAACATCATTGCACAAAGGAAATCATGAATATTGTGGTAATACATATTAAAATACTGAATATAATAAACTAATTCAAACAATTCTCCAGTTGTCTGCATCATTGTGTGACCGCTATGGTCCTGATAAGTTGTCTTAAAACTTCGCTTTTCATCTGAGATTTGACCTTTCGAAACGAAAACGTCTTTAAATAATGTAACATAAACCATATTGCTCGTTCTGTATATGTTCGACCTGATATCAGGGCATAGTTAATTACTTTCGGATCATTTTGATAAAAAATCTTATCCATTTGAACATAGGGACATTGATACCACCACGTTTTATGGTTAATGTTTTCTTGTGTTTTTGGTCCTATTATTCTGATGTTGAAGCGAATTAAAGAATCTTCATATCTATAATTCGAAAAAATGGTCAAGAAGGAAGAAAAAGCAATAAAGAAGTTTATAAATATTGTATTCGGTTGCATTGAAGAGCTTGCTTCGTTTGTTAATGATGTCTGGGATTGCGTAAGTAGTTCCGCTACAAAAAAAATGATGAATGGATTAAACTCTGATAACACCTAATTTATATATAATCCATTGGGGTGACCTTTTTAAAAAACGAGTCCTTTTTTTCTGAGATTTCTGATCGCTTCCTTTCTGCCCGTCATGCCGGAAATGGAAGAAATGATTGATACAGTCGAATTTATTACTCCAATTGGCAACTATCTTGTATAATACAATTAGTTACATTGTCAGTTATTCTCAAGCATTATCCAATTTAAATTCAACATCGTTAATTTGCATTGTATTGCAACAGCACCTATGCGTGGGGATAACAGTAAGATTACACCAGCTAAAATCGCACATTAAAAATCGAAATTTTGCATCTCGAAAAAGCAACGACAGAATTCCTCGTAATTTTGGGTATTTACATACATTATGATACATATTCGAATATATTGAATATAGGAAAAGTTACTAAAATTTGAGGAAATTATTGCAATAAAATAAACAAAAGTCATCCTTATTATATAAATTTGTAAAAAATAGCGAAGACCTTTACAATTAATGCACAGTCCCGCATATTAACTTTGAATATTTCTGATTTCAATTTGAGACATTTTGACTAGAGTATTAATAACTCAAATTTCCGATATAGTTACTACATTAATACTAATGTAGTAGGTTTCCATTTATCAATTTTATTTTACTATCCTAAAATAATATTTTTGTTGTGGAAATAATATATTTAACGATAATTATGGCATCTAACTAACTCTGAAATGAGTATTTATCAAATTTGATATCAAAATAAATAAAAATAAATGTGTTTAATGATTAAAAACGAGTTAAATTGAATATTTAACTAATTATCCAGTACTTTGATTTTCCAAATTTTTTAGAAACTGATATTTTCAATAGAAAAAATGAAATTTTGAATTTCATTTTTGAATTTTTGAATTTTTTTTGGATTCTTAGACTGATTAATTAAGCATAATTAGTAATATCATAGCTTTATTTGCAACGTATGGTGATGAAATGAAGGCGAAAATTAAAAATCTTATTTTAGATCAAAAATATCTTCCTCATTATCATTAATTCTAAATTGAAATATACAATGCACAGATAAGATGTGATATAAATTAGTAATGTACTTGAATGAGAAGAGTAAAAGTAAAGTTTTTATTCATTTTATAATTGATTTAAACAAAAAGTTACTTCATTTTAATAATCTAGTCGATCGATGAGGTTTTGCTCGTATTTGTTTACAGAGTCATATCATTTCTTGCAAATGAATTTGTTATGGAAAGAGGCATGCAAAATGTTTTTCGTAGAGAATACGATATCTCATATAACAAACGTGAAATATTGTTGTAAAAATCCGTAATTTAGTCAATCCAACATATTTTACAATATGAAAATTGAATTCGATAATTTTTTTCCCGAACAATCTTTGGCTAATAAATTTTAAGGTTATCAGTATGAAATACCATGTATGCTTTATATGTTTGCAACAAGGTCAGCGTTATTTCTTGTTAATTTGATTGGCAATGAATTAAGTGGAAATCGTTTTGCCTTATTCTTAAAATGAATCGAAACAAAGGAAATATCATAGGGTGTGCAACAGACATATGCAAAATCAAACAATTCAGTATACTGAATTACTTTTTATACAAATTTTACCATTTAATATATTTTTATACACGCTTATCAACCATTGAATATATTCTTCCGATTACAATACTATTCAAGTTTTCAGAACCGAATTCTGAAAGTGTCGGAAAATTTTTTAACGTACCAAATACTTTTGTAGTATTTAAGATAACTTTCACAAATCACTCTCTTTGCAATTAAATAACCTTTCAGTATTTTTTGTGAGTGTTGATGATTGGCCAAAAAAATTTTACTTTTTCGATAAGCTTATTGCAATGACTTTAGAAAGGAATATGGTTTTTTTCTCCTATTTTGAAAATCCCGTGAAGGACCAAAACAGTATTCAATTTCGAAAATTTTTCTGACAATTTAAATTGATAAGAAATTTTCAGCGTCAATTTTCTGACATCACTTTTTTATGTCGGGTGACATTGATTGGACTAAAGCTGAAACAGTTGATATCGCTATCATCGGTAGTGGACCAGGTGGCAGCACAGCAGCTCTTTATGCTGCTCGCGCTGGTTTCAAGGTAATTGTCTTGCATGGTGAGGTTCCTGGAGGCCAACTTACAACAACTACAGAACTTGAGAACTTCCCAGGCTGGAAGGGAACAGGTCCTGGACTTGTTGAAGCTATTGAGAAGCAGGCCACAGAAGCAGGAGCTGAATACAAGTACGAAGTTGTTACAAAAGTTGACTTCTCAGTCAATCCAAAGCTCCTCTCCACAGATATGGATACACACTATAAGGCACGCTCTGTTATCGTTGCAACAGGTGCTAAGGCTCTTTATCTTGGCCTTCCAAACGAAGAAAGACTCAAAGGCAAGGGTGTTTCTGGCTGTGCAACATGCGATGGCCCATTGTACAAAGGCAAGGATGTAGTTGTCGTTGGTGGTGGCGATGCTGCTGCTGAAGAAGCTATCTTCCTCTCCAAGATTTGCAAGTCTGTTAAATTAGTTCACAGAAGAGACCAGCTTCGCGCAAGCCTTCCAATGAGAAAGAGAGTTGAGGCCTCCTCAATCCAAATGATCTGGAACACAGTTATCGAAGACGTTCTCGGTGAGAACAAGGTAACAGGTGTCAAAGTTAAAAATGTTGTCACAAACGAAGTCAGCGAAATCCCATGCGATGGCTTATTCGTCGCTATTGGTCACAAGCCAGCTACAGAAGTCTTCAAGGACTACCTTCAAACAGATGAACAAGGTTACTTCTTAACAAACGGTACTCCTGTTACTTCTATTCCTGGTGTTTTCGTCTGCGGTGATTGCGCTGACCGCCATTACAGACAGGCCATTACATCAGCAGCTACAGGCTGCCAGGCAGCTCTCCTCGCTGAGAAATATTTAACGGACTAAGTAGTTGTTGAGTAGCGCTTATTCTTTTTTGTATTTGGTAAATACTTTAAATATTACTTTCTCATAATCTTTCTTCATTTTTATTCATATGGAAGATCAATACTGTCCTTATTGTCATCAATGCTCTAATTTCGAAAACTCTTTCGTTCAACTTCAGAACAAAGAATGTTCACTGAGAGTTAAAGTTGATGATTTAACTAGAAAAGTCAGTGAATTATCAAAACAGAAAAAATTACTCGAAAAACAAAACAAATTACTCATCAATACTTGTTCTCTACCAATTGCAAATTCGAACCAAGAAGAAATTTCATCGAAAGATGTTGAAAATTTACTGAAAAATTTTGATGATGTATTTAATTCACAAGGTAATGATATGATTAGACTATTAAATGAAAGAAATAGCCTTGCAAACCTAGTGTTTAAATCTTTGAAGATAATTGATGCTCAAAACGATAAAATACAAAAATATGATAAACTAGTTCATTCATTATTGCAATATACACAACCACAACACTTACAAGGACGGATTTCTACTCAACTTTCTCAGCTTGGTATCCAATATACTCAATATTTGTATCCAAGAGATATCGAACAATCAAATTCAAACGAATTTGTCGACAAACAATCCGAAAACTATCTTATATCTTTACTTACTAAGATAAATACTATGTATCCTCAAACACATCCATATATTTTCGAAATATCTCAACAAATTAGCAAGAAAAACAAAGAATATCAAGAGATTACTAATAAAAACATCGAATTAACCAACAAATACAATAATATCTTAACTATTCTTGGTATTTCAGAATCCAAAGATATAACAAGTAGTGTTACAAAAATCGTTGCTGAATCAAAGCTGTCAAAGAAGTTATACAACTTTGGCCGCGAAATTGTATCTGTTTTTATTAATTTTGCAGAACAATTTTGTATGGACAACCATGTTGAGCTATGCTTATCAAGATTAAGAAAATGGCTTAACTATAATGACAAAACTATCGATGTTATACAAGAAATCGATTTCTTGCTCGGACTTTGTTTTCCATTATCAGATTCAAGTTCCAAACGGTCAAAATCTAAGTATAAAGATCCTTTCGAATACTAAACATGTTTGTTATTTCCTTATTTATAATTTTTTTTAATATAATTTTTCACAATTTTTTTATTTTTTTTTAAATAGAATCGAAGTAATAAAAAAAGAAAAAAGAAGTAAGAGACAATTTCTATACCTTGAAACAAATTTTAAATTACTCTGGTTTCTTGTATGTCATTTCGTTAGCATGGAAAGTAGACTTGCATTTATCAGCGACCTTTCTGAAGATATCTGCTGAAATATAAGCGATACTCATTGGTGTTGTAGAGATGACAGATGCGGCACGAGCGCTGGAGTAAATAAGAGCGAGTTCTCCGAAGTAGTTACCTGCTTTCAAGTGGTTGACAGTCTTTCCATTAACAATAACGTCTGCTTCACCATCGAGAATAACATAGAATTTATCACCTTGTTCTCCCTGTTTGATGATAGTTGTTTTCTCTGGGATATCCTGGGAAACCAAGCTTTCTGCGATAAGAAGGGCCTGGTAGTCAGGAATTTCGGCGAGAAGAGGAACTTTTGTGATAATTTCCTTGCATCTCTGACGTCTCTGGTAATGGACGTCCTTCAACAAGTAGAGGTAGGTTGTCTGGTCGATAGCCCAGCATTTGACGGAGCCGTGAGCGATAACTGTAGCAGCTCTTGGAGCACCTGTCATAAGGGCAAGTTCACCGAAGTAAGCGCCATCGCCAATCTGAGCGACCTTTTTCTCTGGTTGGTCTCCGACTTTCTTGAAAATATCGACTAAACCGCTTTGGATGACATAAAAATTGTCGCCGCGGTCACCTTGCTTGATGATAACCTTTCCGTCTTCGAATTCCATTGGGAACATTGCATCGATGAGAGCTTTTGTCTGCTCTTTCTGAAGAAAAGATAAGAATGAAACTTTCTTAACGATTCCTTCGAGAATTTGGATCTGCTCTGGTGACTTTGGATATGTTTTGATTTCGATTTTTGTGTCTGAAATAGATTTAGAAGAAAATCCACGACGACGGAAATCGCGGGACTTAACGAGCGCATCTTGGGAAATGCAAGAGAAACGTCTTGCTGGTGTAAACTTCTCTTGGAAACCAACACGTGCGGAGTTTGGCTGAGCCATAGCTGCTCTTGATTGTGGTGGAACATAATTTTGCAAGAATTGAATCATGTGTTCACGAACATTAGCTGGTCTTCTTACGAGAAGGTCGGAGACCATCTCCTCGAGCATCTCAGTAACGTGGTTCTGCTGAAGATACTCTTCCGCAGGCAGGTTCGTATTGCGCTGCATAATGACGATAGAAAAAGTAAGATTGTTTTTTCAATCGATTTTTGTAAGATTAAAGAAATGATATAAATTCTTATTGCTCCTATTCGTTCCTCACAAAAGTAACATCCAATAGAAAATTTAATGTGAAGTGAATTTTTCAATCATTATTTATCGTCGCAAAAATAAGCCAAGAAGAATGATAGGCATTCATATTTTAATGGAAAAATTGGAACCAATAAATGCATCATGCTCTAACAAGAGATAATATTCTATGTAAATATTTGGGACAATGATTCTGATTTTTATTCAATCTTCGCCAAGGGTTTGTATAGTCTATACGCTAGAAATTTTTATTCTGGATATAGTCAGTAGTGAAATACTATCATCCAATAACATGTGTTTAGAGTTTTTCTACATTTGTGATAAGAATGAGAAAGAAATTCAAAAATACTATATTTTTTTCATATTAATAGGACTTTGTAAGACTATTCAACCTAAGAGTATGATGAAAAATGAATTCATGCATTTAGTAGTAGGATATGATGGGTTTTGTGACTTTTTTTGTTACATCTATATATAGACGATGCATTAAAATATATTTATTTATAAACCATTAAAAAATTAAAGTTATTTTTAAAATAATTTATTTTTTTATTCTTACATAAATGACCCAACAAGTAAAACCAGATAAAATAGATTATCGAATTTTAGAGGATGGTATTCCTGTTTATATTCAAAGATTTAAAGGGAAGCAATATTATAGAATTGTTAATCCTGAATATCTTAAACATTTATTTAAAAAGGAAGACTGTGAATTATTAAACGTTAATGAATATGAAACCAATAAATCAAAATTGAAATATAAATATATTGGAAGTGATGAAAGATGCAAAGATAAAGATAAAGTTTATACAGTTTCATATAATGAATGGAAAACCAATAAGATAAGAAAACATTTAGGAGATTATGGGAAATTTTCTGAATTCTTTAAATCTAGTATATACGAGAGAGTAAAAGAAATTAGAAATAATTATTTTCATGAATAAAAAATAAACTTTAAAAATAAACTTCTTACGAAAAATTAAAACTTAGTTATGTTTATTATTTTATTTTTTTATTTTGTATGAAATGAGCGTCAAAACTAACAACGTTAAAAAATTAGGATTCACAAACGAGGAAATAAAGGATATATTAGAGGAGGTGGGTTATGAAGTGAATAAATATTATTTAAGAAATTGTCAAAAATTTGCCGAGTTATTAAATGATTTAGATTATGATGAAAAAATGAATAAAGATGATGTTATAAATTTCTTATATCCCACATCTGAAGAAGAAAAACCTAAAGAACCTGATGTTTTCCCTGAATATTATGAAGAACGGATTAAAGATGATGAATACAATGAAATTGAAAGACTAAAAAATAAGAGATAAAATAGATGAAAAAATTAAGGAATTAAGAGAAGTTGAAAAATATAATGAAAATGAAGTAGAGGGTTTAATGAATATCCCAGCTTCAGAATCAGAAGTACAGAAATCTCATGAAGAAAGATATAAAAATTATGTCTCAGGATCAACACAAAATTTATTAGATGGTGAAATAGACGAAACACTTTCAGAAGAAGGTACTAAATTTATTCGTAAACATAAGTTACAATTTATTGATAATGAAGAATACCCCTGTATCCTGCTTTCACCACCTTTAGATTCTGAGAAATTCAAAAAAGCTCTTAAAAACGTGACATATGCAACTAATACGATTAAGAAAGAAGATCATGATATTTACACAAATTATTATTTAAATAAATGCACAGGTGTTGATAAAGTTTTTGATTTATTAGATAAAATATCAAAAGAAACCATTGGAACTATAAAATTTTGTGTGATTGTGGTTTCATTATTGAAGATACCAATAATGTTTCATATGAAAGAACAGCACCGAAGGAAGACGAAGTTGAAAGGTCTATACCATTCGTTATTAAGAACATAAAAGATATGAAAACTTATAAACATTATATTTATTCATTTATTTCAGAAAAAATGGAAGCAACCCATAAAACATCTTCTCATCATTTTATAGCTATTCATACATTCCTTTTCAAAGTTGTGAAATTAAATAAGACAGGAATTAGATTTAATGTATCAGGGTACGCATTCTTGAGTAAATTAAAATGTATTCGTCACGTCGCAGATGATAAAAATTTATGTGTTCTTAATTCATTTTATGGGCTTTAAAAAATAAACTTTATTTTTATTTATTTTTTAATTTTTTATTCTTACATAAATGAACAAAAACAGAACAGCTAAAATGAATGATAATCAAATTAGAGCAGAAGGTAGAAGGTTATTTAAACGCTTCTATAACATTCCTGATGGTGTTAATCCTAAAACTCGTAGAAGCTATTTAAATGAAGCAATAGATGCATATGAAGGGTTTGACATTTCATCAGAAAGTGAGAGATTAGCGAGAATGTTAAATGCTAATATTGATTTCTATTATTGTGATCCTCAACCAGAAGACGTGGACATAAATAAGGTAGACTTTCCATTAGTGGAATCAATAATGATAGATCCAGAATTTGAAACAGTAAATATTTTATTAACACAGAGTCCATGTGGAAAACTTCACGCTGACAGAATAACAGACGTTGAAGCACTCACCGGCTATAAAGTTTGTCCATATTGTAAAGAAGAAGTTTATTCTATCCGTGATGATCCAGAAAGGAAAACCCAAAGAAGATTTTTAAAGCATTGTGAGAAATGTAAAGAAAATAATGGAAGATTAATTCAAGACGTTCAATTGCAAAAGACCCAGCAACCATATGCACCACATATTACGAAACAGAAGATATATCAGTGGTTATTAGCTCACAATTTGCAGAAATATTATAAACCGACAAGATATTATATTACTTTTGACTTCGAAACATTAGAGACTAAAGAAGAATTACAACTTTCCGAGTGTGCAATTTTGAACGCTTACTTAAAACCATTCATGGTATCATCAACGGTTAAATTAAACGATAAAACATATACGAGGAATTTTTGCTTAACTTCGAGTGATTCTTTTATTTCTGATTGGATTGAGTTTTTATTTTCAACCTGTTCATTAGTTGTTGAATCAAATATGAGTCAATACAATGAATTATTGAAGTCGCAAACGGCGGGGACTTTGTCCCATACATTAAATGAAAAACAGAAGGAAGCATTTAAAGAACTTCTAGATGAGGAATTCAATAAAGTGAATATCATAGGTTTTAATTCGGGAAAGTTTGATTTAAATTTAATTCTTCGTGATTTAAACAATGCAAAATGGAAAATAAAATCAATGCTGGGTTCTTCTTCACAATTTAAGCAAATCATTGTAAAGAAAACAAACATTCCATATGAATTGAGATTTATTGACATCAGAAATTATATAGCGGGTGGGACATTAGACCAATTCACTCAAGATTTCGGAAACAATAAATCACGTGTTAAATCCTTTTTCCCTTATCAATTTATCACATGGGAGAATTACGAAGAAGAATTATATAAAGAGGAACCATTCACGAAAGATTCATTTTATTCAGCATTAACTCAAGAAACTATATCAGATAGTGATTATCAAATATATCTCAATGATGCTAAAAATTTTAAGAATAGATTAGAATATTTTATTCATTATTGCAATAAAGATGTTGAAATTATGATTGACCCAATTGATAAAATTATTGAAGAAACATTTGTTTATAAAATTGACATGCTTCATAATCTTTCTTTATCATCGAATGCTTCAATGATTCGTTACGCTTTAGCATATAAAGACTTTAATCCTAATGAAAAATATCCTGAGGAAGAGATAGAATCAAGTTTTGAATTAACGAAAAAGTATTGGAAATATAAAATTGAATCATATAAGAAACAAGATGAAAAAGCAGAAAGGGATACTAAAAATAATGTTTCAATGGATGATTTTCAATACTATCACGATTTAATCCTTTCATCTAAATGCAAAATGTGTGGTAAAGCGTTTACATATGCAAATAAACCAACATTGGATAGAATCGATAATGAAAAACCACATACCAAAGAAAATTGTCGGTTAATGTGTTGTTATTGCAATGTCGTAAAATCAAATAAAGATGAAGATGTTCAACGTTTAAGAATCAATTTAAGAAATTATGCATTAAAAAATAATTTACCAATGACTTTAGATTCAGTTGAGCTTATCACATTCTCCGTAATGGAATTACTGGTGGTCTATCAAATGTTCAACATCGTGTTAATCTTAAAGGAATCACGCACATTAATAAACTTTCATATAGTCCAGAAACTAAAACTGTATCAAATGAGGACACTTCCAACATCATGACTCATTTCGTTGGTGTTGATTTTAATTCATTATATCCTTCATCATTTTCATCTAATCCTCATGATTTCATTCAATATACTGACCATAAAATGTATATGCCGGGAAGATTGAATGGTGTTATCATTTGTGATACAGCAACAAAGAAAGCAAAAGCACTGGGAATTATTAAGAAGAAAAATACTTTATTCGTGGCTGAAGTAAAGGGTCACATTGATGAAAAATACATTAATGATTACATAAACTTTTTACCGATAATAAGAAACTTAGATATTATCACAGATGAAAAAACAATTGGCAGTTTTATGTATAATTACATGAAATCAAACAATCTACCAGTTGACCAGAAACAGAGGAAATTAACTCAGTTAGCATCAACACACAACCAATATCAACCATTTTCTTCTTATTATCTTTGGTATCTAATAGACAGATTTCATTTTATCATCGATGATATTCAATCAATTTTAACATTTACGAAAAACACTTGTTTTAATGAATTTGCGAACAAATTTATGAACGAAAGACAAAAGGCTGAATTAGAAGGAAATAAAGGAAAAAGTTTATTTTGCAAGATTTCACTTAATGGATCATATGGTTACGATGCAATGAATACGCAAAATTACGCTAAGACTAAAATAATGAATGCACAGAAGGCACGCGTTGCATGTATGTCAAATAAGTTTAAAAACATAAGAGAAATAGGTGAAGATACATATCAAGTGATGCTTAAAGATAGATTTTATAGATGTGATACATGTTTACAAGAGGCATTCTTCACTTTAGATAATGCTAAATACTGGTATTTGGTTTTCATTTATGATTTTATGTATAAATGCATGGATGTTAATCGTTTTCATTTCATTGAAGGTGATACTGATTCATCTTATTGGGCAATCGCTGGCGACCCAAATCTTCCTAACACTCAAGCATTTCAAGCAATTGTTACCGATAAACAATTTTATGATAAAAACATTTTCAAATTCGCACCATTTGATTTCTTCTGTTTTGATGAGAAATTTAAACCTAAATTAAAGAATAAAGCTGAAGAAAAAGCACATGAGAAGAAGTTATTGGGTTTAGCAATTGAGAAACAAGGTGATAACATGGTTGCTTTATGCCCCAAGTGTTATACATCATTCAACGGTTCAATTGATGGAAGTGATTTTAAAAAGATTGCACAAAAAATGAAAGGTGTTAGTTTAAGGCAAAATAAACAATTAACGCCTAAAAATTATTTGGATATAATAAATGATAAAGTTATTTTCGATGGTCAGAATATTAATTTACAACTTAAAAACGGGTCAATGACTCGCTTAACAATCGGTAAGACTGCATTAACAGGAGCACACACTAAGGCTGTATGTTGTGAAAATGGATGTTGTATGCCATTTATTTAATACAATTTAAAATTTTATTTTTAATAAAATGCCACAGAAGAGACAAAAGGAACCAAATCGATTTATACCAAATGGTTTTAACTTTCAGATTCCAAATAATCAACCACAACGAATTTTTCAAATCCCACCACAGCATCAACAGCCGCAACAACGACCACCACCACAGCAACAACGACCACCACCACAGCATCAACAACCACCACCACAACGGAGAAGAACATTCACCCCTGAAGAAAGAAATTTCAATAATTTGATGCGTCAACAAAATCAAGGTTTGAGATTTTATCCGGGTAGTAATGGTATACATATAAGGCATCCAAATTTAGATAGAAGATATACCGCTGAGATTCATATTTTACCTAATAATACGGTTAATTTTGCTGGATTTTATGATCATCATCAGGAAATCTGGACTCCACCATTTGATACCGTTTTAGAAGGAGGAACCGTTAATGATGCAATTCAATATGTAAATAATGGTTTTGATACTATGATTCAAAGAGGTGGGCACCCTTAAAACATTTATTTTATTTTTATATAAATGGATAACGCAGATTTAGAAAATTTAATTGATGATTTAGTACTTAATCAAAATTTTCTTAATTATTATGAATTAAAATCATATCTCCAAAAACATAATAACAATATAACGGGTGATGATATGGATTATTATTATCCGTATTATAAAAATGAAATTTTGAAATATCATGATAAAATAATTTCTAAAATTAAAGACAAAATTAAAAATAATGAATATACAAAGGGAAAAACTAAATCACAACTTAAACAGTTGAAAGATTTCAAAAATAAAGTATTAACAGAAGAAGATATTGATGAATTATATAAATTATATAATCCTGAGCCGCAAAAGCCAAAGGAACAAAAACAAAAGAAGAAAAAGCCGAAAACAACACCAAAAGAGAAAGTAGCAGTTAGTATACATATCATGTGTACTGAGGCATTGCGCGCCTCCTTACCCATTATATGTGAATTTGACACTTTACAAAACCGTTAACGTATATTTTACAACACAAACGACAACACTAACTTAACCTTAAATATTTACAAAGCCACCAACCACTTCACCTCACTAACGTTTTCACAAACGACTTCACTACTTCACTACTTCACTACTGTAAAAATAAACGTTCTCACTTACAAAAGTATTGCAACTCCTCCCATTGCTGTGCTTCACACAATACTTCATATTCTTCAGTATCGCTGCTGTCGCTCCAATCGTCAGAGTCAAAGTCACTGTCAAAATAAATGTTAGTAAGTTTTGACAAAGCTAATGAAACACGTTTACCGTTTGTATCGTATGCTTGTATAAACTTTCCATTCTTCATTCCTTCATAAACGCTCAAACTAACTTTACCCTTTCTCCCTCGTATCTGATAGAATGTATTTTCACGAGGAACGAAGAACAAATTCTTGAACTCATGACCGTTGTAGTTTGTTATCTCAATAGTTTTCGTCATTTATATAAAAATTAATGATATCACCACCCTCACACGTATGAAAACATAGCACAAAAATAAATTTAGGTGAAGTGGTAAAATCTCACCTCTTTTTTCACCCGGTTTTTCACCCTGTTGAATTCATTGCTTTATAACTCTCTTCCTTGGTTTCTTTTTAGTTGCTTTCTTCACGTCTGTCTCCAACTTGACTGTCTTTCTTCTTCGTCCATAATGATACCAATTACTTCCACCAGTCAATGGGTCAAATGGTCGTTCATAAGGGTTTCCATACATTCCATAAGGTCCGTATGGATAAACCGCTGGTGGAGAAGAAACATTTTCTTTAGTTCCATCGACTCTATTTAAATGCATTGTTTCACCTTTCATCTGGTCATTAAAGTCTTTTGCGTGTTTTGCAAACTCCTCGTCCTTTCCTAAAGCATTTTCTGACTCAGTCGCAACCAAATTGGATGCTTTATTTATGAGCCCTATTTTATTTAATCTTAACTTCTTTGCAACCCAGCCTCCAATCTTCCCTTTATTTGCATCTAATGTCTTCGAAACCCTTCCTCCACTCATTTTATTTACTGCGTCATAAGCTCCACGTGCTTTTGCTCCAAATGCTAATGCTTTTGTTCCCATTGCGCCTAAAGCTACCCAAGCTACCATTTACCCCATATTAAAATCATCTCTCTTCAATATTATCTCATAAAAGTTCTCGTTACTGGAGAAAGTCAATGAAACATAAGCGTTCTCACGGGCTTCGCCCTCACCGCTTTGCGGTCTATCTAACTTCTTTCTTATATCATCCATACGCTTCAAAATGTCTGAACAATTGCTAACATCTTCTACAACAGTTATTTCATCATAAATGACCTTCAAGAACAAGCTCATTTAATATGCTATTAAAATCATCTCAATAATGAGTCCATCCTTTCCATCTTTAGGTAGCACAACATCTTTCATTGAAGAAGGTTCGACAAGTCTTATGTTAAACTTACTGACAAAGTTTGTTATACTATAATGCTTTGGCGGCGAATACATATAGTTTGAAAGACATAATATAGATTCTTCAGCAAATTCACTTATACTGGATTTTATAACAATGTTCTCACGAGACCAAATGCCACCAATTGACAATCTTGTAAGCAATCCTGCTGAACCTTCAACTGTAAACGTCGATGGTAACATTCCACGAAGGTCATCTATTGACATCTTTGAGTCACTGAATTTAAAGATTTTCTTAAAGCAATCGTCATTATCTAACCATGCAATAGCTTTGAAGTTTTCATTCGAATAGACATCTGCTTCATTAAATGTAAATCCTGACTTCTTTGCAGAGACGACTTTAAAATCTATTGAGTTTGTTTCAAAATTATATGCTATGGTAACTTCTGAAGGTAATGGATGCCCTTCCGCAGTCAGTTGTTCTCTCACTACCGTTTGAAGCTTTGTATTAAAAACTTTCATGTCATCTCCTGTATCTAAGTTCACATACACAGCAACAGGGAAACTATCTTGCTTCTTTGTTTCATCATTATATCTCAAAACATTAAAGTTCTTCAATAATATTGTTCTTCCTGCTGGAATACTTCGAACCTGTCTGATTTCAATAGCTTTCTCACCTCCTACATACTCTACCCAGTGTCTTGGATATTCATAAGTATACTGACTTTCTTGAATTTTGGTTGGTTTCATCATAACATGTTCATAGTATATCTTTATACTCTTGTCAGTTAGACTCGGTGCTATGTTCTGAATATTTCTGACTTGCATTTTTAATGGAGATAAAATGAAGCATTTAATACATGATGTAGATGAAGACATGAATGAAACTACAGACAAACTTAACTCTTTCTTATTCTTCCTTTCAGCAAAGATTATGAATTCTGTTCAAATGGTGTGTATTTCTATTGTGGAAAGATGGGTTCAGGTAAGACATTTAACCTCATTCGTCATATACTCATAACAGAGCGTTTAGGAAACGACTCTTACTATGACCAAATCATTATATCAGCAACTTCAGACTCTATGGATTCAACAGCGAAAACATTTATGTCAAAAGTTCAAGCCTCTGTCGTTAAAGTTCCAGACAGTGAACTCATTGAATTTCTTCAACGTTACATTCGACGTAAGAGGAAATATTATGCTATCGTAGAGTTCATACAGTCAGGAATGCAAAAGACCTCTGAGGAGATGGAAAGAATTATTGACAAACACCACTTACGTCAGTACTCAGGAGTTTACGATATGAAACGACTGACAAACTACATTCTATCAAAACTTTCAAAATACCCCTTCAAAAAGTATCCTTCAAACACTTTATTAGTTTGTGATGATTTCGCCGGAAAAGGTTTAGTGTCAAAACCAGACTCACCATTAGCTAACATCATTACTAAAGTCAGACATTACCACTTAACTGTAGCAATACTTATGCAAACATGGAGGTTTTTAGCTTTAAACATAAAACATCTCATAACTGATTTCGTTATCTTTCAAGGTTTCTCACGCTATGACATTGAACTCATTTGGAAACAGTCAGGTATAACATTACCTTTTGAAGAAATTTGGGAAGCATATAAGTCTCTCATCTCTCCTCGTTCATACCTTGAGATTCATATCATGACTAATACTATTAAAGTCAAAAATATTCCATGGGAACGACCAACATTGTTTTAAAGCTTAACCTTCAATTGACTGATGGTAAACAAATTCCATGCATCTCTGTCGCCATTTCTGTTAATATTTTTGCTGTCATTCATATCATCCACTTCTCCATCCGTTAACTTTTGAGGATATGTGTTAGAATAGCTGTTCTTAAATGAAGGCTTTTCACCTTTGAGAGCATAAACTCTATAACTTTCTGCATACTTTATGTTTGAACCTCCTGAGCCATCATTGACATAAATTTTTATAGGCTTCCACCCTTTGTTCATGTTCCTGCTTCTTCCCTTAGCTCTTTTGTTCAGTAGTTCTACATCTTTATACACAGCACCTGTCTCAGTGAATTCAACAATATTTTCATTCGTTAGCTTTACATTCAAACCCTTGTCGAGTATATTGTTCATTTCATACATATAAAAGGTTTTTATTCTATATGAAATGAGAAGCAAATCCATCTTAGCTGGTGCCGTTAATGTTCCAATTGAACCAACATCAAATGTTGACTCACGAACGACAAACAATATTGTCATAAAGAACTATAGTTCGGAGTGTTTGAAAGAAAAAGAACCAGAACTTAAGTCGGTGAATTTAAACACAGCTTCAAACGCTAACGCTACATCAGATGTTAAGTTAGAGTATCCACCACTGGACCAAATTCTTTCAAGAGAAGCCAACGACAACCCTTACACAAATGTTCAAACAAATCCTTCAGATAACGTAGACCATTACCTTCTTCAGTTGTATCAAACTATCTTACTCAAAGACGATAAGAAGCTTTTGACAAATCTTATAAGCAAGAACCAAATAATTCTAACAAAGGAGGACCTTGAAAATGTTATCTCACAAATAACAGGGAAACAATGTGTCATTGACTATCTCGACCCTGAAATCGAATGCTGTGGTCAAACTCCACTATTCATGAAAATAGGTAACATCCGCATCATTGAAACACCAGGAACTACAGGAGTTGAGTTTAAGTATAAATATTCGAATGAATATACAAAACTTTCAACAGAATATAAGCTTTGTTTGAAATATGTTTTAGTAAATTAAAGCAGTCAGGACCTTCGGTCTTGGCGCTTTGCGCCGTCAGTCAAAAAATTTCAAGTTAGCAATTTGTAATATCTATCCAAAACTTCTTCAACAGTATAGAACTCATCTTCATAATGCAAACCTAATCTTATTGACTTGGTGCAGTTTTCACTAACACAATATTTTTCTGTTCTCTTGACTGACATAACTAACTCATTTGTTTCATCAAACAGCAACCACCAAAGTTCATGACCTAATACATAACATTCATACTTTATATTTTTAGCTCTGAGTTCTCTTGTAAGCTGTTGCATTTAATATTTTCTAAAAAGTCAACTTCAACAGTCATTCGCACTGGTGCCTTCAGTTCTACAGGCTCTCCTTGAAAGTCAACAAGTCTGAATTGCATGTCTTTCAAATTATGAGGACTAATGCGAACCCATTTACCTAAATGAGTTGCTATGACAGGAACATTTGGAATGAACATTGAATTGACTGCATAACAGAAGGATTTATATTCTACTGAACCTTTACTATTAACTCCTGAAATGCCTGTGACATTAGCTATTTTAGACTCAATGTATAAACAATTACCATAACATACGTATGGAACAGATTTCATCTCAATCGTTTTGTCAACACTTTTCAAAGGAAATGTCATATGGTATGCTCCCAGAAGCAATTGAACTCTATGACTCATTCGTGTTATCTTAAACTCCTTCGCATAACTGAACTTCAATGTTCCCTCAGAAGAGAGTTCGACTCTATGTTGTCAATAGTTTTCTTCATTTATGAGAGTATCTATGACTCCAGCAATTTTATCTATTCTATACCCAGCTCTGTTAGGAAATGTTATAACACTTATTTTGTCATCTATTTCAATCTCTATGAAATCTGTTTCATCTGTTATGACAAAAGTTGCGATAGTATTGAAGTCAACAACTCTGAAAGCAAGCGCTTCATTCTGAAGACCTAAGTTTGTTTGTAGCTTTACTGTCCCGTATTCGTTTGGGTCTGTACTTTGCAAATAGAACAACATTTTATTCTCATTAAAATATGACTATTGCTGCATATGCGTATGAAACAAATGAAGCAAGAAGAGCACATGAACTAGTAAACGAAAACTCAACTTTAACCATTGAAGGCAATGATTTAGTCATTGACGATGGAAAAACTAAAAAAAGTCATTGATTTCGATACTTTTAACACTTTATGACCCATTCATTACAACAAGCAAGGTTCCCATCATAAATGATGGAACGGTGCAATATATAAATTCTACAGTAGATGCCTCATTAGTGAAAGTATTAAATGTTCTCATTGAATTGTTAAAGAGCTTTCGATTTGACGACAACATTAAATGCCTAAAGAATTTAGTCATGAATGAGAAACAAATTCTCGGCGTTGCTGGTAGCAGTAATGATGTACACCTTATGACATTAGAATATTATAACGAACATAAAGATGAACTGAAAGGAGAGAAGGGTGACACTGGACCTCAAGGACCACAAGGAATACAAGGAATACAAGGAATACAAGGAATACAAGGACCTCAAGGCGAAAACGGTTTGGATGGTGAAGATGGAAAGGATGGAAAAACTGCTAAATCATGGATATGGAACCTTATAAATACTGGTTTAACAGCTGCTTCATATGGAGTTCTTCAATACCAAATCGGAAAGATATGGGCAGTACTTGGTGAAGAAGTTTTAGATGACGTTAAAAATGCTTTGAACTTCATTTCAAATGGTTCGGATACTATTAAAACTTTATCTGGTTGGATGCAAGAAACAAGGAGTCAAATAGATACTGTAAGACGTATAGCAAACAATGCACGTACGGGATTGGATACTTTACGAGAAGCACAAAATACACTAAAGGAAGCAAATGATATTCTTGGCTCAGTATCAGACATGCATGAAGATTGGCTTAAAGGTATTGACAAATCTTTAAAAAATCACAGTCAGTCTATTGCTGACTACAAGAAAAGTATAGATTTTTTACATAGTGCTATGGACGTACATGATGGAAGCATAAGGAACTTACTTAATGCTAACAATAACTTACCAGGAACTATTAAAGCATTTATAAAGTCCTTTGTAAAACCTGTGTGCTCTAACATTTAGGTCTTTGAGAGCAAGAGCATTGAAGTCAAGAGATGCAGAAACTCCAACAGAACCTACAGAAGGAACTGAAACAACAGAAACTCCAGAAGAACCACCAAAACCAACAGCTAATGAAATATTGTTCGAATATTTTCCAAGGTACTCTGTTCTCATTGCATACATTCAAGAAATACTTAAGAAAGCAGACTTGACTTTAGGAGATGATGAAAGTTCTGTATATCTTTCGTTCCAGTTTCAAATAGCAGAACTTTTGAGACAGATATGCTTAATGTATGACAACATCTCTGATTTCGCAAGATATGATGACGACCATGACCCCGAACACGGTGAAGAAGAAGTTTTACAAACATCCATTAAGACAGGAAAGGTTTTAACTCAAAGTCTCATTATTGACACCAAAGATGGCGAAGTGGACGTTCTTCAAGAGCTGAAGAAAAATACTTCTTTGGGAGGTGGTGGTAGGTATGAACTTGAAATAAATGAGATAGAAGAGAAATTAGCCGAAAAAGCAGATAAAAACCATGTTCATTATATAAGTTCAGACGAACAGATTATAACGGACTACCATGGATATTTAACACAGGATGAACAAATAAGCACTGAAGATGTTAATGAAAGAAGATATAAATTCATTCGTGCTAAAGGTTATGACATACACTGTACTGTACAGTATGACACAGGTAAAGCACCAGAAGCATTTGGTTATAACAATGAAATTTATGCTTCATACTTCTTTGTTAACGGTGTATTAGTTGAACCAAGATTTACATTGAGAGTTAAGGCAAAAATAACTTTTGAAGATGCTATTAAAAGTAAAGCTGACAAAGATGAACTTGACGCAACGAACAAAGTTTTGAAATCTCATAAACACAATATCTCCGATATAAATGAACTTCAAGCTACATTAAATAGTAAAGCTGACAAGAACCATATACATGAATCCTTCACTACTGTTAGAGCAGACGACATAAAATCTTTAACTTTACATAAATGAGCTTGAAAGAAGTATTCGAACAACATCCATGGAGGTCATTTAAGAAGTTCAATGAAGCTGCAAAGAGTTGGGGATTTACTAACAGAGCTGAAGTGAAAAGGTTCTTTGACAAAAATGTTGTACATCAAACAAAAATAAACCCTTACGACTACTTTTTACCAATTTACTCCAACGCTCCTGACACATACCAATTTGACACTCTCGTTCAGAGTAAGAAAGGAAGAAAGCCACCATTCCTCATCTTCATTAATGTTAACACTCGCAAAGCATATGCATATCCAATGAAAAATAAAGGAACTCGTGAAGTGTTAAGAGTTTTACAAAAGTTTGTAGCAGTACATAGCCCAAGTGCTTTAACATCAGACCAAGACGGTGCATACCTCAGCAATGAAATCACAGATTTTCTCATTAAGCATAACATAACTCACTACACTACTTAAGACCATAACCATAACATACTCGGCATCATAAACCGCTTCATAAGAACGCTCAGAGATTTAAACCAAGAGCGAGACTTTACCGAAGAAACAATGAAACATTTTCTCGAAGTATATAATTCCTCAACACACTCTACAACAGGACATACACCAAATTCAATGACACAACAACAAGAAGAAAAGTATATACAAAAGAAACGAAGTCAAACACAAAATATCAGAAATTCAACACAATTTACCCTCGTTCCTGGTACAAAAGTTCGTGTAGTTCTTGACGACAAACCGTTGACAAAGAAACGTTTAAGGTTAAGTAGAAACTATTATATCGTAGACTCTACGCAAGGTAATGGATATCTTATAAAAGCTGCCGACGACTCTATTGCGTTTTATCCTCGTCATAAATTAGTTGAAAGTAGTAATGGCAAACTTGCTGAAACCATTGACGAAGCAAAGCGAGGAGTGGTTATTGAAATACTTGGCTATAACATAAACAATGACACTTATAAAGTAAGATATGAAGGAGGCGTTGAAGATGTTATACCATCTAAGAACTTGAGAGAGTCAAAGCCAACACATCTGGGACCATTAGAGCGGGAGTACTGGAAAGATAAAAATATGCCAGAAAGAATAAGAAAATTCTTCTAAACTTTTTCATTAGATGTAAATCAGACAAAAATAATGTTTAGGTGAAGAGGTGAGATTTCACCTCTTTTTTTCACCTGTTTTTTCACCCTCACGAATTTTCATGAATTTCCTTAAGATAGAAAAAATAAAGTTAGTTTTAAAATTATTTATTTTTTTATTTTGTATAAAAGATATGATTTCAACAATCGGTACAACAACAATTCAAGCTGCGAACGGCGGGACTCTGTCCACAACTACAGCACCAAACTCGTTAGTCATGAATCCTACGTCAATGTTGATAGAGATGAAAAGCTTTATTCCTTCTTCATATACTTTTGAAACAGAAATCCAGATGATAAAGCAAGAACTTTTAACAAGTAATTTAGACTGTAGTGCGAAAGATGAAACAAATGAACAGTATCTTTATGAAATGGAGGACCTCATCGACCATTTGCCTAAACTACCTGAAATTCAGCAGCAAAAACGAACTATTCCTGAATTCGACGAAATTGAAGTCAAAGCAACTGACTCAGTAGAAATTAAGAAATTCATACGTAAAGTAAATTATGAATTCCTTGGTTTTCATTGCAACCATAAAGTTATGGACAAAGATTGCGATATGGTTTATAAAAATATTTCTGACCTTTACAAATCCGAAGAATTTAAGACATACGATAACTTTGTTTCATTAGTTGCAAAATGTGTTTGGGAAATAAGAGATAAAGATAGAAGAGGCAAAGTATGGAACGAACAAATAAGACCCGCTATGTTTGAGATGAAGAGAGCAATTGACGCTTTAGTTGTTTTAGCTGGTAATGTTTCAATGTATAACGCAAAAACGATGCCGCAATGTTCAAAATGTAAAGCAGCAATAAGAAAATATAACTACTCAGTCAAAGAAATAGAAAGAATGCGAAACGACTATGCAGACTTAAAGAAAGAAGCAGAAAAGCCAGCAGAAGATAAAATGGATATGTTGACATTTCTTAATAAAAACTATCCAACAGCAGAAGATTTCCTTCTGTCTGACGTCAAGAAGAAATATAAAGAGACTTTCGGCATGATTAAAACATTCAATGTACTAAAAGAAGAAATAGAAGCTACGAAATTGTTTAGGATTTCAAATATACATCGTACAATTCATGTAAAACGCTTGTGAAAAAAGAGGTGAAAAAAGAGGTGAAATCTCACCTCTTCACCTAAACATTATTTTTATTGAATTCAGCACAAAAATAATGAATTTCATTAGTTAGAAAAATAACGCTAATTTTTTTCTAAGAAAAATTTTTATTTTGTATGTAAAGACAGTAATGACAAACATTGAGTTTGAAACAGTTAGAAAGATAGACAATGACACCAAAGTGGTTAGAATAGGTGATTTAAACGTAAGATACTCAAAGAAATACAACAAATATTCTTTGTCAGACATTATATCTCCATCTGAAAAGAAAACAAACGACTGGGTTAGAAATGCTTCAACTCAGAAAATTTTGACAAGAAATCCTGAGCTTATGATATCAGTAGCATTTCATGGAACAAGAGCATATCTTATAGACAAAAGTCTTATACCAATAGTTTTGTTATGGTTAGACCCAGTTGTTGGATATAACTTCATAACATATGGTTCATTCGACTCAGAACGTTGCAGTGAAGGCTTACTTTATATCGTTCAGAAACCGAAGGACTTCAACACAAAAAGATATAAGATAGGAAGGACATATAATATAACTCAAAGATATGACAGTACAGTCAATAGAGTCAAGGTTGTGTTTGTTAATGATATGAGAGCTGCTGAAACAGAACTGCTTGAAGTTTTTGAGAAAATGTATGGTGCTCCCACGAAAGGTAAAGAAACGTTTGAAGTAGATGAGATAGATAAAGCTATAAAATTATTTGACGAAGTTGCTGAAAAATACATGTAAAGCGTTTATTTTTGGTCTTTTGTGAAAGTCAGAAAATAACGCTAATTTTTTTCTAACAATTTTTTTATTTTGTATGTAAAGACAGTAATGTCAACATCAGAGAACACAACAATTGCTATCGTCATGAAGCCATAAATGAAGAATACGAATACATACAGTATAACAAACAATTACGACTCATTCGTTCGGTCAAAGACGATATGTACCAAATGCAAAGTATAATGAACGCTCTTCGTTCTACAAAGCAAGCATATCATTGGTTTGAAAACCAACAGACAAAAGAACTTTTAGAAGAATTTCCTCATATGATTGCTTCCCTCGGAAAACCGAGAGAAGAGATTCCGTACGAAAATCGCAAGAATTTGGCTCCTGGTTTGAAAGGTTATTATGTTCATAGACTTTTAGTAAACGCTGTAGCAATGTGGGCTTCACCTCGTTATGCTTGTTATATTTTCATGATGTTAGATGAACTATATAAAGCAGAACGTGGAGAGATGGAAAAGAAACTTCAAGCAAAAGATGAAGTCATTGAATCCAAAGACAAAAGCATACAGAAAAGAATACCGCGTTCAGTACCAAAAGGAAAGGAAAAGAGTTATAAGTATATGATATATACTGAAGAGTTGGAGAAAGAAGAAGATAAAGATATGGTTATGTTGCATTTAGTCAGAAGAAACAACAAGAGCTTTTATGACTTAGCTAAAATATATAAATCTGACAGAAACTGGTTCTATCGTGAAAACTTACCGATTTCAATGACACCGAATGAGCAAATAAAGGAAATTGTCAAAAATACTCTTCCTCAAACACACTATGACATCAAAGGTTGCACAATACTTACATTCAAAGAAGACTTAACATTACTGAAGGAAAAAATAACAGAATATTTCGATAACTTCAAAGAGGAAGAATAAAAAAATCTAAGCTAATTTTATTTTTTTATAAAATTTTATCTCATATGAAAGAACATGAATTTAGAATATTCGGAACTCATGACAGAAGAAGAGAACGAACAACATGTAAAAGATTATGCAAAATTTCTGAAGACATACAAAGCATTTAAACAATATCTAAATGCTTCTAAAGATTATGCAAAATTTCTGAAGGTATATAAAGCTTATGAAAAAGCGTATGAAAAGTTTATACATTGGGGAATTGTTGTAAAATATCCATATGAAGACTAACCAAAAATATATTTTTGCTTAAATAGCTTCAGGGTCTATTTCTTCAACCATTTCACTTCCTTCGTCAATGTCAATAGAAGCTTCTTCAACCTTTGGTAAGAATTTCTGTATAACATCTTTGTTCGTTATTGTCTTCAGAGATGAAGGATAATATTTCACATTTGTTTCACCCTTCTTATATTCTTTCTGTTCGGAAAGATTTAAAGCAATACTGAAGAAGTCAACGTTAGAGTTCTTTATGACAGTATAATGAGTATCTTTGACATTCACGAAGAAACTCTTTTGTTTCAAAACTACTGCTAACTCTTGTGAAGTATAACGTTTGCGGTCAATGACGATAGCTAATGGTCTGACATACTGACCAAACTTAGATTCTTTCACAAACTTCTTGTTAAAGATAACATTAACATTTGAAGCATTATTGAACTCATTCTTGATGGCAGTAGCGAGAGCATTGTATGAAAAGAACTTGCAATCTTGCATGTGTTTCATTAAAATAAAAATATTAAATTATTTTGAAAAATAACTTAAAAAAATCTAATCTAATTTTTTCAAAAAATATTTTTTTATTTCCTACTAAAGATGTATCGGAAGTTGTCTAAGTTAGAACACTCGGAAATAAAACAACTTCTTACAGAAGCTAACATAGATGTTGCAAAGCATTACGCAACAAACAAAAAAGCACTCGCTGACATCCTCAATGACTATAATGGTGCAATAAGTTATGATAGAATTCATGAGTTCATAAAGCCGCAACGCGGCGAGGACGAAGTCCATGCAAGAGCATTTCCTTTAAATGACGTTGCTATTGACTTATATCATAGACGTTCAGTACCTCATGAAGTAAGAAGAGAAATGTTTGACATAACAAATGCAAACGTTGGTGAAACAAGAAGAAGAGACGACACACTGAAACAACAGAGAAGAGAGATGTTTAAGAGCGCTATAGAACAAGTTCGCAAAGCTAACGATGTCTTCGTTCCATTGACGACAAACCAAAAGAAGGTGAGAGATGGTTAAAGAAAGATGAAGAGAATAGGAAGAGGAATGTAAGACAGGCAATAGACTCATTGACTTTAACATCGAAGCTTTAGATGAACCAAACAGAGACTACTTACACAAACATTTCGGTAAGGTTTTCATGAGACTCTTAGAGAAGATTAAAATAAACTCCAACAAAGATGGATGGTATGTTATAAACTTGGTGGAAAGTATGAATGTTCTACGTTAAACCTCAATAATATTGGAACATTACTACATCAGCTCTTGAAGGAGAACTTTATATCAGAGATAGAAGCAAATGCTGCAGGTATTGTTGAAATGCACTATGACTTCTTCTTGACAAACATAAAGAATCTTACTGAAATAAAGATGTATGATTTAACAGAATATGAAGGCTTAACGATGTCAGATGTAAAGAAAGGCAAACCAAAAAAGAGACCATATAGAGATGAAAGCACACTGACAAATGACCAGAAAGCCATTTTGGAAGCTCTTAAGCAAACAGGAAACCCAGCACTTATAGAAAGCTTTTGGAAAGATAATGGTGAAAAGAAGTTTTATAAGAAGAGAAGCGGTCAGTTCTGGAAGTATCTTTGCACATTACCTATAAATCTTGAACGCTACCAAATCTTCAATGAACTGAACAAAAGAACTGCAACACTTATGACAGAAGATAATTGTTTCGTTTATGCTTGCATTCAGGCTGGAGTAAATGAAGAAACTATTGACCACATGAGAGAAGTCATTCGTGTTAGAGACTTTCCTCAAAGTAAAGTACAAGAAATTTCTGACGCAACAGGTATAGCATTTAATGTTACCATTGGTTACTTCAATGACTCAAGACATAATGAAATAAAGAGATACATACCAAAAGAATGTGAAACTGTTCGAACTATTGACTTACTTCTTGTTGAAGACCACTACATGCTAAATGAAAGATTACCAATGACAACATATTTCATTCGCAACTATATAGAAATCTTGAAGGAGTGTGGTGGAATGAACATTGAGAAACAGATGAAGATTTATACAAAGAGAGAGAACAAATATGTAGTTCGTTATGATAGAACAACACCGTTATGGGATGTTATGAAAACATTGTGGGAGTGCAAATATTTCGAACCTATTTCTTATGGAGAACTTTTCACATATACGACTGACTTATATAAACAGAACCTTGCACCATTTAAAGATTTGACATATGCTCCAAAGTATTGTGTACAACTGAAGAAGAAAGCCGAGTCAAAAGAAGTAAATAAAAATAAGTGCAAGTTCATTCCTGAGCACGTTTTCTTTGCTGACTTTGAGTGCAGTACGATGGCTTTCATAAAGCTTTTAACATATGTTATGACAGTGAAGATGGTTCAGTGAGTGAAAGCATTTGGGGTCAGAACTGTGCAACAGAATTTTTGGAACGACTTCCTGACAAGAGTTTAATATATTTCCATAACCTCAGTTATGATATAAACTTCATCTTAAGACACATGACAGAAGTGAAAGGAACTCCCATCATTAAAGGTTCACGAACAATGCAAATAACTGGCTTATATAAAGGAAGGGCAATTATTATAAAAGACTCTTACAGTGTTATAAATAAGAAGCTTAAACTATTTCCTGCTATGTTTAACTTACAAACAGGACCGAAAGAAGTATTTCCATACAACTACTACAGCAGTGTTTTGTTAGCAAATGACAACAGAACTGGTGTCATTTCTGAAGCATGTAAGTTTATCCAGGATGCGATACATTCATGAAAAACATAGATTCCATCAAAGGTTGCAGAATAGATGAAACCACTTCGACTTAGAAAAGTATAGCACATTTATTGCAAACAAGATGTAAGAATTTTAAGAGAAGGTTTTGTTAAGTTCCGCAATGATATATTGAAAGAATTTGATTTAAACGTTTATGACTACGTTAGTATTTGTTCAATTGCTAACAAATTATTTGAGAACAGAGTGTACTTCCCGAATGGAAATTTATATGACCTCTCAAATAAACCAAGAGAATTTATTTCACGCTGTATTCAAGGTGGAAGATGTATGCTGTCAGATAACATGAAACAAAAGAGCGAAAAGAAACTCATTGCTGACTTCG